CAACACTGGCCAGGCTGCCCTGCTCCTCACACATAGGGGCCTACTGCCCCACCTCTGGAAGTGTTGTTCAGTGCCTAAAAGCCCCTACTGCAGATGGCCTTCTACTCACAGGTTGCCTCCCACTCAGGGGCGAGGTCCACGAGCAGGGGGAGACCAGCCCCCTCTTTTGGACAGCCATGGGCTTCTATGAGGCTTGGGGAACCCCAACGCCCCACCACAAGACATCTCACAGCGGAGTGTCCTGCGACCCCCACGGCCTGTCTATGGGCTTTGAAATCAGGGAGAGATCTGTGTCAAGTTCCCAAAAATCACTTTCCACTCTGGGGACACTACCCGCTCCTCCTGAGGTACTTACTGGTTGCCAGGCCCTGAGGGCCGGCTTTCTGCCCCATTCACAGAGAACCCCCTTATTTGAGGACAAGGGACCTTCTTCCTGGCAGCCAGTCTGGACCACGGGAAGATGGAGCTTTTTCGGCCACTAGGGACCCCCTTTCTCCTTCATAGGCCCCATGGCCTTATCCATTGAACTAATTCTAGGTGTTGCCCTTGGCCCGAAACCATTCTTGGCTTGGCTGCTTAAGGCTGATCACCTAGCCTGCTCCCCAAAAACATCCAGCCACCTTGTTTAGGTTGCTGCAGTGGGGCCGCCAGCCTGAGGGCAAGCAGGGCTTTCCTCAGTGTCCAAGGCGACCAGCCTTTCTCCTGCTTAGGTCACAATTGAAGGCTCTCACCTGGCCCCACCCCCTCATTGACTTGACCACCTTCAGCTCTGGGCCAGGCCCCGGCCATGGTCCAGAAACCTCACCACCTCAAGCATTGGACCACTGAGCAAGCATAACTGGCCAGTCTGCCCTGCTCCTCACAAACGGGGGGCCACTGCCCCACCTCTGGAAGTGTTGTTTGGTGACTAAAAGACCCAACTGCCTTCTGCTCACAGGTTGTCTCCCACCAGATGGCCTTCTGCTCACAGGTTGCCTCCCACCCTGGCCCAAGGTCCACAAGCATGGAGAGGCCAGCCCCCTGTTTGGACAGCCATGGACCTCCATGAACCTCGGAGGCCACAACCGCCCCCACAATGGAGCGTCTCGAATCTGAGTGTCCTGCGACCCCCACGGCCAAGTCTAAGGGCTTTGACATTTGGGCAGAGGTGTTTCAAGTCTCCAAAAATGACTTTCAAATCTGGGGGCACTGACGCGCCACTCCTGAAGTACACTGTTACCTTGAAAATAAGACATTATCTTATATAAATTTTTGCTTCCAAAGATAGGCTAGGTCTTATTTTCAGGAGTTGTCTTATTTTTCATGAAGAAGAATATGGCACACATAGTTTGTTAAATAAAAATAAAGGAAATGTATTACCGGTATACAGTACAGTAGGACTATAGTTGTCAACACAAACTAGACAAACAGAATCCTACAGTATCAGGAATTTACTCATTTATTCAAGGACAATTATGTCAACATCTTCTGGAACATCATTATAACAATCCAATTCCTGAATTTCCTGGTGAATTTCTGTGAATCCGTTTCTTTCAGAATCAGTGGACCAAAACTCTCATATTCAGCCCAGGGTGGGAAGGGAGGGCTTATTTTCTGGGGATGCCTTCTATTTCACTCAGAAGGAAACCTATCAGTAGGTCTTATTTTCAGAGGTTGTCTTATATTCGGGGAAACAAAGTACTTACTGGTCGCTGGGACCTGAGAACGAGGGGTCTGCCCCATTCACAGGGAAAGCCCTTTCTTGAGGACAAGGAACCTTCTTGCTGGCATCCGGTCCGAACCAGCGGATGATGAGGCTTTTGTGGCCACTGGGGACCCCCCTCCTCATTCACATGGCCTTATCCCCCGGACCACTTCCTCACACATGGGTGCCTACTTTTCCACCTCTGGAAGTGGTATTCAGTGTTTGTGAACTTGGCCTCCAGTAATCAAACAAATAAAATAAAACCATATATTAGTGTTTTTGGTTTCTTCAAGTATTTACCCAAAAGTGGAATCACTGGGTTATAATGCAGTTCCACTTTCCGAGGAGCCTTCATACTGTTTTCATTGTGGTCGAGCCACTCTGCATTCCCACCAAAGAGCACGAGTGTTCCCGTTTTCCACATCCTCACCAGCACTTGCTGTTATTGATAACAGCCATTCTGGCGGATGTGAGGTGATGTCTCATTGTGGTGTTAATTTGCATTTCTCTGAATTGTAGTGTGTTGAACAACTTTTCATATGTCTATTGGCATCTGTAGGTCCTCTGTAGAGAAGTGTCTCTTCAGCTTCTCTGCTCAGGTCTTAATTTTGTGTTATTGTTGTTGAGTTATCTGAGTTCTTTATATATTTTGGATGTTAATTCCTTACTCAATGTACCACTAATGAGTATCTTTTCCCACTCAGCAGTTGTCTTTTTATTGTGCTGATGTTTTCTCTTACAGTGTAAAAGCTTTTTAGTTTGATGAAGTCCCATTTTTTCTTGTGACGCAAGACATATTGCTAAGGGAAATGTCTGAGCTATTATTGCCTATGTTTCCTCCAGGAGTTTTATGGTTTTAATTCTTACATTTAAGTATTTTATCCATTTGAGTTTATTCTTGTATATAGTGAAAAAGATGGTTTAGCTTAAATTTTTTGCATGTATTTGTCCAATTTTCCCAACACCATTTACTGAAAGCTCAATTTCAGGTTCTTGCCTCCCTTGTCAAATATTAATTGAACACATGTATACTTACTTCTGGGCTTTCTCTTTTGTTCATTGATCTATATGTATGTTCTTATTCTAGGACTATGTTTTTTTTATTTTATTGCAATAGCCTTGTAGTATACAGTTTAATATCAGGTAGCATGACACCTCCAACTTTGTCCTTTTTCAAAATTGCTGCCTCTATTCAGGGCCTTTTGTGATTTCATATAAAGTTTTGGATTATTTGTTCTAATTCTCTAAAACAAAACAAAAAACAAAAACAAAAAAACACCATTACTATCATAATAGGAATTATATGTGAATTTAGAAATGCTTTGGGTAGTGTGGACAATATTTTTATTGATTTTTTTGTTTAAAATATTACATATAGCAATACATCTCTCCTTTTTCTTTCCCCATGACCTTCCCCCAGCCTCCCCTAGCCCTTGCTGCATGCCTCACCACCACCCCAGAATCAGGTGTCCATTGGTTAGGCCTATATGCATGCATACAAGTCCTTTGACTGATCTCTTCCCCCTCTTCCCAACACTCCCCAGGCTTCCCGCTGTCACTTGACAGTCTGCTGGGTTCTTTACTGCTTGTATCTATCTTTTTGTTCATCAAGTTATAATGTTCTTTCCATAAATGAGTGAGAGCAAGTGGTATTTTTCTTTCATTTCCTGGTTTATTTCACTTAACATAATGCTCCTTTTTTTTTTTTTTTTTTTTTTTTGAAGGTGGGGCTTGTTGGTTTTTTTATTATAAAAGAAAAAATAACTCCTCAGAATCTTAAGGAACGAAAAGGAATATTTCACACTCAGAACAGACACCAGGATACAAAATTACAAGTGTTTAACCCAGTCCCGTCCTCCTCCCCTCTAGGAGGGGACAGGAAGGCTGTGGAAGCAAACAAGCAATTCTGTCAAAGACTTCAAATCCCTATAAATAGGATTAAAATCTAAACTGGTTTTAAATTTTTTTTTTTTTTTTTAAATATATTTTATTGATTTTGTACAGAGAGGAAGGGAGAGAGATAGAGAGTTAGAAACATCGATGAAAGAGAGTCATCGATCAGCTGCCTCTTGCACACCCCCTACTGGGGATATGCCCGCAACCAAGGTACATGCCCTTGACCGGAATCGAACCCGGGACCTTTCAGTCCCCAAGCCGACGCTTTATCCATTGAGCCAAACCGGTCCCGGCAAATTTTTTTTTTAATATATCAAAAGGCCTGCTTTAGTGACATGCTAGTCCCCCAGAAAATAACCCAATACCCCATTGTCAGTAACATACATGCTCAAGTTGACCAGCCAACTCATATTTCTCAACCCCTGTGCATACGTGTCTTTCTAAGCCAAAGCCATGGGGCTCGGGTGTCTGCTGTTATTTGCTCCCGTTAGCCAACCTGTGTCCCGAAGGGCCGGCAGGGCACAGAGAAACCCTCACATGGTAGTGAAGGTTTAATGGCCCCTAACAGCCAACTTCTCAACCCCCCTCAAAAGGAGAGCCTTATTTCTAACAAGACTTCTCGCCTCAAATCTGGCTCCATCAGAATGTTTTTCTTCTTTAGAAAAAGCACACGTATCTGCACACCCATGCATATATAATTTTTTTGTTTTTTCATTTAAATATAAAACTACTACTCTGATTCGTGTTGCAAACGGGAGAACCAAGCAGTGAGAACTTGTTCTTTGAAGGTAGGGCTAACCCATCCCATCCCTTTATGCTGGGCTTGCCTTCCAGTGAGGGCCCTCAGCCCCAGGCCAGGGAAGCAGGTCCCTGCGAAGGAAGGGGTCACAGTTGGCAGGTAAGAGGGCTTCCTGCCTGCTGCCCCACCATTTCCCAATTCTCACTTTCATTAGGAAGATGCTTATAACCTTTTATGGAACTTCCCAACCAAAGGAAGTATCTAACCTAGTCCCAGAGCAAGCCCAGCATTCCTACCTCCCTTCAGCTAACTCAAAGAAGAAAAGGGTCTTCCCCCTTCCTTCACAATACTATGCTCACTGTCCAGATAGCTACGCCCGTTGGACAAACACCTGATTAAGTGAAGCAGTGGTCATGTTTCCCCTTCCTCCCTCCCCACTAAACACACTAGAAAGCTTCAGTGATAGGGGAAAAAGGGTGTGTGTGTGTGTGTGTGTGTGTGTGTGTGTGTGTGTGTAAGAGACTAAGGACTTCACCCCTCTAACCTGGCCAAAGAAAACAAGAGATATTAACTGGGCACAAGGAAAAACGGACCTTGATATTCTGCCCTTTTGAGTTACATTTGTTATGACAACGGGATGGAGTAGTCAGAAGGAGGTGGATGGCTGCGAGTCTAGTCCGCTTAGTTCTTGTACTGGAAAGGCTCGTCGCCAGTTGCCAGTTTGGTTGAGAAGGTCGAGCGGAGGAGGGCTTCCGTCACCGCGAAGGGGTCACAGTTGGCAGAGGGGCCAGTCTTCTCCTGGCCCGCAGCCCGGGAGATGCGGATGCTGGCGCTGCGGTTGGCCACGCCGGCCGAGAAGTCATTGATGTTGGAGGTTTCGTTGAATCCAGTAAGGCGCCGGGCATTGTCCCGGCCCCCCTTGGGGTCATAGGCTCGGATGTGGTACTGGTGGCGCTTGCTCAGCCTCTCGATGGACTCCTCAATGTACTTCAGACCGTTCTCTCGCATGGCCTTGGTGCTGAAGTTGGTGCGGCAGCCTGCGCCATTCCAGTTCCCAGGAATGGGCTTGGGGGCGAAGGTTGCTATCATTCCAAAGTCTTCACACACTCGGTGCAAGATGAAACGGGCCACCCAGAGATGATCTCCCATTTCGATTCCTTCGCAGGGTCCTATTCGGAATTTCCGCTGGGCGGGCACGGCCTCGGCATTTGTCCCTGCGATCTTGATGCCAGCGTGCAAGCAGGCCTGGTGGTGAGCCTCCACAATATCCCTGCCGTAGGCGGTCTGCTCCCACGCCGCAGTAGTGTGGACCTTGGGGTCCAGGGAAGCCATCGGAAGGCCCATCTGTGCCCATGAGAGTATATTCCTGCTCCATTCCAAACCAGGGATGCTGATTGCTCACCATGTCCATTATCGGTGTTCAGGTATATCTTAAATTGGTCTCTGCGGGTTTGTGGTTGTACTTGAAGACTTCACAGAACACCAGATTGTTGGGGTCCTTGTGGAAAGGGTCCCGAAACATGGCAACAGGAACAAGATACATGTCATTGTTGGAGCCTTCAGACTGCATGGTACTGGAGCCATCAGGATTCCACTTGGGCAACCTGTCTATACTCTTGGGCTCACTGTCCAGGGTCTGGGTCTTGCATCGCAGTCCTTCCCCAGTACCGTCAATCCAGACACACATAACTAGGACTTTATGCCCCTGAGGCAGGGACAGGTACATCTGCTTGACGCCTTTGTTCAACTGGGAACTTCCCGAGGTGGACATGGTGGAAGTTGTTCTGGGGGGCAAGCAGACAGCGGGGCCAGGGGGCCGGGCGGGCAGGCCGTGAGAGCGAGGTGCAGAGGAGAAGAGAGAGAGAATGTGGGGAGTGCTGCTCAGACATTCGGCTCTTCTCCCATCCTCAGCTTGCTAACATAAAGCTCTTCAGGTCCATTCATGCTGCTGCAAGTGGTAAGAATTCCTTCTTTTTTACAGCAGTGCAGTATTCCATTGTGTAGATGTACCATAGTTCTCTAATCCACTCATCTGCTGACGAGCACTTGTTTCCAGATCTTAGCTATCGTAAATGGTGCTGCTGTGAACATACGGGTGCATACATCCTTTCTGATTGGTGTTTCTAGTTTCTTGGGATATATTTCTAAAAGTGGGATTACTGGGTCAAATGGGAGTTCCATTTTCAGTTTTTTGAGGAAACTCCATACTGTTCTCCACAGTGGCTGCACCAGTCTGCATTCCCACCAGCAGGACAGGAGGGCTCCTTTTTCTCCGCATCCTCACGGGAACTTGTGTTTGTTGATTTGTTGATGATCGCCATTCTGACAGGTGTGAGGTGGTACCACATTGTTTGATTTGCATCTCTCGGATAATTAGTGGCAAGTGGCTCCTCAATGGCTGGGACTTCCCCAAGGGTCTGAGCTCCATGGTGCCAACCAGCTGTTTGCAGAGTCCCTCTCTCTCTAATAAAGGCGTTCTGATAGTTTACTTATAACTTCTATTACCAGGGTGTCTGTCTGAAGCAGTCTCTTTCTATATTTTAATTTGCTATGGGCTGGAGACCCAGATACTCACAGCTGGCAGATATAGTCAAAATTTGAGGCTACAGCCCTAGCCAGTTTGGCTCAGTGGATAGAGCATCGACCTGCAGACTGAAGAATCCTGGGTTCAATTCCTGTCAAGGGCACATGCCAGGTTGCGGGCTCAGTCCCCATTTGGGGGGCATGTAGAAAGCAGCTCTCTCATCATTGATGTTTCTATCCCTCTCTCCCTCTCCCTTCTTCTCTGAAATAAATAAAAATGTATTTTTAAAAATTGGGGACTACATTGAGGTGTCCTCCAAGATGTTAAAACTTTAAAATCCCCACGGAGGAGGGAGAATGACTGTGCAGCTGAATGGCTCTCCACCAGGAGGGTCTTACGTAACCCAGGCCAAAAGCAGGCCCGGCTGCGGGAGGCTCCAGTGCGGGGCGGGCGTGCCCCCCACAAAACGCAGGAGACGAAGAGCCAACAGGCGCGACGCGGGCAGGGCCCAGACCCATGCGTGGATTTGTCACCAGGGATTTCAGGATTATGAGCCCATTATCAAGACTTCTTTAAAAAAATTATTGTTTAAAATATTACACATGTCCACCCCCCACTAACCCTTCCCAACCTCCCTTTCCCCCAGGCCCTCACCACCCCATTGTCTGCCCATAGATTGATTACGCATATATGCACACAAGGTCCTCGTAGATTACTTCCCCACAGAACCTCCCTCCCTCCCCCGCCTTCCCTCCGAGTGAGTTTCCACACTCTGGTCCATGCCTCCATGTCCCTGGATCCACTCCGTTCATCAGCTTGTTTTGTTAGATTCCAAATATGAGTGAGGTCATGTGATACATGTCTTTCTGTGACTTATTTCACGTAGCATGATACTCTCCAGGACCCTCCATGCTCTCAGAGGGTAAGAGATCCTTCTTTTTACAGCTGCATAGTGTTCCATGGTGCAAATGTACCACAGCTTTTCATCCACTCCTCTGCTGCTGGCACTCAGCTGTTTCCAGATCCCAGCCATTGTAAGTCGTGCTGCTATGAACACAGGGGTGCACACATTCCTTGTGACTGGTGCTTCGGTTTCTTAGGATGTGTTCCTGGGCGTGGGGTCACTGGGTCAGAGGGCAGTTCCACATTTCCTTTTTTGAGGACTTCTTAAATGGAAGTGATGCAGGGAGTTTGCAGCCTGGAGGTTTCCAGCACTCAGTTTCTACGGAGGGAATCATTCCGAGGCGAGTGTCAATCATTCCCTCGTTCACTCCCTCCCACTGGGGGGTCACTGTCCTTGCCCGGACCCCTCCCACGGCCTTTACTCTGGTCCGTGCCCCCCAAGCTGCTCCCAGGGCAGAGGCCCCGCAGGGCCCGACGCTCTGGCCGCGCTCCCACGCTGAGTTTGAGCCACAGCGGGCCTCACTGTCTGCCCACGGCAGCCTCACGAGCCTGGGAAAGGCATGGTTATCCCCGAAATGGATTCACGGCTGTGGGGACCCTGCCCCGAGCAGCTGCACGTGGAAGGCCCCCGTGCCCAGGCCCTGGCAGGGCGCTGTTCCTGCGCACACTGTGCCTCCTGTACGCTGGTAACACCTGGCAGGAAGCCTCTCGTCTGAGGCTGCGCTGGCAGCGGCTCCGGTTCCAATGGCCGTCTTGGTCGGCAATCAGCACATCCTCTATTCCCGCGGCTTCTCCCAATCCCGCGCCCGCGCCCACAGAGGTCCCGCCCTGGCAGATGGGCTCGGACCCAATGACCATCCTGTGCCAACTAGCATGGAGCCTAAACCCCGAGGAGTGGCTATGGCCCGGGGCTTCACGGGCCGGAGTGTCCGGGCTGCGTTGTGCACAGGCCTTCGGACACTGCCTGGGGACAGAGGCCGGGTCCGAGCTCCATCACGGAAGGCTGGTCTGCCATTCCCTCCCTGCTCTCCCTCTGAGAAGTCCTGAACCCCTGAGCCCCTTTCCTCCCCAGCAAACAGGATGACAACATTTCATTTCACTTGGGCTCACCATCCCAACGCCAGCAGCGCAGTCTGTGCGATCAGAAGCACCTGCCGCCCCAGGCCCACGCTTGCCGCCAAAGGACTCGGAAGTTCCTTTGCTGATCGATCGATTGATCGACCACTGGTGTGCAGAGGCCAGTGCTCGCTCTTGGGACCTCCTGCCTGGCCCCCCTCCCAGAGCCTCCTGGACACTGGCTCCTCGCTCCCTCTCCCTCCTTCTCCAGGTGTGAAAACTGCCTCTCCATGCCGCTCTCTTAGCAAACGGAACCACAGCTCAGAGGGACCCCTTCCACATGCCGTCACTCCACCGCCCAGCCGCTCCCGCCCCGCAGCCCCCCACTGCTCCCCAGGCACGCACTCCACTGAGTCTCTGAATGGACTTCCGCGGGCCTGGCGGGCGGCCCCTCCATCCGCTCCGGACACGGGCAGCGGAGACTGTCAAACAGGCGTTTCGTGATTCATTTCAATTTTTATTCATTGAAAAAAGCTGATATTGAGACAAAAATTACCTTAAAGCTATGCAACAACACAGTCACATCTTCAGCACAGTCAATGTTTGAAGCGACCAAGGCGGCTGACACTGAAAAGGCCGTGGGGACTTTGGACACTAGCGCACAGTGTTTCGCTGTAAGAGCAGCACAGACCTCTATTTTGCTGCAAAGACTTCTGATTTTGCCTAAAGTTCCTAATTCGTAACCAGAGTCTGGAATGAGAACGACAGGGCTACCTGAGCTGGCCCTCCTCCATGCACAGCCTGGCCTCAGATCAGTGCCAAGCCACCGCAGCCTCTTCCCGCAGCCTTCCGAACCCCCACCGCCCCGCACCCAGCGGCAGCCTGGCAGACTCCTGCGGCAGCCATAGGCACTGCTCATGCACAGACACGCCCTGGGGCAGCACGCCCTCCCCGCCCCAGGGAGGCCCTGCCTTGGCCACGTGACCTTGGCTCCCTCTCAAGGACCTCCACCCCTGGCTGAAGGGAGAGAGACCTCTGTGGGGACTCAGGTGGCCCCTCGGACTGGGTCAGCCCAGCCTGGGGGGGAGGGGGATGCAGGGCGGGGCTCCGCCCAGAGGTGGAGAAGGGAACGAAGTGGTGCTGGTCTCCAGGACAAGGGCTTCGCACACCCTCACTCGCCCCAGACCCTCCCCAAACCAAGTGAAGCCTAACACAGGGGAGCACCCCAATGGGCAGAGCACGTGGTCCTGTGCCCTCATCTGCCCCCGATGCCCCTCGCCACACCGCCAAGATGGCAGCCAAGGCAGGCGTTTCCACCGGCGTGCCGAGCCCTCTGGAAGCTGTGATTCCCGCCAGCCTGGAAGCAGGCTGCACCGGGGCTCCTCCCGGACCCTGGACCCTGACTCTGAGCGTCTGCTTGAGCCCAGGTCTCAGGAGGCTCAGGGCACGCAACGCACAGCAGGCAGGCGGCGTCCAGAGATGTGCACTCTCTCTCTGCCTGCCGAGTGCCTGGGCATGTTAGAGGTCCCTGGCAGTTCACAGTGCACTTCTAGAAAGTTCTCAGAGGCCCTGGAAGAATAACTCTCTTCCCTGCATGGCGAACCTTCAGGTGGCATCTCCAACGTCAGTCAGCCAGGGCTCCGACGGGTTCGTGCCAACAGCGGCCTGGCCCCATCCAAGGCGCCCACGGCTTTTGCTTCCGTCTCCCACTCACGCCGCCTCTGGCTCTGCAGACGGGTGTCCCCGCCCGAAAGCTGTGCAGAGAAAGTGCACCTGCAAATGCTCATGCGAACAGGCTTGGGCTCCCGGCACACGGCTGCCCCAGAGCTGGTCTGCGGGAACTCAGCTCCCGTCTCTGCATGACACAGTCCGGCCCCAAGGCGGCGCTGGTCAGCAGGCGGTGCTCGGAGCGCCCTGGGACCACTAAGCCGCAGAGCCTCTCGCAGCAGCTGGCTGACCTTGCTGCTGCTCAGGGGGTTTAAAGGGGCTGGGGGCTGGGGCTTGGAGTTCTGAACAACTTCAAGACTAAGTTAAGGAAAAGAAAGAAACACCAATCTAAAAAATAACCAAGGAAAGAGACGGCAGAGAAGTCAGGCGGGAGAGGCTCCTCCTCACCACCGCGTGTCAGAATAGACGGGCCTTTCCCACGGACCAGGAGCATCTACAACTGCAACTTCCTCCTCCAGGACAGACAGACACACACACACACACCCCGACGGGCGGAGCTGCCGCTGCCGGAAACTACGTAATGACTGTAGTTTCCCAGAGGAACCCTGTGCACCTCCTTGTGGCCACCCTGTGCTTTTAAACTACCATTGCACTTGCTTTGTTTCCCAAACAATTCCTACTGGGAGGAATCTATGTTAAAACCCAGGGGCGGCTGTTCTGGTTAAAAGAAAACAGTGGGAAGGTGGTGGGCTGCACTGAGAGAGGTTGACCGAGTTGGGGTACGAGGGCCCCTGGGCGGCGGCTCCTGCCCGGGTAAGGGCGGTCTGTGTGGGCTCCCGCAGGGTCCCCACAACGCTCAGCTGGGGTGGCCCGTCCGCATGGTCCACACACCTACCGAGCCGCCACGATCTGGATACGGCGGCTGCTGGAGGAAGAACACCCGGGCGTTTCCCAGGGCAGCGAACGGCCTCCATCCACGGGCTCCCCGTCTCTGCTCCCCTTCAAACCGGCAGGGAAGGTGGAGGAAGGGAGAGGAGAAGGCACTGGCCAATTCCGATGACACACAGACAGGATAAGCCCTGGAGGACAGTGCGCGGCTGACCGACACACACAGCCGCGTCTGAGACCTTCAGCGATTCGTGAAAACCAACACGGAGGACGCTCGGAGCCACGCTCTCCCACACGGGGCCGCTCCTGCAGCGACGGCCTGGCCGTGTGTCCCACGCGGTGTCCGCACGGGTGGAGCTCGGCGCTGCTGCTGGTGGCGGAAGGGGCGAGGCCTTGGCGCCCGCTGGCCCTCCTGTGACGCGGGACAAAACGGGCTCTGCTCCTGACCCGGCACGGGGGCTCCGCCGCGGTGTCAGGTGGTCCTCGCCTCACACAGAGTCCCAACAAACCCACAGAAAGACGTGACAGAATCTCCCCCACCCACACGTTCACACGCTAAACAAAATGCAAACTTCCTTTCCGGGAGGAGGGACTCCGCCCGCCACTTTCCTGACACGTTTATTAAATGCATTATGTGTCTTAGAAAAATAAACGAATGGCGTGTTTACAGCACAAGATCATCTCACAGACGTACAGCAGGCCAGCAGCAGAGCCTGCGAGCCGTCGTGGCGAACGCCGAACCGGTGTGACGTTCACAGCTGGTCACCACCAAGTTCACTCATTCATTCCTCTCTTCTTCAGTTTGTTTGGTTTTGGCCCATAGAAAAATAACATAGTGCAACTCAAAGTGCATCTTTTAAAATAAACCATCAACTCTCTTTATCAGATAAAATATTTACACCGTTTGGTTTCTCGGAGGAAGGCTCGTTCAGGCTATCACCATGGGGACGTCATCGGAAAATCCAGTTATCATCGGAGTGTCTTCGTCATCCTCCCCTAAAGCAGAACAGCCAGTGGTGAGCCCCAGCGCACTGCGTCCGCCCCACCCCCCGCCACCATGCCCCCCGTCCCCTCATGCCCTGCCCGCCCCCTCCGCCCCCACTATCACAAGCCCCAGCCCTGGCACAGCCGCCGAGGCTGAAGCCCAGCCAGCCTGCCCTGAGGAGTCACCTCCCCGTCAGCAGATGGCCAAGCTCCTCCTCAGAACAGCCTGAGCCGGACAGTGAGTGAGGTGATCTCTTGGGAAGGAGCGTCTTACTCGCACACACAGGCCCCTGGTGCTGGGCCCCGTAAGTGACCCACACCGACTGTCCGCACGGGGAGCGGCCTGCGGGCTCTCCTCCACCTCGGCTTCAGGGAAGGCGAGGCTGAGTGCTTGGAGGCCAGCTGCCCAGCCGAACGCCTTCCAGCACCCAGGTGTGACCCTGGGGGCTGCCCAGAGCATCCTCTGCCCCTGCCCCTGCCGGCAGCACGGTGCCCACGGTCTCACGGCAGGAAAGGCACCGAGCAGCGGCCAGCAGAGGAAGAGCCATGATCGGGGATGGGAGCACACGGTGTCTTTACAGACAAACCAGAACTCGTGCACAGAAAACAATGACTGTGCACACTCAGCTTTTGCAACCCGAGTCTGGAGAGGCCCAAGCTGGGGGGAGGTCCCCGAGCCGCCACTTCACTGCAGCCAGTGGCCCGCCAGCCCGCTTGGCGTTTGGGGCGGTGAGTGTGCAGCCATTTGTAGGTGGGCTGCTCCTCGTTCCCCTGCACAGGCTGTCCGTACACAGAGGACTGGCCAGCGAGGCTCCGCTAACCATCAGAAAGGAAAATAGCAAGTCGGAAGCATGACCTCTTTCTTCTTTCAACCCTCACCCGGGGATATTTCCCACTGAGTTTTATGGGGAGTGGAAAGGAGAGGTCAAGACAGAGAGAACCTTCCATGTGAGAGAAACACATGGACTGGTTGCCTCCGGCATGCGCTATGACCAGGGCCCAGGCAGGGGAGGAGCCTGTAATGGGGGTCCGTGCCCCTGACCGGAACCGAACCCGGGACTCTTCAGTCCGGAGGCCGATGCTCTATCCGCTGAGCCACACTGGCTGGGGTGAAAGAATGCCTCTATCTTGACTGGGCGTGGGCACCCTCCGACCCCTGTCTCAGGATGAGGGGCTGGACTGAGCCTGGCAGTCCGCTGCTTCCGCCAAGGCGGCCCCCACAGTGCTTCCTGGGCCGCGCCCCAGCCAGCGCCAGCACGGGGCCTGGCACTTCCCCAGGGGCCACGCTCTCCCTCTCCCGGTTTAGCCCGGGCAGCGGGCGTCTCTAGTCGGAGGGGGCTCAGGCGGGTGCTTCCTAATGAGGGCCTGCCCTGCCGGGAGGAAGGGCCACCTACCCAGGTCGTCGCCCGAGGAGAAGACGGCTGCGCCCAGCCGCGAGCTGTAGTGGCTGTTGGCAAAGGCGGTGAAGCTGCCCTGCAGCCGCCGGTGCTTGGCATACAGGACGGCGAAGCCGACCCCCAGGCTCAGCAGGACCAGGAACAGGATGGGCACTACCACGGCCGCCACGTCGGGGGTCCTGGCAGCCTGCAGTGCTGCCGCGTCCCCACCTGCAAGGCAGTCGTCAGCCTCCGGGTGAGGGCAGGAGCCAGAGCAGCTGCCCTCGGCGCCCCCGACGCAGAACACGGGCCTGCCACGCCGCTCAGAGAGCCTGCGCCGCCCCGGCTCCCTGCCCGCGCGGACGGCCCACGGCCCTGTGATGCACACATGGTCCTTACAGACTCCTCACCACTCCTGTGGGTCACTGGGCCGTCTCTCTGAAGGGGGACCTTTGCTGGGCACCCACGGGTCTCCTCAGCGATCGCTCACCTGGGGCACCCGCAGGAGGTCCCTTAGACTGCCCCCCAAAAACGGCAACCGCCAACACAGCCGCCAGCCGGTGTGAACAAATCAAAATTACACTTTTCGGGGGGTTTGGTCCGATGGGTAAAACATGCCCTTTCTGGGGTGCACAGAACTGGCTCGTGGGCGCCAGAGACGCAGAGGCTGGGAGGCGCGGCTGTGGAGCAGCACCCGGGTGTGGGGTTCAGGCAGGCCCCGGAGAGGGGTAGCCTTTTCATCTTAGAAACCCCAGGGCGTCTGGGCCGGCGGGATGGGGGGCCGGGAGCCTGCTTGGCTGGGGCTGCCCCTGGAGCAGGGGAGGCCTTGGCCTCAGGCAGAACCGGCAGCTGCCCGGGGACTCCCCACAGGGTCAGACAGGCCTGGGCAGGGTCTGCAGTCAAACCTAACAATTCAGGATTTGTGTCTTTATTTTGTCACTGTTGACTTAGCAAAAAAAAAAAAAAAAAAAAAAAAAAGGAACTTATATCATAAGTGGCAACCTAACTCCATCACGGCTGGGGCAGTCCAGGGGGCAGCAGGTGGAAGGGGCAGGATAAGGGCTCCTGCCTTCCACACGGCCAAGGCCAGAGAGCAGAGGGCAGGGTGCAGACTGAGGGCCAGCGGCAGGGTCCTCACAATGGTGTCCCACGTCTGCTTCCAAGGTGCTGACTGGTCTCCCTTAACCGGGAGGGAATGCCAGGCTCACAGCGCTGTCACCTACCACTGCCCCCCAGACAGAGCCTCCTCGTAAAGCACCCGGGCGGCTCACCCGCCGCTCCGCCTGCCTGCTCAGGGCGTGTGGAGGGGAGTCAGTGCCGGGTCAGCGGGCAGCTCGCTGGTTTTCTTCGGAGCGGAGAGGACGTGTTCCAGGAGAGCACCCTCCTCACCAGGCCCCGTGCCGAGTGCATTCCCGGCACCGCGGCGGGAAGGAGGCGGACTGACCTGGCCCCGTGTCGTCGAAGAGCAGCACGGCCGGCTCCCCACACAGCTGGCTGCCCAGGAGGCAGCTGGCCCGCACGGAGAACGTGTAATTGTGGCCCAGCTTCAGGTGGGAGACTTTGAAGAAGGTGTCGGTCGTGTTCCCCAGGTACGCCGTGGTGTTCAGGGAGTTATCGGACGCGTGGATCTCATAGCCCTGGGGACCGAGATGCGTCAGGAGGCTGCGAAGGACTGCGCCACGCGCTTCCCCTGCCCCGCCCCCAGGTGTCAGAGCGCCCGGGTATCCTGGGATCCTGGATCCAGAGAACAGGCACTTTCCTGTCACCAATACCCTCAGTGCGGCCTGACCACAGCCACACACTGCTTGCCATGACATGCACTAACCACCAGGGGGCAGACGCTCCAACTGGTAGGCTAGCTTGCTGCTGGGGTCCAGCTGATGGATGGGTACTGAGTCAGACAGTCCTGATTGAGATGGGCTGGACATGTCCTGGAGCCCTCCCGCAGCCCCTCCCGGCCAGATTGGGCCGGCCTTGGTATAGAGAGGGATTCTGCAGGCTGTGTGGCGGATGAAATAAGCAAGCTTCTGTGCTGGAAACATCCCTACTGGGACAGCCCTGGCCCACATGCCTGGGCCCCAAAACAGACCCACACATGGCCCACTGCATCCTCAGTCTTCTGGTCCCGGACCGGTCTGCTCTGGGACAACATCAGGGGAGGGAGGATGTGCATGGCTCGGGCCAGAGCCATCGGGCTGGGCGGCTGAGCTGCAGCCCCAACCGAGAAGCTGGGCTCCTGCCACCGCCAACCAAGCCCCTAACGCCCATCTCCTGCCTGCCCTGGGCTCTCACATTCCAATGTGGATCTGGGTACGGCACGTGCGAAGTCCACAAAGATGTAAAGAAAGAAGTTAATGTCTCGGCACCTGCCACCCACACCCCACTGCGCAGGCGTCTCCTCGCTCACACACAGAACTGCCCGCGGCCTCGCACGGGAATGCCGTGTCCTCAGAGCGGAGGTGGAAACGGTCCCGCCCATACAGGGCCAGCGAAGGCACTTGATCTGGCCCTGGCAAGGCAGAGGGGTGAGCTAACTAAATGTCTGATTTAGTGGCTCAGTGACTGAGCATCGACCAGTGAACCAGGACATCACAGTTCAATTCCTGGTTCAGGGCACATGCCCAGGTTGAAGGCTCAGTCCCCAATTGATTCTCTCTCCCCCTCTCCTTTCCTCTCTAAAATCATAAAAATATATTGTAAAAAATACACAGCAGGCTAATTTTTAAGGTGATGATTTTGTGTGGCCTTCGAGTGAGGTCATTACTATCCAAATGGCCCTGGGCAGAAAGAGTTCCCTGCAGGGGAACAGGAAGCACTGCTGGGTCACGGGGTGAACACTTAATGCTTCACACCCGGGACCACAGAAGGCTGACCGACTCACCTCCAGGTGCTAACCTCCTCCCCCGCTCTGCCCCGTCAGCCGGAAGAGCAGCCTTTGTTGCTCAGGTCACTGTTGAGGTTGAACCTTGTTTCATGTATTTAACCTGCTGCCGGGACTTTTACTTCACTTCCGGTACCTTTTAAACATCAGGGTATTTCTGTTGGAACTGCTTTGAAAGCATTCTATGCTCGCAGACTAGCCATTCACAGCATGCCTGTGGAGCGGTGAGACTATCCCAGCTGGGATTTAGCTTTGCTTCTGCCATGACGCTGTGCCTGTCCAAAACCTGGGACTCGGCACACTGGCCACCAGGCGCCCAGGCTCTCGTCTGCGACGTTCAGGCTCTGCCAGCGATGGTCTGCCCTCCCGGGCGCCAACACGGCTCCCTGTCCTGCCTGCTGGAGCAGAGGAACTGTCTCCGGAGACGAACGAGTCTCTTAGGCTGGCAGACACGGTCAGGTGCCTCTGCTCCCCTGACTTCACTGGAGGAAGCAGCCGAGACGCCGGGTGGAGAGCAGCTTGGACCAGCGCTGGGACTGAGGGGAGGGCCCAGGCAGGGAGCCCAGCCGGGCAGCAGCCCGGGAGGACGGCCCAGCACAGATGCTCGTCCTCAGAGGGCAGTGTGGGCACTTCACCAGGCAGCAGCCCAGAGGCGGTCCCAGCCCACGTCCACGCCCTGCCTCGCTGCCCCCCTCGGGCCGCTGCCTGCTGGGAACGAGGGGAAGTAGAGGGGAGCCCCGCACAGCCTCTCAGCCCACTGTCCGGCACTGAGCAGGGGAACTCACCCTGCTCTCCTGAAAATACTTTTCCTTCAAAGCCAGACTCTTCCAGAACAGAAGGACGTGGTCACGTTCTGTGATGATTTTTAAGGCATCAGGTGCTGACAGCGACACTGGAAAAACGAGGAAACAGGATGCAGTCAGTGGCCACCCATCTGAGTGGCCGTTTTCTTACGTCCAATGGAGACTAAAGAACGCTCACCTTGTAGGACTGATTTGTTTGAGGAGGAAATAAGACACACGCACTGCTTAGTGCAAAGCCTGGCACATGGCAGACACTCTGGAGCTGGCATCTCTTTCAGCCCAGAAACATGGCCAGTGTCTACCACACCCAGGAGCCAGAACCAAGCAGGCAGGCTAGGGGGTGGATAGGCCGACCTGCTCTCCTTGGACCTGAGCCAGAGGGGAGCCAAGCCCAGCGAGGTGAGGGCACTCCCTTTGCCTAGATGAGCACGGCCAGGCCCCAAATCTGGGCCTTCAGTGCCTACGCGGCCGCGGCCAGGTGCCAGCTCTGCCCTGCTTTCTGAACGTGACCTGACTGCAGCACTGCCCAGCTGGCAGGAAGGCCCCTTTGTTGACTGCCCAGGCCAGCTCCCTCCATTTCTGCATGTCACACTGCCGCCAGGAACTGGGTGGCTTCACCCAGGCCCCCCGCGATGCCTGGCTTTAGTGGCGAATGGTCCGTTTTATTTCCTAACTGTCTTGGGCATTTACTCTGTTTCCTTAGAAACTTCAACAACAGCAGGACAGATTGAGAGAGAGAGAGAGAGAGAGAGGGGGGGGGGAGGGAGGGAGGGAGGGAGGGAGGGAGGGAGGGAGGGAGGGAGGGAGAGGGAGTATGGAATGGACGGCTGCTCCCAGCTCACAATGACCGTTGTCTGCTGCAGCTGGCGAGGCCTCGCACTGCTGGCCACATGGACCCTGTGGGCAGTGCCAGCAGCACGCGACCCCGACAGGTGGCCTCTGCCCGCTCACCTGTGGTGACCTTTATGCTGGCATCTTTGCTCATGTTCCCCAGCTGGACGGCGACGTGGTATTTCCCTCCAGGCTCCAACTTGTTGAGTGTGTACTCCACCGTGCTGTTCCGGGATTTCACCTTGTAGCTCCTGTCGCTCTTTCTTATCAGGTCTTTGACTGCAATTGCATACAACTGGACAAGGGAAGGCAAGCAGAAATGCGGCATTTCCCTCGGATGACACACGTTTCAGTGGCTGTGGCCCTCAGCAACAACACTGTGAGCCCAAAAGTCAGACGCTGCTCTCTGGGAACCTGTTGGTGGCTAGACCCAATTTCATAAGTATTCAATCCCAGGATTGGGCACAGAATTACACTTCAACCCCAAAAGCAATCCTAGCCCTAGCCGGCTTGGCTTAGTGGATAGAGTGTTGGCCTTCAGACTGAAAGATTCCAGATTCAATTCAGGTCAAGGGCACATGCCCGAGTTGTGGGCTTGATCTCCAGGAGGGGGTGTGAAGGAGGCAGCCAATCAGTGATTCTCATCATTGATGTTTCTGTCTCTCTGAAATTAAAAAAATATATATATATTTTTTTTGAAGAGCAACTTGAGGGAGAGCCGTGTGCACGGTGGCAGTGGCAGAGAGGAGAGCCCAGGCCGGTGTGGCCTCTGCGTCCCCACCTCCGGCACCACCGGGCTCATGGGAGCACGGAGGGAAGCGGAGGACAGGAAGCTCTCCTCTCCGGCTGCTTCTCGCACGGCCGGGCAGGCACAGCAAAGGGATAGGCAGGGAGCGCAGTGAGCTCACTCTCGGGGGAAGTCGATAGGCAGAAGACCTCAGCCACCACGCTTTAAAGGCCCCTGGACTGGGTGGGGGCAGGGCAGAAGCATGGAGAAGGCAGCGGGCAAGAGGAAACAGGAGTTTTTTGAGATTCGATGCCTCCTGTTTTGGTCAGGGAGAGTAGACGTGTATATGGGGCCCGTTAGGAACCAGCGGGCTGTGAAGGCAGACGGTCAGGGCACAGGCTCAACTCTGCAATGCGCAGCACAATAGTAGTCGAGGTCACCTGCCGGCGATGGAATACTTTGGTCCTAGTCACTATTTTCAAAAGCAGGCGACAGCCTGGACTGGCCTGCAGGCCCCTGTTTGCCAGCCCACGTTGAAAGGCCAGGGGAGGAGATGGAGAAGGCAGAGAAGGGAGGGTCAGCCAGGATCACAGCTGGCAATGAGGGGCGGTGACAACTAAGCAAAGGCAGTCATACAGCCCCCGTCCTTGGTGAGACAGAAAGGAGGCCTCTGGCGCCTGCCCAGGACAGCGTCCTCGCCCTCACCCTGCCCCACACCGCACCCGGAACAGCCAGGCTCCAGGCGACTCGCACTCACCAAGTCCCGGTCAGGGGCGTCATACGGGGACTCCCACTTCAGCACGGCGGAGGTCTTGTCGGTGCGCACCGTGTGCAGGTGGCGCGGCGGGAGCCTGCTGTCCGGGATCATCCGCACCACCACGGAGTCCGAGGACGGCCCCCGGTAAGGCACCACCACACGGACCTGCAGCAACACCACGTGCTCTCAGCATGTAGGCTAAGAGCATGTAGGCCATCCATTCATTCCCAACGAAACACTGACACGAGTGCACAATCAAAATGCAATTTCACAGAAAGACACACATGTGACCAATTTCCCACGAACCCTGAATGTCTGCTGTATTTCTCAGAGGTACCACTGGTAGCAGCTTATGTACTTCCTTCCAGAAATGTCTTCTGTATATGTGTACAGGTATATGCTCATATAGAAATACAGATATTGATGTCTGCATAGATACATACTTCTATGCATGTGTGTATATGTAACAAACTTTCCTAGAAATATTTTTACACATTATGCTCTTAGCATCTTTCACTTAATAAGGTTCTTTCCTTGACAGACATTTGTTTTTTAAATATTTTGCTATCCTAAGCAATAGTATGTTACACATATTTTCCATATATCTTGGCACACATATAAAAGCGTGTTGGCTAACAGCATGGCACACATGGAAGAGCATCTAGGCTAACAGCATGGCACAGGTGGAAGAGCATGTAGGCTAACAGTATGGCACACAAGGAAAAGCATGTAGGCTAAGAGCATGGCACACATGGAATGGAAGAACATGTAGGCTAACAGCATGGCACACGTGGAATAGCATGTAGGCTAACAGCATGGCACATGTGGAAGGAGCATGTAGGCTAACAGCATGGCACATGTGGAAGGAGCATGTAGGCTAACAGCATGGCACACATGGAATGGAAGAATATGTAGGCTAACAGCATGGCACGCGTGGAATAGCATGTAGGCTAACAGCATGGCACACATGGAATGGAAGAGCATGTAGGCTAACAGCATGGCACACGTGGAATAGCATGTAGGCTAACAGCATGGCACACATGGAATGGAAGAGCATGTAGGCTAACAGCATGGCACGTGTGGAAGAGCATGTAGGCTAACAGCATGGCACACGTAGAAGAGCATATAGGTTAACAGCATGGCACAGATGGAAGAGCATGTAGGCTAACAGCATGGCACGCGTGGAAGAGCATGTAGGCTAACAGCATGGCACATGTGGAAGAGCATGTAGGCTAACAGCATGGCACGCGTGGAAGAGCATGTAGGCTAACAGCATGGCACATGTGGAAGGAGCATGTAGGCTAACAGCATGGCACATGTGGAAGGAGCATGTAGGCTAACAGCATGGCACACATGGAATGGAAGAATATGTAGGCTAACAGCATGGCACGCGTGGAATAGCATGTAGGCTAACAGCATGGCACACATGGAATGGAAGAGCATGTAGGCTAACAGCATGGCACACGTGGAATAGCATGTAGGCTAACAGCATGGCACACATGGAATGGAAGAGCATGTAGGCTAACAGCATGGCACGTGTGGAAGAGCATGTAGGCTAACAGCATGGCACACGTGGAATAGCATGTAGGCTAACAGCATGGCACACATGGAATGGAAGAGCATGTAGGCTAACAGCATGGCACGTGTGGAAGAGCATGTAGGCTAACAGCATGGCACACGTGGAAGAGCATATAGGTTAACAGCATGGCACAGATGGAAGAGCATGTAGGCTAACAGCATGGCACGCGTGGAAGAGCATGTAGGCTAACAGCATGGCACATGTGGAAGAGCATGTAGGCTAACAGCATGGCACGCGTGGAAGAGCATGTAGGCTAACAGCATGGCACATGTGGAAGAGCATGTAGGCTAATAGCATGGCACAGGTGGAATAGCAAGTAGGCTAACAGCATGGCACGCGTGGAAGAGCATGTAGGCTAATAGCATGGCACAGGTGGAATAGCAAGTAGGCTAACAGCATGGCACATGTGGAAGAGCATGTAGGCTAACAGCATGGCACGTGTGGAAGAGCATGTAGGCTAACAGCATGGCACGCGTGGAAGAGCATGTAGGCTAACAGCATGGCACATGTGGAAGAGCATGTAGGCTAATAGCATGGCACAGGTGGAATAGCAAGTAGGCTAACAGCATGGCACATGTGGAAGAGCATGTAGGCTAACAGCATGGCACGCGTGGAAGAGCATGTAGGCTAACAGCATGGCACATGTGGAAGAGCATGTAGGCTAATAGCATGGCACAGGTGGAATAGCAAGTAGGCTAACAGCATGGCACATGTGGAAGAGCATGTAGGCTAACAGCATGGCACGTGTGGAAGAGCATGTAGGCTAACAGCATGGCACGCGTGGAAGAGCATGTAGGCTAACAGCATGGCACATGTGGAAGAGCATGTGGGCTAACAGCATGGTATGCATGGAAGAGCATGTAGGCTAACAGCATGGCATGCGTGGAAGAGCATGTAGGCTAACAGCATGGCATGCGTGGAAGAGCATGTAGGCTGAATTCCTGTAAGTAGAATGTGACAAAGGGTTTCATCAGTTGCTTGGCTGCTCGCAGAGCGCTCAGTCCTCCTGTGGCTCTATCATGAGCTCAACTTATGTGCCCCAGAGGCCAATCCCTGGTCACACCGCACCCTGGCCCTCACCTCAGTGCCCAGGCCTGGCCTGAGCTTGGAGCCTGGGAACTAAGCCGCCCCTCACAGGACCTCCCCTGACGTCTGGCACGGACTCACCAGAAACAAGTACTGCTCATCCCTCCCGACAATGACGGTCTTGTTGTGGAGCGAAGTCGTCAAGCTCTTCGGGTTCCGATAGAGGTCAAGGAAGGACGTGGCATAGAAGATGCCGTACACCTGACAGACGGAGAAAGGGGCGTCAGCTCCGTGGCCAGGCCCTACCGTGCCGTTCCCTGGAAATGCTCACGGGCCCTGGGACCAGGTCATGGCCCAGAGAGCAGTCTTCACTTCACGTCCATTTCATGAGCATTTCTGGGGAAGGCGCCTGGGCCGGGCACTGTACTCGCACCTAGAGCGGCGGTTCTCAACCTTCCCAAGGCCGCCACCCTTTAATGCAGCTCCTCATGTGGTGGGGACCCCAACCACAACATTACTTTCATTGCTACTTCATAACTGTCATTTTGCTACTGTTATGAACAGTAAATATGTTTTCCAATGGTCTTAGGCCAGGGTGCTAGTGGTTCTCAACCCCTACTGTAGAGGAACTGTATTAAAGGATCATGGCATTAAAAAGGTTGAGAACCACTGACCTAGAGGTAAACAAGGCGTGGGCTCCATCCTCAAAGGCAGAGAAGGAAAGCAGGTAAGCAGCAAGCTGCCAACAGAGTGTCAGGAGCTCCACAGCGGGGTCTCCAAAGCCACAGCCCTCTACCAGGTGGAGCAGGAATGTGGTGGCCCAGTGGACACCTAGGGAGGTGGGAGCTTGCAGGCTGAGGGGGAGGTGGGAGCTTGTAGACGGGGGGGGGGAGGTGGGAGCTTGCAGGCTGGGGGGGAGGTGGGAGCTTGCAGGCTGGGGGGGAGGTGGGAGCTTGCAGGCTGGGGGGAGGTGGGAGCTAGCAGGCTGGGGGGGAGGTGGGAGCTTGCAGACTGGGGTGGGTGGGAATTTGCAGGCGGGGGGGGGGGGGGGGGAGGTGGGAGCTTGCAGGCTGCGGGGAGGTGGGATCAAATCAGGCTGCTGCTGCAGAAGCCGGGGTGGCTGGACTTGGGATGGAACAAGAAGGTTTATGGCCACGTTAAATTTCATGTCCATCCTGTGCAGCCGGACCTCACTGATACACGCAGGAAAGGGACAGAGTTACAGAGGGGAAGGGAGAATGTGAGGGGCAGGAGTGGGAGGTGCCAAGTGCGCTTCTTTATAAGTAAAACCACAAAGCATGGTCTCTAAGAGCAGTTTCTGCAGCGGGAAAGAGGAAACAGGAAGGTCAGGGCATCCCAGGAAAGGAGGGATCAGGCCATGCAAGGGTCCCATCCCAGCAGCTTGGGATGTTCCTCTGGCACTGCCTGCAGCTAGGACAGAGAGGGGAGAGCCGGGAGTCCAGAGGGGGACAGACTCGAGGTGAGGAGAGAAAGAATTAGGGGCTCCAAGGGGATGGAAAGCAATTATGAATAGAGGGGGCCAGGAAAAGGAGGGGGCTCCAAGCGTGAGATGGGACGAGGCCAGAACAGGCCTAAGCGCAGCGAGGACAAGCCTTTGACCACCCCCCGGGGAGGGCCATCCCAGGAGCACCGCGGGGGGAGGACCATTCCAGGAGCACCGCGGGGGGAGGGCCATCCCAGGAGCACCGCGGGGGGAGGGCCATCCCAGGAGCACCGCGGGGGGAGGACCATTCCAGGAGCACCGTGGGGGGAGGGCCATCCCAGGAGCACCGCGGGGGGAGGGCCATCCCAGGAGCACCGCGGGGGGAGGGCCATCCCAGGAGCACCGCGGGGGGAGGGCCATCCCAGGAGCACTGCGGGGGGAGGGTCATCCCAGGAGCACCGCGGGGGGAAAGGGTCCAGGAGCACCGCGGGGGGAGGGCCATCCCAGGTGCACCGCGGGGGGAGGGCCATCCCAGGAGCACCGCGGGGGGAGGGTCATTCCAGGAGCACCGCGGGGGGAGGGCCATCCCAGGAGCACCGCGGGGGGGAGGGCCATCCCAGGAGCACTGCAGGGGGAGGGTCATCCCAGGAGCACCGCGGGGGGAAAGGGTCCAGGAGCCAAGGGCCAGGTGTGAGGGGGCCGGCTCAGCACAGGAGTGGGCACAATGAGGGAGATGCCGCAGTCCTGGGGACAGCAAAGGAGGTGGTGGCCTCCACAGGTACCTGGGCCCTCGCCCTCCGAAGCTCCCTCAGCAAGAGAAGGCGAGGAGCCTCCCTGAGCCCAATTCCGGGAACCGGAGAGCCAGGCCCTATCCCAGCGCCCTGCGCATCAGCCTGCACGGGGCAGCGGGTGACCTGGGTGTCCCTCAGCAGGGTGTAACGGAAAGCAAGGCCCTTTGTAAGCAGAGCCCACCTCGAGGTGAAGGGGGCCTGGGATGGATGGCATTCCTGTCCCCGCCCCGCCCGCCCGGCACTGGGTTCGGCAGCCACGGGAGAGAAGGGCTGTGAAACGAGCCGGACCCTGTCTCCCGCTCCGAGCTCCCTCGCGGGCCAGTCCTCAGACAGGCCCCAGCCTCCTCCCCCAGCGGTGCCTCCTCACGGGGAAAAGGAGCACGTTCCCGAGCTGCTGACAGGAGGCCGTGGGAGGGTGTGTGCGGGTCCGTGGAGCCGGCACCGGTGGGCACTCAGCCACCCGTTTCCTTCCTTCTTCATGGCTGAGCTTCAGCTGCCTGCAGACTTCGTTCAGTCCCCAGGAATCAGCCCCGTGTCCAGTGCACACGGACACCCGCGGAAGACAAGCTGCAGGCCGTGTGCTCTCTGCTGAGGACGCCCTAACTCTCAATGTCAGACTCAGCTCCTTGTCCTCTCCCACCCGGCAAACCCGGAAACACTGATTCCCTGCAAGGAGCTTTGAGAACCGCTGAAAGCATCAAACAGCCCGGCCGGCGCGGCTCGGCGGCTGAGCTTCGACCTACTAGTATGAACCGAAGGTCACAGTAACATTCCGATCGGGGCACATGCCCCAGGCTCGATCCCCGGTGTGGGGCCTGCAGGAGGCAGCCAACCAATGATCCTCTCTCATCACTGATGTTTCTCTCTCTCTCTCCATCTCTGATATCAATAAATGCATCTTTAAAGAAGAAGAAAGTATCAAATGGGATCAGGCAGTTGCTAATGAAGCATCACTCCACATGGAACCAATTGTAAACGTTTTGGGAGCCCCGAAGTAAGAGACCACGGAGCTGAGAGCAGGATTCGGCGCAGAGCAGGAGGGAGGACGCCGGCAGGCGAGGGCTCAGAGCCTGGGAAGACCCACCTAACACTCCCCTCTGTGGGGAGTAACAACCAAATTCCGAAAGCAGCACAGGCACAGGCTCAGTCACAGCGGGTCACAGTGCACGTGGAAGACCAAGCACAGAGGCCAGCATTCACGTGCAGTGGGGACACTGGAATGGGGGGGGGGGGCACGCAGAGAAGACAGCTTGGTGGGAGTCACCCCTGATGGAAGGGGAGGGAGATGTGTCACCAGGCCTACACCTGAGCCCAGGGGAGCCCCACGGACTGGAGCAGCCTCTTCCACGAACGCTCCACACAGCAGGCCCTCCCTCTGGGAGGGAGGGAGGGGGGATGCTGGGCTGGGACACCAGGCACCTCCACAGGTAGCCCAGCTGGGAGGGTAGCTGAGCTTGGGGAGAGAGGATGAAACAGCAACAGAGCAGAGACCTAGAGTCAGGGGTACGCACTCTCTGTGCCTGAGCTAGAATCGGGGTGCGCACTCTGGGCTCACTCACCACGTCCCGGGGCCCGGTCCAGGCGCACTCCACCGCGGTCTGGTTCAGGGCTCTGGCCTTGAGGCTGGGAGCCGGTGGGCGGACACCTTTGGTCACGATGTGCGCGAACGCCAGGGGGCTGTCCCCCAGGCCAGTCCTGGCCCAGGCGGAGATCTCGTATGACGTCTGAGCCGTCAGGTTGCCCACTGTGGAGACAGGAGTGGGAGTGCGAGGAGCTGGGTGCGAGTCGAGGACCTGTGTCCCAACAGGCACATCCTTTCTTCAAGTGCAAGCTCTCCGCTTCAGTGAGACCCACAGGTAGGAGGCTTCCGTTACTGCACAGGAGCGTTCAGAGCTGCTCATTCATGACCCTACAGCAGCCTTGCCTTCATCCAGTCATCCTATAGAGTCAGAGGGGCCTACCCCACCGTGTTTATCACACTGTTTATCAGACAGAAAAACTGCACTGGATCGCACGGCCCCAGGATGGGCATCATGAAATAATGTATCTTCAACACATGTGTGTTCCATGAACTTCTACGGAGCCCCTCACAGTTGTTCCAAGGATATTTAATGAGAAGGAACAATTGTATGTTAAGTGAAAAAGGCAAGCCATAAAACTCCACAGACGTGTCCCGATCATAGATGTGCTGTGGTTAGAGACATCTGAAGTTTGAGGTGGTTTTCCGGGGAAGTCCGAATGGTCACTACACTGTCTGTGTCCTCGTCACGGAGCACACAGCGGGGGCCGGAGCTCCACATGCGCCATGCGTTCCTAGACTCAAGCGGTCAGACTCCCTGAGCCCAGCTTTGTGTGAGAAACAGAACACCACTTCTAAAGAGAATGCGTGCAAAGTGCTGGCAGCATCAAGCCGGCCCTCCGCGCCCCAGGCAGCGCCCAGCCTTCCTGCTGACTCCTGGTGTACGACCAAAGCCTACAGATTGGTATTGGTTACCTCCCCCCCCCCCCGCCCCGTCTTCCCCCACTTCGCGCGTGCCCAGGCAGCAAGCGCCGGCGCACAGTAGGTGCCCAACATCACTTTTATTCTTCTACAGCCTCCTGGGCAGCTTCTCCACCTCCCCCCTCCCCCCCAGAGCAACAGCTCTGCAAACAGGCGGGGGGGGGAGGGGGGAGAGGACACCCCAACAACCTCCCCAGGACCCACAGGCAGCCTTCATCCTGGAGGTCTTCCCTGTCTTCCCTGACAGAATCCAAATCTTCCCTGGAGCCCTGGCTGGTCTGGCTCAGTGGATAGAGCATCGGCCTGTGGACTCAGGGGCCCCGGGTTCGATTCTGGACAAGGGCACGTACCTCAGTTGCAGCTTCCTCCCCAGCCCAGGCCCTGGTCAGGGCTTGTGTAGGAGGCAACCCATCCCATCAATGTGTCTCTCTCACATCGATGTTTCTCTGTCTTTCCCTCTCTCTAAAAGTCAAGGGGGAAATATCCTCGAGTGGGGATTAAAAAAAGTCTCCTCAAGCCCATTTTCAAATGTGAGCATTTTAACTGAGACTTGGAACTCACACTGTCGGCAGGGGAGTAAAACAATGCCCCTCCTCCTCAGCTGGCCTGTCCGTCATTCCCTCCACTCACAGAACCCGAACGTGACCACGCACCCGCCCTTCACAGCACAGCGCCGAGAAGAGCCGACGGAAGCAGGAGGGAGCCGGGCTGATGCAGGAGCCCTCTCCCTGGGACCCAGACAGCATCCACACGGCTCATCTGGCCTCACTCCGTGCTTTTCCTTTAAGTCTCTGACTTCCCTCAAGGGCCTCTGGGAGGGGCCTGTGGACCCTCCCTGGAGTCGGGAGTCACTCCGTGCCCTCACTGCCCCCAAACGGCGGCCTCCGGCCCACGCCTCCCCTCACATCCCTCACGGCTCTGCTGCCAGGAAACACGCCTAGCCCCGCCTCCGCTCAGACCGCTCCGGGGGTTACCTCTGTGGGACAGCGTGCTCCCTCGGAAGGTCAGAGTCCTCTTCTCCTGTCTGTGAGCGTCAAAGGCCCAGAAGAGGTTCACCACGTAGCCATCCACCTGCCACGGACAAGAACCACATCACCAGTCAGCCACAGATCCCCAAGAGAGAGAAGGCACCCTCCTGCGCCGGCGCGGCTGCCACTCCCCGATGGCGGCTGTTCCCTCGGCCTTGACCGAACTCCGCTTGTGCTGCAGTGAGCGCAGTGCCCTTCCACAGCCGGGGAGGCCACACACAGCACACACTCAGCAAGGCAGCGGTTCAGGAGTGAACAGACAGGAGTCAGTGCATGACGGCAGGAGGGGATCTGAGAAGGTCCTGGGTTAAAGATACGGGACGCAGATGGTCCTTGCAGTCAAGGCCAAGAGGTTTGCTCAGACTCAGTGCTCCTAGGAGCACAGGCGAGCCGAACTTCTCCAGGCCTAAGACACACAACTGCCAGGCACACACAACAAGAAGGCTTCAAGACCAAAGACGGACAGACACGCTCCACGTGAGGCCATCTCAGAAGGAGGGCTTAACAGCCAACTGCAGTGCAGGGAATGGCAGAGACTCTGAGGCTTCTGTCTGTCTGTCCCCCACCCCTCCCTACTTCTCAGACAGGATGATGTGAGGAGCAACAGGCAAGAAAGAACCCGAGAACCTGGGGCGCAGTGACTATGGGGAGTGGCCGTGAGAGTCGGGTGAGCAGAGGAACAGGGGTGATGGGAGAGGGACAGGGTAGAGGGTGGATGTGCTTGCAAGCAGCCGACTCTTGTAAGATGCGTCCATGGTGGAGTAGCAGCACTAACACCAGGAAACCCAACAGCACCGACACCGCGGGCCCGTCCATGTCAGCACCGGCCTTGCAGGCTGGGCCGTGAGCCACTGAAGGTCAGAACGTGAGGCGCCCCCTCCGGTGCGGCTCAGGCTCTCCCTGGGGGAGCCGCTTTGGGCTCAGCGTCCCTGGCCCGGGTCCCTGTTCCCTCCCGGCACTGGGCATCGCCCACCTTACCTGGACGTCGCTTGCCATGGCCAGGGTGAAGCTCACAGAACTATCCGTGCAGCTGTCAATGCGGATGTCTGGAGGCGGGACCACTGCAAGAGTGCAACAAGGGACAGCAGTGAGGACAGAGAGGGAGGACGGTGAGGACGGCAGTGAGGACAGAGTGAGGACAGAGAGTGAGGATGGCAGTGAGGAGGGTGAGTGAGGAGGGTGAGTGAGGAGGGCAGTGAGGAGGGTGAGTGAGGAGGGCAGTGAGGAGGGCAGTGAGGAGGGCGAGTGAGGAGGGCAGGGAGGACGGTGAGTGAGGAGGGCAGTGAGGAGGGCAGTGAGGACCGTGAGCGAGGAGGGCAGGGAGGACGGTGAGTGAGGAGGGCAGGGAGGAGGGCAGGGAGGACAGAGTGAGGACAGAGAGTGAGGACGGCAGTGAGGAGGGTGAGTGAGGAGGGTGAGTGAGGAGGGCAGTGAGGAGGGTGAGTGAGGAGGGCATTAAGGAGGGTGAGTGAGGAGGGCAGTGAGGAGGGCAGTGAGGAGGGTGAGTGAGGAGGGTGAGTGAGGAGGGCAGGGAGGAGGGTGAGTGAGGAGGGCAGTGAGGACGGTGAGTGAGGAGGGCAGTAAGGAGGGTGAGTGAGGAGGGTGAGTGAGGAGGGCAGTGAGGACGGTGAGTGAGGAGGGCAGTGAGGACGGTGAGTGAGGAGGGCAGGGAGGAGGGCAAGTGAGGAGGGCAGTGAGGGTGGTGAGTGAGGAGGGCAGGGAGGAGGGCGAGTGAGGAGGGCAGTGAGGAGGGTGAGTGAGGAGGGTGAGTGAGGAGGGCAGTGAGGACAGTGAGTGAGGAGGGCAGGGAGGAGGGCAGTGAGGAGGGCAGTGAGGACGGTGAGTGAGGAGGGTGAGTGAGGAGGGCAGTGAGGACGGTGAGTGAGGAGGGCAGGGAGGACGGTGAGTGAGGACAGCAGTGAGGAGGGTGAGTGAGGAGGGTGAGTGTGGAGGGCGAGTGAGGAGGGCAGGGAGGAGGGCAGTGAGGAGGGCAGTGAGGACGGTGAGTGAGGACAGCAGGGAGGAGGGCGAGTGAGGACAGTAGAGGGAGGATGGCGGATGAACGTCTCCACCGAGACCACGCGGCCCTCGGGTGGCGGAGAGAGGCGTCTCCGGGGCTGGCGCAGTGCCCGCCTCTCCCCGCCCTGTGCCCTGGGCTGAGGCTTCCTGGCCACCGGGCGACCAATGCTCACTGGCTCACTGCTTCCTGGCAGCCACCCCGGCGAGAAAGTTCCTTTATGTTGATGCCCAACAACCCGTGCCGCCCTAGGCAGAGGCCATGAATAACTACCCCGTGCCTCGTCCCTCTGGGGGGACGGCAGCAGATACACGGCAGCTCTGGCAACGAGAGCCTGGTCCAGTATCTGGCGAACCTGAATCCAACCTCCTGCTCCGACGTTAACGAGAAACTGCGCATCGTCCAGAGCCGGAGCCTGAGAGGCGAGCTACACCCCAGAAGCCAGGGCACCCCGCAGAGACGCCAGTCTAGCTCTCAACACCCCCCTTCTCTCCTTTCCTGCGCAGCCCGGGGAGCCTGGCGTCCAGAGGAGGCGCGCTCCAGCTGAGAGCTGCAGGGAGGGGGCGGCGGGCAGAGGCTCTCCACGCTCCCTGACCAGCTGAGGGCTCCTGCCCCGCCTGAAGGGCTCGGGGATGCGTGTGCAGGCAGTGTCTCAGCACCTTCCTCAGGAGTGGACACACCTGCTGGCAGAGACGGCAGAGCCTGGCGTTTCCCAGATCATCACCATTAATGACGCTGCGCTCAAGGAAACGGCCACCGGGGAAGGACAGCAGGCGGTCAGGCAGTGCCGCGGGGACCTGGCCTGCGTGACCGCTGTGCTGCAGGCGCGGCGCGAGCCACCTCCGCGGACACGCTCCTCCGCTGCGGCAGGTCAGAGCCGTGGGATCAATGGGAATCAGAGATCGATTCACATCGAACAGCAAAGTGGTTCTTAGGCCACAGGTGATGCTGACCACGGCTCCTCTCACTTCCAGTTCACCCACCACATCCCATCACTAACTTGGTGCTTCTGGTCGATGCCACTAATTTTTAGAGAGAGTGTAAGAAAGAGGGAAAGACAGAGAAATTTTGATATGAGAGAAACACATCGATGGGTTGCCCAGCACACGCCCAGACTGGGGAGGAGCCTGCAACCGAGGTACGTGCTCTGGACCAGGAATCGAACCTGGGACCCTTCAGTCTGCAGGCCGATGCTCTACTCACTGAGCCACACCGGCCAGGGCCTTCATCTTCTTAACATTAGGATATTTCACAACCGATACTTCCTTTTTAAAAAAATATATTTTATTGATTTTTTACAGAGGAAGAGAGAGGGATAAAGAGTTAGAAACATCAGAAAGAAACATTGATCAGCTGCCTCCTGCATTCCGCCTATTGAGAATGTGCTCGCAACCAAGGTACATGCCCTTGACCAGAATCGAACCTGGGACCTTTTAGTCCGCAGGACAATGCTCTATCCACTGAGCCAAACCAGTTTCGGCTCACAACCAATACTTCTGACTCTGTCCACATCTGCCTCCTGCATGTCCCGAACCAGAGCTTGGCCAGGAGCCCAGGTTCCTCAAAGCCGTGCATGAGGATGCTAAGAGGAGCAAAGGCAGATGGACTGTGCCCGGAGTTCAGGGCCTGTACCTGTGCTGACCTCCCGAAGTCCCTGGTTCAGTGCAGCCAGTCCGTCTAGTCCGAGGCTGCTTTGTGCAAGGACACGACTCCACAGTGGAAGCCGCAGGCAGCGAATCCAGCACCTCCCTCCAGTGCCCACAGCACCTGCCTGAAGCCTCACTGGATCTGTGGCCTCCCTGCCTGATCTCCACTGGACAGGCACTCTCCGGACCCGGAGCCGGCGCACATAGGTTCAGGCGAAGGGAGGGTACCAAGCTCGCGAACCCCGGACTGCACGACCATCCCCTGCCCCATATGTGTGCAGAGCCTCCACTTAATCGCTTCCTTTCCCTCTCATCAGCGGTCTCCTGGCTCCTGCTCGGAGCCAGCGACAGAGCAGCTCTGCCCTCACCAGGCACACACGCCAGACGGGTGCCAGCCCCCAGCACGCGGGCCACAGGCCCTGTCTCGCTGCCGCAGGTTCACAGCGGCTCAGGCGCGGGCGTGGGCAGCGGGTCAGGCTCCCCTCCACTGGCACTGACTAGGTGACAAGTGACGTGGCCTCCTTGCTGCCCCTCACCTGTGCCCACAGGTGTGCTGAGGGGCCAGCTGGATGAGGGCAGCGGCTGTCCCTACCAGGTCCGGCTGGACATGGCCACCTGCACGCAGGGGAGCTGCCGGGACACGGCCCAGCGCCAGGCGGACAAGTGGAGGAGAGGTGCCTTCTGTTCGGGGTGTTGGCGTCAACGCAGCAGGCCAGGCCTGGCGGCCTGCAAACCCCTGGATGTTGAGTCCTAAGAAGTCCCCACGCCCAGAGGAGGCATGCATTCTGTCACCCAGGCGCCCCGCCCATGTCGGAGGACAGGCCGTGTGACCTTTGAATCCCTCCCAGCCCCCAGGCACTGAGCTGCCTCTGCAGGCCGCTCTCTGCACTGGACCTGCGGCCTGGAACCACGCACCTTTCTCCCGTGTGGTGGTGATGGATTTGGAGTCGCTCCAGTTTCCTATACCACGGCTCGTCACCGCAGCCACCTGTTCAGACAGAGTGAATTCAGTAGGAAACACAGGCCGTAGCCACAGCCAGGCTCCCAGGGGGCCAAGGAGAGAGGCCTGGGCAGTGGGTGTCACAGGTACAGACAGGGGCAGGACACTCCGAGGCCCCGCACCTGAAGGAAGAGGGGAAGAGGCGGGGGCCAGGGAGCCGGGGGAAGTGGGGTGGGAAGGAGACTTGAGCACCGAGGTCAGGACGTTACTATGACAATGAAGCCAGCTTTTCCTGAGGAGCAAGGGAGTGAGTGTGTGCCCCCATGTATGCACACATAAGTGTGCACATATGTGAAAACGGGCGCTGAGCCTTACAGTGTGAGGGAGTCTGTGTATGTACTCCATGGTCTCAAACATGTTTGCACAAAATCTCTTTTTTCTGCTGGGGATACCGGCAGCATGTTTTGTAACATGCTGTGTGGCTCAGTGGTAAAGACCCTGCCCAACACGCATGTGTCCAAGGCTCCCGCTTCCACAGCTCGTGAGCTCTGTGTTCCGCTCTGCAGGCCAGGCTGCAACAGGAGAGGAGAGGGCGTGCAGGAGCATACGAGCTGGAGAGCAGCGCTCGCAGGGCCCTCGGCCCTGAGCCGAGTCTGCCTTCAAGTTCTCTGGGCCCGGACGCCGGAAAGAGACGGAAAGAAACAGCAATGCCGGGGGGGGGGGGGGGTGGCGGGAAGGAAGGTCTCAGGAAGGCAATGGGCGCCTCCCCACGGCCCAGCCTGAGCCAGGCAGGAAGGGCGCTCACCCTGACGGTGTACTGAGCGCCGACCAGCACATTCCTGATCTCCGTGGCGTTGCTGGCGGCCCTCTGGGAGGCCCACGTCCTGGAACCGCTCCGGCTGTACTCCACCTGCCGGGCGAAGACATGTGTTGGCGAAGGGTCGTCACAAGGCGGGCACCTGACCTGATGGAACCAGGAGCATCGGGGAGGTGGGCTGTTCTAAGGGATGACCCCCCTGACGAGGTCACATCACAGGGAATCCGCACACAGAAGACCCTTGTGCTCCGCCCCGCGCCCAGGAGGCACTCACAATGTACTCCCGCACGAGGCCCTGGCTGTGGGCGGGAGGGGCCCAGCGGCCCACAATCGCTCCTTCCTCGTCCCGGGGCAGGGACAGCTGGAGGTTCCGAGGGGCGTCGGGCACTAGGAGAGAGGCAGGGGTTAAACACGTCTGCACAGCGGCCCCTGGGGGGTCCCTGAGGGGGATGAGGAAGGGTCGGGGCCGGCCTGTGACCTCTCCACAGGACAGGAGACCTTCATGGCCGGGGGCGGGCCTCGGCTTGGTTGTGGCTCACTAGGCTTCTGCCCACCAGGTCTCCCCACCTGCCAGGGCCTCCCCGTGATGAACTCCTTGGGAAAGACCTCAGCAAGGCTTCCAAAGCCCCCGCTTTTGGCTTGGATTGAAGCAATCAGCCTTAGCTGGGAACCTCGTGGCGCTCCTCCCAGGAACCCCAATCCAGGCCCTGCTGCTCGGCCTGCACTGTCATGACCTCCCGAGTGGCCGAGGCACAGGGGGCCTCCTGAGGGTCTGAGTGGCACCTTCTCCACTTGGCTTCCCCAGGGACCCTCTCAGCTGCTCAGCGCCAGGCCCACTGAGCACGTTAATGTTAAGTGTTAACACAAGGTCCTCGTGGCAGCTGCAAACACAGAGCTCACGAGCTGTGGAAGCGGGAGCCTTGGACACATGCGTGGGTCTTTACCACTGAGCCAAACATCTCTGACATGCCTCGCATTTTAAGGACGATGAGCTCTTAAGTGCCAAGCACTGGGAAACCCCTGAAGACAGAAGGCAGACACAGAAACTCAGTAAGAAATGCACAACAGGGCAGTGGTGGGCAGAATCTGAACGCACCTTCGTAAGCTAATTATGTGACATAATAAGGATAAATGTCCACCCTGGCCGGTTTGACTCAGTGGATAGAGCATTGGTCTGTGGATTCAAAGGTCCTGGGTTTGATTCCGGTCAAGGACACATACCCAGGTTGTGGGCTTGGTCCCCAGCAGGGGGCATGTAGGAGGCAGCCGATCAATGATTCTCTCTCTCTCGCCCTTCCTCTCTGAAATCAGTAAGATTTAAGAAAAATAAATGTCCAGCAACGTAGGCAGGACGACAGAGCAGCGCCCTGCATTTTTGCCTGAGGCATGTGGCCCCGTGCCCATCGAGGACCCCAGGAAACCGAGACGCCACGCCGGGCCTCACAGACACCACACAAAGGGACACGGCGGCACTTACGCCCCTCGGGGGTCCGCAGCGTCAGGATGTCGTTGGTGCTGTGCACCTTGCTCAGGCACTGCACCTGCACCTTCACCTGGTATGTGGTATCCGGCTTCAGGACGCGGAGCCTCGTGTTGGTTTTGTTGCTGTGGGTCTCCAGGGTCTTCCAAAGGCTCTCCCCCACCACCCTGGCCAGCAGAAAGAGGGGGGTCACACGGAACCCTTCCCTGCACAGCACAGCGCTGCTTTCTACGCAGGAGACAGGGCCCCGAGGCGGGCGGACCCACCTGTAGTAGACATTATACACACAGGAAGCAGAGGGCATCTTCTTGGGTCGCGTCCAGGTCAAAGTTACGTCCCCGGAGAAGTCAGCTGTCCACTGCAGGTTCTGCACCTTGTAAACAGTCAGTTCATCTGGAGATAAGGGACACAGGGAAGGTATCTCACACATTCTTGGACATCAGAAGAGTCCAGAGGCTCCTGATATGGACAGACCTCCATGACCTAGATGGCCAGGCCATGCTGTCACCTTAAAGATGCCCGAGAAAACAGAGGAGTCCTTCCTATGCAACCCCCCACCCCCCGAGGCTTCCTAGCTGTCCCCTCCATGTCTACACTCACTTAAAGCCACTTCTCAACGGAGGGAGCTAGGGTACAGGCTGTGTCGCAGCAGGGCTGCTGCTGCTGCAGACGAAACGTGTTCCCTCAGAATTCACGTGCTGGACACTAACCCCAGGATGGTTCAGCGGGTCAGGCCTTGGGAGGTGGTTAGGTCATGAGGCTGGAGCTTTATGAATGAGACCTAGAGAGCTCCCTCGTCACCTCCCCAGGGACACAGTGGGAAACAGGAGATGGACAGGAACTTGTTAGCGATTGGGTCTTGGACTCTCAATATCCGGACTGAAAACTAAATGCCTGCTGTTTCTAAGCCACCCAGTCTGCATGCTCTGTGTGGTACTGAAGGGCCTGAGGCAACTACTCAATTTATTCCACACAGAGGTGCCAAGCCCTGTGGAAGCAACAGTGCAGAAGCCTGGGGAGGGGAGCTAGGGAAATAGGCTCAAGGTCAGCCTCTTCCACAGCACGGGAGCCTTTCCCACGGGCACGGGGAGCCTCTCCACAGCACGGGAGCCTCTCCCCAGCACAGGAGCCTCTCCCCAGCACGGGAGCCTCTCCACAGCACGGGGAGCCTCTCCCCAGCACGGGAACCTCTCCCCAGCACAGGAGCCTCTCCTACGGGGAGCCTCTCCACAGCACGGGAGCCTCTCCACAGCACGGGAGCCTCTCCACAGCACGGGAGCCTTTCCCACGGGCACGGGGAGCCTCTCCACAGCACAGGAGCCTCTCCCATGGGGAGCCTCTCCCCAGCACGGGAGCCTCTCCACAGCACGGGAGCCTCTCCACAGCACGGGAGCCTCTCCACAGCACGGGAGCCTCTCCACAGCACGGGGACACGGGGAGCCTCTCCACAGCATGGGGGCCTCTCCACAGCACGGGGAGCCTTTCCCACGGGGAGCCTCTCCACAGCACAGGGAGCCTTTCCCACGGGGAGCCTCTCCACAGCACGGGGGCCTCTCCACAGCACGGGGAGCCTTTCCCACGGGGAGCCTCTCCACAGCACAGGGAGCCTTTCCCACGGGGAGCCTCTCCACAGCACGGGGGCCTCTCCACAGCACGGGGAGCCTCTCCCACGGGGAGCCTCTCCCACGGGCACGGGAGCCTCTCCACAGCACGGGGAGCCTCTCCCACGGGCACGGGAGCCTCTCCACAGCACGGGGAGCCTTTCCCACAGGCACGGGGATCTGGGAGCCACGCCAGGGGCTGGCTCAGACAGAGGACAAACTCGAGAGTTCTCTCTAGCTGCCCCAAGGGACGAGGTTGGGCCAGGGGATAAGGCTGGACCCTGGGGAGAAAGGCTGGGGGGGTGGGGAGAAGAGAGAGCAAAGGGGGAGACCAGGCTGGGGTACTCACCGCTGCAGGCCTGCTCGTCGCTCTCATCCGCACAGTCCAGGAAGCCGTCGCAGCGCTCCAAGGGTTGCAGGCAGGCCTCGCCGTCCGTGCATGGGAACTCACCACTCGCACAGGCCAGGGCACCGCGTGTGGCTACAACACAGGGGACCATGCTGTGTGAATGTCTGTCAGGTGTAGGAACAGGGTTTGCACTCTGAAAGAACAAGCCCTGAGGATGAGCGATGACAGCAGATACCATGGGGCCTGCTTCTGATGGGAACTGACATCTGCTCAGTGACACACGGAGCCCTGAGGGCACACCAGGCCTCGGTCCCGGCTCCACACGATCTGCAGCAAACCACTGGACAGCACCGAGCTCAGTTCCCGTCTGCCTATAAAACTGATGACAACTCCATCAGTCCTGTCTTCTCCCAGGATCTAGGGGCAGCAGGAGGTCAGGATGCTTAGCCATCTGTAGGCCATAAGCATCTATAGACGCAAGCAGAGGACCTTTTTAAATTGAATTCAAAATACCATGGCAGTTAACTGGTTAAGGGCTCTCTCCCTAGCCTCCCAAACCTGCAGTCAGTCAGCCCGTTTCTCAGGTGAGTGTGCCTCCTCCCACGGTACCACATTGTCCTCTTCCCAGCTGCAGCCCCAAATCAGGGTTACTTCCTGAGAGACGCCAGTGCCCAGCGCAGCCCTGGCTGGCAGGATGCCGACAGTAAACGCTGTTTCTGTACCAGCCGGCAATTGGAATGACACATCCTCATTTTGTGGTATTTTAACTGTATAGGTTTCAAAGTATTTACCAGAAAATGAAAAAGCGCTCACAAAGAGCACGGAGTGACATGACTATGAACCACAATCAGCTTCTCTCAGTTCTAAAGGAGAGGTAAACTGCATCAGGCTCTAAAAAGCACCAGTGACCACGTAAGAGCAGATGATTCTAGAAAGGGAGAAGGGCGGCCTGGAGGGCGGCTACGGAAAAGATGTGAACCTCCTGCCCAGGTGAGTCAGGGCTGACCCAGGTGCAGTGGTGCAGCCTACATTCTATATAGACTCCCAGGGCCTGCCCAGCTGGACGGGAGGCGTCAGAACCCAGCCACCAGAAGGAGGCCCTGCAATCCTCCTGCTCCTCCAGCCAGAGAGGTCCCACTGCTGTGTGTGAGGTCACCCTACATGGCAAGTGAGATTGCGTTAATGACCCTGACATAAGAAGTGCATCCGGGATCATGGGGGAGGGGGTGGCAGTCGGAATGTGAGGGCCCTGAGATACCCTCCAGACTGCAGTCGGAGAGGTGGGTGAGGTCAGAAGCAGCACCTGAGCCGGACCCGCTGGTCAGACACGGAGGAACAGCAAGGAAGCAACCTCTCCTGTCGCCGGAGAACCACCTGCCCACGTGCTGGCTTTGTCAGGAAAACCTACCTCGGACTTCTGACCCATACAACTACAGGAAGTAACTGTGCTTTCTGAGATGTGAGACTTGTGGTGACTATTTCACACACTCGATCCCCCGCATGTGGTGAGGCTACTGGGTTCCCGCGTTCACATTCCCATTTCTCTATCCGGACTCAAGACCAACCCCTCCCAGCTCCTCCTCCCCTCCCCGCCCCCTCCAATGCAAAATGCACTCAGTACTCCAGCAATGGCTCTCCCCATACCACCAGAAAGTACCAGAGATCAGTAAGCAGGTAGAATCAGAGCAGAGAATTGATAAGACAGATTCTTAACAGATCCTTCTGGGGCTTCTAAAAATCACCAAGTCCTCGGAGCTTCCTACCCCCACCCCCAGGCAGACACAGGGAGCTGAGCATGTGCAGTGTTCACCAGCTCCACAGCAACTGGTCAGAATTAGCCGACACACACACACACACACACACACACACGACACACGGGACTTCAGTTCTAGAAGGACAGGTGACACTGTTCCTACTGGAAGCACTGCATCTGGGTAGGACTGCATAATGCTCACATGAGAGTCGGGGGATGGATGAACACCATGGAATGCAACTAGAGAGGAAAACGGTACAGGAGCTGGGGAGAAATAAAACGCTACAGCAATTGTCTTCAGTTGATGAGGTTCATGTGAAAGAAGAACTAAGACATCTACACATGTCTCTAGGAAGGAAGACCAGACTGCAGTTAATTAGATTTAAAAAGACTCTCATTCTCAGCGAGAGAAGGGAAATATCAAAACCACTTGGGAGGCTTATTACAAACTATAATCCCCATCTCCAGGAAAATCCCCTTCCGACATGGGTGTCACATGCTGAGATGGAACTGGTTTTCCTTGGGGAGGTGGGGAAGAAACTGTTACAGATAAAACTGTACTAGAGTACTTAGAAAAGGCTTGAGAACCACTGCTGTAACCGTCTCAGAAGCCCTAGATGGAATTCATTCATCCTTCTATCCATCCATCTACCTACCACTAACCCAGCCACCCTGCCACCCATCCAACCATCCAGCCACCCCTTATCCACTACCCACCCATCTACCCACCATTAACCCAGCCACCTAGCCATCCATCCATCCATCCATCTACACACCAATAACTCACCCATCCATCTACCCACCACTAACCCAGCCACCCTGCCACCCATCCAACCATCCAGCCACCCATTATCCACTACCTACCCATCCATACACCCATCCATATACCCACCACTAACCCAGCCACCCACTCAACCATCCAGCCATCCATTATCCACTACCCACCCATCCACCCATCCATCTACTCATCATTAGTCCAGCCACTCACCCATCCATCCATCCATCCATCCACCCATCCATCTACCCACCACTAACCCAACCATCCATCCATCCATCCATCCAACGAACATTCATGGACATCTCCCAATGAATCAGGTACTGTTTAAGATGAAGAGGTGATGTGTAAAACAGACCCAGACCTACCCTCAAAGAGCTTATCTTCTATTGAGAGAGACAGCACAAAAGCAAACAAATACTTTACTCCCAATACTAGTAATAATAAGAGCTACAAAGAAACACAGAGAGAGTAACAGTACGAGCGTGATGGGGCCGGGGGGAGTGTCATTTTTACAGGACAGGCAGGGGAGAACTCTGCTCAGGAGAGGACTGGTTGGAAAAGCCCAAGGTCCCATTGCAGAGTGATTCCACGTGGTAAGCATGTCAGCACACAATCCACAGCTGAGCAGTGACGCTGGAAGATGGCTGAGTTCATGAAGCATGCCTCCATATTTTGAAAGTGGGAAAACATATGTATTTAGGTTGGAAAGGAGGTCGTCCTTATCTCGGAAAGGTTGACCTGGAGATTAAACATGTACTTTCTGGGCACACAAAACAGGGTGCAGGGTGCTCAGGGCTGCACCTCTAACAAGAGGCAGGCCACACTAGTCTCATTTCCGCTTCTCACAGGCTCTCAGATTAGCGAATCCCACAAGCTCGCCAGAGAGCACATTTGGATTTTAAGATCCTTAACTAAGCAACATCCTTAAGACTAGACAGGTTTAAAACTGGCTAAACTTATTTAAAGAGTGAATACCAATAAAGAGTTAATCTCACCCAGGAGGAAGGTCCTATCCCAACTCCTTGTTAACTATTTTTCATCTTATTGGGATTAATTCCTCGCTCAGACATTCCTGCTATTGTGACAAGTGTGGGTTAAATCTGACATGTTAGCTTAATGTCCCAATGATATACACTTTGTTTGTTCTTCTAATGAAGTATAAAATTTTATCCTAGTCCTTATCTAATTTCTCGGTGTTATTCTGGAGTACTCACTGGATAAGAACTTTCAACAAGACATGATAAAAAGATAACAACTTTGGCTCTGGCTGGTTTGGCTCAGTGGATAGAGCATCAGCCTGTGGACTGAAGGATCCCAGGTTCGATTCTGGTCAAGGGCCCATGCCAGGGTTGCAGGCTCGATCCCCAGTAGGAGGTGTGAAAGAGGCAGCCGATCAATGATTCTCTCTCAACGTTGATGTTTCTATACCTCTCTCCTTTTCCCTTCCTCTCTGAAATCAATTAAAATAATAATACTAAACAGATAACTTTGTACCCAAAACTAAATGAATACTCCAGTCTGTTACTGATGGTATAACCCCTCTAAAGCTTAGTTTTCCTATCCTATAGTAGAGATGATACCAACATGATAAGGTCAGACAAAGGACACAGGTAATGGGAGGTCATGCTTCCAGAACCCCGTCCTGGGCTGAGCCCCTCCCAACTCACGGCAGCCGGCCTCGTCCTGGCCTCCGGGACAATCGCGACGGCCATCACAGCGCTTCCAGTTGGGGATGCACTTCCTTGGCTGGTGGCACTCGAACTCAAACCGGTCACATTGCCCAACCTGGGTGGGCACGGAGGCAGCAGTAACATTGGCTAGAAAAAGAGATTTTTACAATTTACCTTTTAGAATGGAGGGAGCCGGCCAGCAACAGCAACCAATCCCAGGTATTGGGAGCTTACGGTGTTTCAGGAATTACTCCGAGGACCAGAGACCGTTGTGAGTTCTGGGAAACACATTGACTAGACACACGCATCTAATTTTGCTCTCACAGAGAGAGCAGCACGATGTGAGAGCTGGGAAGCAGCCAGCCAGTGATGGGCGACTAGAGAGACCAAGAACGCTGCAACTCTCCTGAGCTCCAGGGAGAAGGCTGAGAACCAGCTAGATCGACCTCACAGGGTCCTCAAAAAGCTTGGAATTGGCATCTCATCCTGGGATAGAGAAAGCTGGAACTCCAACACGAAGGAGGGAAAGTGAATCCTCAGGGTGACGGAGAGGTAACAGCACACCTGTGTCCCGGGCAGAGGGCAACTAGAATGAATTCAAACAGCAAAACTCAACAGAGAAAAACACTGAGGCTTTTCTCACTGTGTCCGTGGCTCCTGCACCATCACATACACCTGACGAAGCTACTGGAGGGTGTGCTTCAGCAAAACAAGGGAGGGGGAGGCCCAGGAAAAGCAGGACACACGATCCAGAAAACAGATCATCTAAATCAGGGAAAAGTCAAAGCATTCCTAGGAGGGCAGTGAAGTCCCAGGGCTGGGCACGCTGCCCAAAAGAGAGGCCCAGGTGGGGGAGGGGGAGGCCCGGATGGGGGAGGGGGGAGACCCAGGTGGGGGAGGGGGGAGACCCAGGTGGGGGAGGGGGAGGCCCAGGTGGGGGAGGGGGAGGCCCAGCTGGGGGAGGGGGAGACCCAGCTGGGGGAGGGGGAGGCCCAAGTGGGGGAGAGAAAGGCCCAGCTGGGAGGAGAGGAGACCCAAATGGGAGGAGGGGAAGGCTCAGGTGGGGGAGGGGGAGGCCCAATTGGGGGAGGGGGAGGTCCAGGTGGAAGGAGACTAAGGTGGATGGAAGAAGAGGCCCAGCTGGGGGAGGGGGAGGCCCAACTGGGAGATGGGGAGGCCCCGGTGGAAGGAGACCAAGGTGGGGGAGGGAGAGGCCCAGCTGGAGGAGGAGGAAGGCAGTAAAGAACCCAGCACCGTCAAATGACAGCGGGAAGCCTGGGGCGTGTTGGGGAGGGGGGAAAGAGATCAACCAAAGGAATTGTATGCATGCATACAGGCCTAACCAATGGACATAGACAGTATGGGGTGAGGGCATGGGGGCTGGGGGACAATGGAGAGTTAGAACACATATGTAATACCTTTCTCAATAAAGAAATTATTAAAAAAAAAAAAAAAAGAATCAGAAGGTACTTGGCTGAGGCTGGGAAAGAGATGGACATCATGTAAAGACTCAGTGAAGGCCCGGTGAAGAATGGCTGGCAAGGGAGAGCGCCCCTGCCTGCTGGGAGGAGGAATCCCTCTCAGTGACCTGGGAGCATATGTGAGTTCCGGCTCACCTGGGAACCCAGCAAGTGCCTGTACAGCCATCACGTGGGATTCCATCACGGTGAGCTGGGGTCATGATCAGAGACACACTGACCACGTCTCCGTCTCTACGGCTGTGAAACCCACACCCTGTCTGTGTCACCAGAGGGAAGCAGGGAACCTTGTCCTCCAAGGTCAGGACAGAGGACTCTGACAAAGCAAACCCGGCTGAAGGATGCAGCGAGAGCAGCGGCTCAGCACGGTGTGAGAAGTACCGGGCGGCTTGGGCTGGTCTAGCCCCAGGCCGCGGACGCCTTCAACTAGGCAGGGCAGAGCATGGAGCTCCTCTGGAGGGGGAGGAAAGGCAGGCGGGCGGGCGGCCCTCGAGTGGGCAAACCACTCTGAGGATGGCTGAGCTTGAAGGGCACCCCTGCCTCTGGATGCAGCTAAGGGCGCCCCCCCCCCCCCGGGGTCTCCTGCACCCCAGCCTCCAGAGCAGGGCCACTGCACACAGCCAGCCGCCTCTGGTCCGGCCACTAGATGGAAGTGCTCCCCGCCTTTTAGTGGGAGAGCCGCCCAGAAGCAGGGAACCTGGGCCTGCTCCCACCAACACTGTCCCTGCTTCCCATGTCAGTCCCGGGAAGAGGGCAAAGGTGCCCCAACGCAGCGGGCCGGGCTCAGCGAGGCTGCCCCCTCTAGCAGGGCCATCAGGGAGCAATGACAGGAGACGCGGCACGCCCAGCCCCAGTTCCCATGAGTCCCCCTGCTCTGGAGTGAGGAGCAGCCTGGCCTCTGAGCTCAAAGTCCCAGAGAGCGGGCACCAGCCTTGCCCTGCGGTACCAGGTTGACCCGAGGTCCTCCCCACAGAGCAGTGCCAGGGTGACTCCGGAAGTCCTCCCCACAGAGCTGTGCCAGGGTGACCCGAGGCCCTCCCCACAGAGCAGTGCCAGGGTGACCCGAGGTCCTCCCCACAGAGCAGGTGCCGGGCAGACGGAGCTGCACTCACCAGGCGAAGGACAGGCTTCCTCGTCCGAGCCGTCGGCGCAGTCTCGGTAGCCATCGCACACCCAGATGTCCATCACGCAGGCCCCGCCGCTGCAGCGGAAGTAATTAGGTGGACATGTAGAGGGCCCGGGAGTGGGGGAGGGAATAATGTGTGAATCTGAGGAAATACCAAGAAAAATAAAAGTTACAAGAAGTTCAATCTGAGACCAAAATGGGTCCCAAACTCGTGTGGACGCCTGGTTCATGTTTCAGCGGCTCCGCCTAGCCCAGGGCCCAGCGAGGTTGAGACGCAGCTCATCTCCAATCACCACCCCGTCCGTGCTTCTCCTTCCCGGAGCAGCGCTTACTGGCTGCCTTTGCTTTGCTTTGAAAGGAAGCTGACTCATGCACAGGTGGGGGCTGAACACTGTTCTGGCTAATTCCACCCACCACAGCTTAGAGACAAGAAAACCAAAAACAAGAGGGATAGCATGCACTCCCCATCAGTCAGTGCCTCCCCTCTGCCAAGGCATGTGGCATGTGCACAAGACACATGGCTCCAAGGCCCTGAGCACTGGGGCACGTGTCCCGAGGCACCGGGCACCTGGGTAGACCTGGGAGCGAGGCACTGGGCACAGGGGCAGACCTGGGACCGAGGCACCGGGCACCGGGGCAGACCTGGGACTGGGGCACCGGGCACCGGGGCAGACCTGGGACCGAGGCACCTGAAGGCCTTGCTAAATGCAGGCTCTGGGGAGTTGGGCACTCTGATGGCGCTGAGAAAAGACCAAGCTGCGGTCTTCAGGCCACACCAAGGGCAGCCAGGCCCCGGTCCTTCCTGCACCTGTGAGCTGTGGGATGCGCAGCCCGAAACAGAAGCCGGCAGCCACTCTCGTGTTCCGAATAAGGAGGGACAGTCTCAGTGAGCTACCCCGAGTCATGACAGGGGTCGGGCCCCCCGAGCCGGTTGTGGGCAGCGCCGGGACCGCTACCTGCACAGGCCTCTTCGTCGGACCAGTCCCCGCAGTCGTTCTCGTGGTCGCACCTCCACCGGCTGGGGATGCAGCGGCCATTCTCACACCGGAACTGGAAATGGCGGGAGCAGTTGGGGGCTTCGGTGGGGTTTTCTGGGGAAAACACAGCATGGGTTGTAGGCCCCGCAACAGCATGAACGTGAAGCTGCGACGTACACACAGCCGCCTCCACACCGCACCCCAGGGCAGCAGCCTGCCACTGGCTGCATTAGCCAGCTTCTTGGGCCCAGTGGGTGACACTCAGTCAGAGCCAGCCTTCCGGGACCCCACTCCGGTGTCTCTGACCCACATGTCTATGCATCTTGCAAATGACACCGAGTGTTTAACTTGAACCCTTTTCCAAAGGAATGACCTTACTCCCATGATAACGCAATGTTAACAGGCGCTTTTCCATGGGTTCGAGACCTGTAGGAACAGAGGGAAGCCTCCTCCGAAATGTTTACTTAATGCCTTCCCTTCCGCGTATACTGAGTGCCCATCCCCGACTCAGAGTGAAATGGAATAAGCACCTCTAACCCTGCTGGGGTCAGGGCCAGTTCATACTCAGTTTCCCACATGGATTTTCAAGAACTGGCAGGAAACACTGCAGAGGGAGGCGGCGGCAAAGGTGGGTGCGAGGGCGCTAGTGAGGGCCCCTCCTGGACCTCAGGGGCCGCGGCCCCAGAGCTGGCGAGAGGACACGGACCTGCGGCCTCTCCACAGCTGGCTTCGTCCGAGGAGTCGCCGCAGTCGTCCATGCCGTCGCACTTCCAGACCACGCTGATGCACACGCCGTTCTGACACTGGAAGCTGAACTCGTCACAATCCTTGTGGAACTCGGGGTCTTGGGCTGGACAACAGACAAATGTCCATGAGATCCCGGCTACCTCATCACTGAAGAGATCCTAGTGACACGGCTGCGGCAGAAGGAAGAGGAAAAGTCTCCATCCAGAGACTCACTGGAGAAGTCCTGAAAGCGGGTCAGTGGAGGAGTCCCCCGTATGACAGGATTTAACATAAGGTCCTTATTTATTTCCTAGAGGCCTGGTGCACAGATTCGTGCACCGGTGGGGTGCCTCGGCGTGGCTTGTGAGGATCAGGTGAAACAAGCTCTCCGACATCCCCTAATGAGTCCTGGATTGCAAGAAGGTACAAGCCAGGCCGAGGGACCCCACCAGTGCATGGTCAGGGCCAGGGAGGGACCGTGAGAGGGTTCCAGGGCATGTCTGGCCCATCTCACCCAGTCCCCATTAGCCAAACCCAGCAGCAAGCTAACCTATGGGTCAGAGCATCTGCCCCTAATGGTCAGTGCACATCACAGCGACTGGTCAACAGTCAGACACTTAACACATTAGGCTCTTATTATATACTAGCAGTCCGGTACGCAGAATTTGTGCACGGGGGCCAGGGGAGGTGGTTGTCCCTCAGTCCAGCCTGCACCCTCTCCAATCTGGGATCCCTCTCACAATCCAGGACTGCTGGCTCCCAACTGCTCGCTTGCCTGCTTTCCTGATTGCCCCTAACCACTTCTGCCTGCCAGCCTGATCACCCCCTAACCACTCCCATGCCAGCATGATGGATGTCTAACTGCTCCACTGCCAGCCCGTTTGCCCCCAACTTCTCTCCTCTGTCGGCCTGGTTACCCTAACTGCCCTCCCCTGCAGGCCTGGTCCCTTTCAACTGCCCTCCCTTGCAGGCCTGCTGCCTCCCAACTACTGGCCATCTTGTATCCACATAGGGGCAGGATCTTTGACCATATGGGGGCAGCCATCTTGTGTATTGGAGTTATGGTCAATCTGCATATTACCCTTTTATTAGATAGGATAGAGGCCTGATGCACAGGTGGGAACCAGCTGGTTTGCCCTAAAGGGTGTCCCAGATCAGGGTGGGGATTCCCTTGGGGCGTGGGGTGGCCCTCAGCCCAGTCTGCACCCTCTCCAATCTGGGACATCCCTCTCACAATCCAGGACTGCTGGCTCCCATCTGCTCACCTGCCTGCCTGCCTAATTGCCTCTAACAGCTTCTGCCTGCCTGATCACCCCTAACCACTCCCCTGCCTGCCTGATCGTTACATAACTGCTCCCCTGACATCCCAATTGTCCCTAACTGCCCTCCCCTGCTGGCCTAGTCACCCCTAACTTCCCTCCCTTGCCAGCCTGGTTGCCCCTAACTGACCTCCCCTGCTGATCTGGTCCCCCCAACTGCCCTCCCCTACAGGCCTGGTTATCCCCAACTTTCCTCCTCTGTGGGCATGGTCTTCCCTGTCTCCCCTGCGGGCCAGGTCTTCCCTAACTGCCTTCCTTGCTGGCCTGGTCACCCCCAACTGCCCTCCCCTGCAGGCCTTGTTGCCCCCAACTACCCTCCTCTGCCAGCCCAGTCACCACTAATTGCCCTCCCCTGCAGGCCTGGGTTCCCCCCCAACTGTCCTCCCCTGCTGGCCATCTTGTGTTCACATGGGGGAGCCATCTTTGACCACATGGGGGCAGCCATCTTGTGTATTGAAGTGATTGTCAATTTTCATACCATTGTTTTATTAGATAGGATAGGCTCTTATTATATACTACAGGCCCGGTGCATGAAAATTCATGCACTTGAGAGAGGGTCCCTCAGCCTGGCCTCCCCCTCTCACAGCCCTCAGGGGTGGAAGGCAACCTGGCGATCAGGGGAAGGCTAAGCCCCATCACACCTCTGCTGCTGCCACTGCCGGCAGTGCAAGCCTCGGCAGCCCTGTTTACCTGAGCCTTGAGCGGCCCTGGGCAGCTGCCATTCGAGGCTTGCCTACACCTCGGGCCGGCCTTGGGTGGCTGGGGGGCTGAAGGGACTGGGGGACTGTGAAAGCAGGTGCGCGGAGCAGCCAGGCCCGCCTTATCATGCACCTACCTCCCTGGCGGGGCTGAAGGGACTAGGCGTCACCATCTTGTGGCTGTGGGCATCACCATCTTTGAGGGTGGGGCAGTCAGTTAGCATACTCCCTTCTTATTGGCTGTAGGCACCACCACCTTTGGGTCAATTAGCATATTTCCTCTTTATTAAATAGGATGATTATTACTGTTATTTTGGTTAATCCTCACCCAATAATATTTTTCCATTGGTTTTTAGGGAGAGTGAAAGGGAGAGGGGAAGACAGAGAAATATTGATGTGAAATACATTGATTGGTTGCCTCCTGTACACACCCCGACAGAGAGAAATATTGATGTGAAATACACACCCTGACCAGGGCCTGGGCCGGGGAGAAACCTGCAATCAAGGTAGGTGCCCTTGACCAGGCTCGAACCTGGGACCCTTCAGTCCAGGCTGACATTCTGTCCACTGGGCCAAACTGGCCAGGGCTGAGATAAGTCCTTAAGTCAAGGCGAGGTGATCAAGGTGAAATTCTGACTCAATATGACTGGAAGGGGAGGAGATGGGGACACGCAGTCACAGGGAGACCAGTGAGAAGCAGGAGACCTACACATCGAGGAGCCAGGCCTTGGAGGTGAGCAAACTGCCAACATTCTGAGCCTGAGTCCCGGCTCCCGAGCCGGAGGAAAGGTGTTTCTGAAGGGTAAGCTGCAGCCCGTGGTCCCTCATTTGGGCTTCCCAAGCCTACTAACGCTGCACACACTCCCTGTGGGGCCATCCCAGCAGGGTGGTCTGCAGACACCAGACTGCCTGCTTGGGACACCCTTGATCCCGGAGACAGGCAGGAAGGCTGACACACTGTGCAACATGGGACAAGAGCTGTGAAGCCACGAGCAGGCGAGGCCTCCAGGGTTGGCAAGAGAGCCATCAGACCCATCACATCCCATCTCTCCTGTGTGTGCACAGCAACTAAGCATGACTCCTGAAGCAGGAAACGTGTCTTCCTCAGAAAATACAAGACCGGCTCTAGCTGGTTTGGCTCACTGGATAGAGCATTGGCCTGCAGACTGAAGGGTCCCGGGTTCAATTCCAGTCAAGGGCACATGCCCAGGTTGTGGGGGGCTCATTCCCCAGTAGGGGGTGTGCAAGAGGCAGCTGATCAGTGATTTTCTCTCATCATTGATGTTTCTATCTCTTTCCCTCTCCCTTCCTCTCTGAAATCAATAAAATATATAAGAATGTTGAAAATAAAAAAGGAAATGAAGACTGGAAATGTAAAATCAGATCTGTAACTAGAAGCAGCACCTCACCATGGTGACCACGCCCCCGAGGGCCCCACTCACAGCAGCCAGCAAAGGCAGCGTCCTCATCCGAGCCGTCCCGGCACTGCACGACGCCGTCACACACCATGGAGTGGAACAGGCACTGCTGGCGGTTCTTGCACACGAAGTCCATGAAGCGGGTGCAGAGCGGCTCTGAAAGGGGCCAGAGGAGAGGCCTGAGCATGGGGTGAGCGCTCACGGGCCCTGGGCCAATGCACCGGCACAAGTGCTCCTGGGGGAGCAGCAGGAGCCACCACGTACTGAGCTGGCGGTTTATGGCAAGCCCTGGCCTGAGCACCTGATGCAAAAGGACATGACTGAGCTCTTAAGACATATGATGAGATTTCACTGTCCTGCTTTCAAGTGGGAAAACGGGTGGCAGCCATGCTAGCATGTATCTGCAAGCGGAGGAGGTAGAGCCAAAGCCAAAATCCAAAGCTGTCTGACATCCACGACGCCAGAGGACCCCAGTCACTGTGAGCACAACAGTGACCCACCGGGGCTGGCACGCTGCTGTGAGGGCCCTGTGTCGACCTAAACTGACGTGACAGACACTTAGGTACCACGGAGATCTGTCCGAGGGGTACTCCCTTCACACCCAACCCCAGCTCCCCAGGCGGGCGGCAGGCAGACTCACCGCAGTGCTGCTCGTCGGAGCCATCAGCGCAGTCCCGCAGTCCGTCGCAGTGCTTGCTGGCGGGGAGGCAGGTGCCATTCGGGCAGCGGAAGCTGTTGCACCGCTTCTCTGGAATGGAAAGAAGGTGGCTCTGAGATACGCAAGTGCTGGGAGGCCGGGACTTGGCCCGCCCTGAGGGCAGCTATTCACGCGCCCTCACAGTGGCAGGTGAGTCCCCACACGGAAAACATCGTCAGCACCGCCCTTCACAGGGACCTGGCCCGGAGGGCACTGACCATGAAGAGGTGAAGGAACGCGGTGAAGATGCAGGCTGGAGACAAGGTGTGAAGAACAAGGAGCGGACGACAGGAGAGCACACCCCTCGTGGAACAGCCAGTGGATGTGCACAGGCCTGACCTTGCACGTGTGCTCGGGCTGTGCGGAGGCCCACGGCACGGGTTCCTGGGAGCACAGGGTGGGAGCTGGGCAGGAAGTGCTTACTGCATTACGTCACTGTTTTCCCATTTCAAACCACGTGAATGTGTTACCCACTTAAGAATTTCAAATGCATATTTAAAAAGTAAAAGTTTCAGGGAAGAGAAAACTAAGTCCTGATCAGAAGCCCTGGCTTTGAAAGTGCTCTTACATCACTCATTCTGATTCTTTATGAATCTCAGCCAAAGCCCTTTGGATAAAGCATGTCCCAGAAATGTTAGGAAACGTGGGTTTCCACCTCAGCACCGGATCTAGCCCAGGTCAGCTTCCCCTGAGCAGCTTCCCCTGAGCACCAGGAGGGTCAGGTGTAAGACAGGGAAACATGCTTTAAGCCCTGGCCCATTGGCTCAGTGGATAGAGTGTCGGCCTACAGACCAAAGGGTCCCGGGTTCGATACCGATTAAAGGCAAGTATAATACCTCAGTTGCAGGCTCCTCCCTGGCCTGGATCCTGGTCGGAGAGCCTGCAGGAGGCAACCAATCTATATTTCTCTCACATTGATGTTTCTCTCTGTCTCTCCCTCTCTCTCCCACTCTCTCTAAAAATCAATAAACCAATGGAAAAATATCCTTGAGTGCAGATTAAAAAAAAAAAAAAAAGAAAATATGCTCTAATTCTGTAAAAAGTAATCATTCCTAAGAAATTATTTGGAAGACATCAAACAGAAACAGTTAATGAGTACTGCAGATGGAGAATAGGTCACAGGTAAGAAGAGTATAAAGTTAAAACGACATGAGATGACTCCCACTCGTGAAGCCTGTGAAAGCAAAGGGTCAAGGTGATGCCGAGGGCAATAGGGGAACACAGCACATCATGGATGGACATGCTTGCCAGTAAAACTACTTGGAAATAACACCTTAGAAATGTTAACAAGAACACGGGGACCAATGAAAATATGGACCCTACCTGACCACCTGGAGACGCCCGAACAAGGGGAAGGGGGCCTGAGGCTGGGGACCTGCAGGAGCCACAATCCTGGTGTCCTGGGTCCAACCCTGCAGGACTACGGGATGGCTACATCTCAAAGTAAAAATACGCCTTCGTTTCCAAGGACATAAGCAGGGTCACTGTGCAAACCAGTGTGACACCGAAACACTTGGAGGCCCACCAGGTGCAAAGTAAGCTACAGACACACAGCGGGACACACGTCTGCCATCAGAGTGCTCACTGCAGAGACAGACACGCAACAATGTGTAGACACCTCCCATTCCAGGTAATATGCAAACTGACCATCACTCCAATACAAAGATGGCCGCCCCCATGTGGGCACAGATGGCCTGCAGAGGAGGGCAGTTGGGGTCATGAGGCAGGCAAGCAGGTGAGTGGCTAGGAGCCAGTGGTCCTGGATTGCGAGTCAGACATCCCCCGAGGGGTCCCAGTTGGAGAGTGCAGGCCGGGCTGAGGGATCGCCCCCCATCCCGTGCACGAGTTTCGTGCGCCGAGCCTCTAGGGAATACAGACTCTGGTCTCTGCCTCTGGCTGCTGGCACTAAGCTATTAAACCCCTTGCATTTTCCTGGGTGGACACGGGTGTCCTATTTTTAGATCACACTAGGCGGATCCTGGATGTCAGAAGCCACGGGAGAGAGTCAGGGCCGCTCACCTCCAGGAGAGAAGGACGGGTCGGAAGAGCACCAGGCGGGCCGTGTGGTGAAGATTCCACAGAACCCAGAGTCTAGGCCTCAGAGGCACCCAGGCTGCTGAGCGCCGGTGGGAATGGGGGGCTGGGGCGAGGCACAGGGCTCTGCCCGCCTTCCCATGCCTGCCCCGGGCCTCTCTTCCATCTAATGCTCGCCTCCACCCTCCACGACCCCTTCCATGAGTGTTTCTCTGAGGTCTGTGACACGTTTCAGCAAATGACCAAGCCCAGGCCGAGAGCCCAGGCTCACAGCTTTGCAGGAGTGCAGGGGAAGCTGAGGTTGGGACTGGCACTAAAGTGGGGGGAAGGGGGCTTGCAGGACGGAGCCCTGAACCTGCGAGGTCCGAGGCAAGTAGCTCAGGGAAAACAGTGCCAGTCAGGCCCGGGGACCCCCGCTGGTGCTGGAGAATTGTCTGGAAGCCAGAACTCTATGAGTACCGGAGCCGAGGCAGCCCCAGGAGGGCTTTCTGCAGGCGGAGGGCGGAGGCAGGGCAGGAGCCGGACACCCTGGTGTAAAGCAGCTATTCTGTGGGCGTTTCTGTGGGAAGGCGACTGGCCATCTCGGGATTCTTTTTACGTCACTTATACGGAGAAAGGTCTACTTTGGGGTCAGCGAGCCATTCTTTCTGAGGCCCGCAGCACAGAAGACAGAGTTACAAAGTACCTGCTTCTCCACTGCTCCCTACAAGGCTGCACAGAAAGCTGCGTGCCGAGTGCCTGCCTGGGAACTGGCTGCACCACACCCATGTCCTACGGCACTGCCACCGAGGCCGGGGCACGCAGCTGTCAGTGAGGGCACCCTGCATACTTAGCTGTCAGGGTGGGCACAGGGGCACGCTTGGCTGTCAGCGTGGGCACCCAAGCACAGCAGGGCAGTGCTCATGTCCTGCCTCTTCCTGAGTGGCAGGTTAGGGACACTCAGGAGGGACTGAGCATGCATACTCACCGCAGCTGGCAGGGTCCTCGTCGGAGCCATCCTGGCAATCCAGGTCCCCATCGCAGGCCCAGCGCCGGGGGATGCAGTGCCCGTTGTGACACTGGAAGTTGGACGCCTCACAGGTGTGGTAGACGGCTGCCAGCAAGGAGAAGAGAGCAGTCAGCACCACCTGTTCCTCCCATTCGATCGTCAGGAACAGCCAAGGAGTCGGCGGCCGCCTGGGGCCTCAGGTGAGGGTGGGCGGCAGGTGAGCGGGGAACCACAATGTGACAGGAGCAGACATCCCTGCTACAAGCCTGCCACCAGGGGGCACGGTATTCCCCTTCTGCCACTGAACCGGGCATAGAGATTGAGAAACATGCCCCGGCACAGGGAATAAGGGCTGGCACCAGGCTGCCCAGAGCCAGAGACTGTGCTTCCACTCGCCCTCGCTACTTCACGTCTCACGTAAATCCCTCGCTCCCACTGGCCCCGCAGCCCGGAGACTCCCGCCCGGCCCCCAACCCGTCCAGCACCGTCCGTCGTGTCTGCCATCTAAGGACCTGTAGGCTCGGAAAGGCAGTGACTTCAGAATTCTCATAGGGAACCCGACATACGTTCTGGAGTTGAAAGACAGAAAATAAAAATAGCTCAGTTGATGTGTGGGAAAGCAGATTAGATGTAGCTGAAAGGAGAAGGTTGAGCTAGAAGGGAAATCTGAGAAAGGAAAGGGAATTCCAGCAGACGGAAGAGACAGCACAGGCAGCGGAGGCGTTAGCGACAGAAGGGAGTCCGTCTGCACCACGGGGACGAGCCCTGAGAGCGGGAGACACAGCTGCGAGTACGAGGCTGCTGCGTCCCAGAACCAAGGGCAACAGCAAATCCTCCTATTCTAGAAAGAAAACCAGCAGAATAAGATCCCACACCTCGCCAAGCGACACTGCATCACTACAGCCCGCCCACCACAGACACACACAATAAAACGCTGACGAGGACTGGGGAAATGGTGCCGGTCCCTGCTCAGCAGATAACCCACCAGACTGACATCAGCCAAAGGAGGCCGCAAGGAGACAGAGGAACGCCGCGGGAATGAAAAGGGGCTGCGCACCAAGGATGCAGGCCTCCCGCATCAGGCTCGCGGCACCAACAAAACCTTCAGAGTCTCTGCTCAGAATCCCTGAAGGCCTGCGGGCACAGAGCGAAGGTGCTCAGAGCACAGGCAGGTGCCCTGAGCAAGTTATTACTAAAAAGCACCAACAATCACTAACGTTAGGCTCCGACTTGTCACACACAGTACTAGGTGCTCAGTGTTGCAAGTGCTAACTGTGTGCAGTTAGGATGGAAGCATGCTGAAGCCGGCAGGTCCGGACAGAGGAAAAGGCGGAGCACCCACGGAGAGTAACACATAACAGCACACAAGTCAAGTGTGGAAGGTCAAACCGGGGCAGAGGTGGGAAGAGCCTCAATTCCCTGGAAAGCAGAAGGGAGGAGAGGAAGGGCAAGGAGCACGGCCCGCACAGACGGAGAGCAGCTGGGGTCAGCAGGTCATGGCCCTGACCTGTCATCTTGGCCTCTGCACAACTGACTTGGTCGGGAAGTGAAAGGACAGGCCACACATCTCAGTGAGCTCACACTGGCCTCCAACAACGGTGGCCAGGAAGGCGGGCCCTCGGGACGCCGTGTGGCAGTGCAGCCACGGAATGGGATGGAGGGCGCTAAGGGGGACTGAGGGACAGCTGCGCGCTGGGTACGCAGAAAACCCCCAAAGGAAGTACTTTATTCCTTTACAACTTCTCCAACTCTGCTCCCCCACCTCCACCGTGCTGTACAGCCTCCATGCACTCAGCCACAGAAGCTGTGCGATCCACAGGAGGAGGCCGTTACTCAGCAGAATGAGGACAGCACCTCGCCTCACACCGCAGGGTCAGCCTCTCTGATATTCTCGTGTTGTCTCCACATTCGTTTTTAATGAACTCTCACCCCAAAGAGATGCAAGCACTGCTTAGGTTCTCGATGTCGGGGAACCCTGAAGCGCCGAGATTCAGAAACAGGAGCTACTCCAGTGCCTCCACACTCAGCCCCAGACGAGGGGAGCGGCTATGAGCTACGCTGCTGGTCCTGCAGGCAGCACAGCTGGATGGCACATAACCCAGCGTGTCACTTGGACACATCCAGCTCGCTGAGCACTACTCGCAGCCACACGCCCTCAATGCAGGACACGGCCGGTCTGCATTCGTCCTGCAGCGGCCGAGCTGCTGAGGAGGAGCACTGATGGGTACACTGACCGGGGTGTCTGGGCCCCGCAGAGCACCAAGATGAGCAGAGCAGGACCCAGGACTGCGTGCGGACACTGACCCGTGCAGTTGGCTTCGTCGGACCAGTCCCTGCAGTCATTGTCGCCGTCGCACACCCAGGAGGTGCGGATGCACAGGCCCGAGCTGCAGTTGTACTCGTCCTCCCGGCACTGGTGCGTCTCTGCAGGTGAGAGCAGGCGTGAGGACAGCGCTCGGGTCCGGCCCTGCTGCAGAGTCCTGAGGGCCACAGTGCACCCAGCTCCTTCCCCTCAGCTCGGGGAGGGTCAGTGCTGACCCTGCCGACAGAGGGGGCGGGGCTGCTGTGAGCAGAGCCCAGGGCTTGGTGTGGGCTGTCCCGGGGGAGGGGGCAGCCCCTGGAGGGAGGGAGGCAGGCCCGCCAGGACCTGGAAGGAGAGAGCCGCGAGGACGGTGTCCTGAGCACAGCAGTGAAGTGGAATTTTAGCCCGGACAGCGTGGCTCAGTGGCTGAGCGTCGACTTGTGAACCAGGAGGTCCTGGTTTCGATTCCTGGTCAGGGCACATGTCCAGGATGCAGCCTCAATCTCCAGTGTGGGGCATATAGGAGGCAGCCAATTGATGATTCTCTCTTAAGTTTATCTCTCTCTCCCTCTCTGAAATCAATAAAAACACATTAAAAAAAAATGGAATTTTAAGTAGTTTCAACAACGAAAGCAGCCAAGCCTCTGGCCCAGGGTGGTGGCCTCACTCAAGAGCCAGGCTGCTTGTGAAGCTGGAGACTTGGGACTCATGGGCAAAGGCTGGTCACGTGCCTGCGGAGGGACCTGAGGACCCGCCAGCGGGGCGGGGATCTGACGGGGCTGTGGCTTTAATGGTCAAACCCCTGCCAGCGAGAGAGGGAGAGGCCAGCAATGCAACCACAGCTTCCTTCCTGCCAGAGCAAACTCCCCGCACTGGGCCCCTCGGGTCAAGGAGGAGGTGGGCGGGGTGAAGAGGAAATAGTGTGCATCCCAAAGACTGTTCTGGAACTTCATATTTCTACAAAAATAAAACAAGTTTATGTAATTCACCCCCAAAATGCTCTGAGAGGCAGACAGGAGCCTTAGTCCCTGTGAGTCGGCACCTGCTGCTGAGCAGGCCCTGCCAGATGCAAGCTTGGCCCGGACTGGCTCTCTCCCCTCTCCCTTCCTCTCTGAAATAAATAAAATGTAAATAAAAAGAAAATAACACAGCTCACAAAGGTGCGACTCTGTGTCCTCAGGAGGCTAACCTCCCAGCCGCCCGGAGGTGTGGCGTCTGCTGGGCTCTGACACCCAGCAGACGCCACACCGCCACACCTCAGAACCCCCACTGCTGCGGCCGCACACACGCACGCAACACCCCGCAAGGTGAACCGGGCGCCGCTCCAGAGCCAGCCAGCCCCTCTGCGTGCACGGAAGGTCAGGCCGCGGGGCCTCGTAGCTCCCACGTGGCTGTCAGAACCTCGGAGGCCTCCTGAACAGCCCCTGGCCTTAGTCCCCTTACCACAGTGGCTTTCGTCACTGTTGTCGCCACAGTCGTCCTCCAGGTCACACTTGTAGGACAGCGGGACACAGGTCCCCGACGCCTGGCAGCGGAACTGCGTCTCAGGGTCACAAACGGTGGTAGCTGAGCGGGAGAGAGGACACTCACCAGGTGTGCTCGCTCCCCGAACACCAAGGCCCCGGGGTGAGCTTAAAGAAGGAGGCAGGGTAACCGCATCCACGGAAACGCTCAGACATGTAGAGACACAGCTGTGCGAGAGCCCGTGTTCGCCACCACGGCGTCCGGGCGCGTCTGGCTGGGAGAGCAAGTGACGGGCGGGTTACCTCCGAGACCCTCAGATGGAAGCTGCCCAAGTGAGTGGCCCAAAGTCCTTTACCTAGAAAGCCACCCAGCAGCCCGGGCCCCAGCGGGAGCTGCCCTCACATGTGCACACAGGTCAGGGAAGGTGGGATCTGCATCAGCGACAGGCTCTGCAGTCAAGTCGGGTGTCAACCCTGGCTCCGCTGCCCCCCAAGAGTTTACTGTAACCCCGAGCCTCTGTGCTCCACAGTGAAGGAGGCAAAGGCAACCCTGGCTGGTGTGGCTCAGTGGATAGAGTAGTGGCCCACAGATCAAAAGTCGCGGGTTCGATTCCAGTCAAGGGCACGTACTTCGGGCCTGGTCGGGGTGCGTGCAGGAGGCAGCCCATTCACGTTTCTCTCACATGGAGGTTTCCTGTCTCCCCCTCTCTCCCTGAAAGTCAGTGGGAACGATCCTGGGTGCGGATTACCAACCACAAGAGGAGAAGAGGCACTGGGGCCTCGAGTCAGTGCCTGGCTCCTTCCCTCCCCCGTTAAAAGAGACAATACCCATCACGGCGTCACCACGATGGTGAGAAAACGTGTGGGTCGGAGGCCAGCAGATGGGGTGAAGCATGATGTCACTTCTCCTCTCCCCAGCCTCGTGCCCGCAGCCTCAGAGTGAGATGGTTAGCTCCCCCTTTAGACAGCACTGTCTCAGCTTGAGCACAGCCCCTGAGAGCAGCCTGCAGGAAAGGCCTGGGGAGAGGCGCACTTGGGGGAGAGGGGGGACAGCAGCTGGAGAAGGAAGGGTGTGGCCCAGCCTGGGACCGGGCGTGGGGGGACGGGGAGGGGAACGCCATGAGGTGAAAAGCTGTGGCTGCACCGTGGTTGGAGGTCCCTGGCAGCTCTTGCTGAGGCTTCATGCTTCTCTGTGATGGAGGTGTGGTGGGAGTCAGGGACAGAGGCAGCACACCTAACCTCAAGCTCCTGACAAAGCCCAGCCAGGAGCCTGTCCGAGGGAGGGCAGCATGCTGGCAACACCCCAACTCCCTCGGTCCCCTCTGGTCCCCCCGCAGTGGGCAGGAGGCCTCCCCAACTTCCCAGCAGGTCCTCGCGCCCGCCCTGCGCCTGCTCATATCCTCGCCGCTCTCCCACCTCCTCCGTGGGAAGCAGAGACCAAGGCACCACTCCTGCTCCCAGCCCACATGCCAGTCCCTCAGGCTGCACCTCACTAGTTGGGCTGAGCCCAGGGGGAAGCAAGTCTCAGGTCTGGGGAAGGCCACCCCGCGGACCTTCTCACCAACTAGGAGGACCAGCCCGCTCACCCTTCCCTGGTGGCAGCGCCCCTGAAGAGGAGGGAGGTCTCTCTCAAAACCGGAGCCCATGAGACCTACGCTAGTCTACCACCCGGAACCAGAGCCCAGAGACCGGAGGAGTCCCTGCTACTGGACACGGGTCACCCCCCCCCACCCGCCCGCGGCGCCTCAGCAGGGCAGGCAATGTGCCTGCAAAGTGCCAGCTCTGTAACAGACTGCTTCAGCTCAGCTCAGATGCCGCTGCGTTTATCGCTGCCCTTAAGGCGTTCTGGCTCCTCCCCCACAGACCTCAGACCCCCCTGAGACTCTGGAGGGACAGGGGGTTCCCAGTGACAGTTTGCAGAACAGAAACCACAGGCAAAGCTAGTGCTCCCGAAGCCGGCCTTCCGGGGCTCTCCTCATCGGTGTGCAAGGCGCCCTGAGGCCGGGCTGCTCCAGGAGCTGGTCTGCGCACTCCACAGGCGGGACACACCTGCAGGGGGAGCAGTGTGGGGCGCTCCCTGCTCCTCAAACTGTGTCTGGGGGCGGCTGGGAACCAGCACGGGCTCTACAGTGGACCCTGCCGTGCACACCTGCCAGAGACAGAGACACAGAGCCAGAGCCACCAGCACCCTCCTCAGAACAGTGGCCATGCGCTGCCAGGTCCCACAGACACAGCATGTGGACGAGAAGCTCCGGCTCTGTCCCTCCCTCACTCCTCTGCCCCCAGCTCACTTCTCCCGTCACACGGATGGCCCACCTCCCCGAGAGCTCTCACCGCCTGCTGCTCCAGCCCACGCGGCCCGGCCGAGGCCCCCAGCCAGGCCACAGCCACTCCGCCTGCAGCTCTCCTCCCTGCTGCCCCCACCTATGCTCTGGTCACTCTGTGGGAGGACCTACCCCAGTCTGACCTGAGTGCCCCATGCTCCCCATCCTCACATTCATCTCTCTAGGGCAGCTGGCTGCTCACTTTATTTACTTATTTTTAATCCTCATCTGAGGATATTTTTCCATTGATTTTTTTTTTAGAGAGAGTAGAAGAGAGAGAGAGAAACATTTGTGTGAGAGAAACACATTGATTGATTATATCCTCCACGAGGTCCGACCAGGGCCTGGCCCAGCGGGGAGCCTACAACCAAGGTATGTGTCCTTGACTGGAATTGAACTAGGACCCTTCGGTCCCCACCTGCCAGACCAAACTGGATGGCACAATGGCGCCGGAGCCCAGGCAGCCAGCATTGGACTTACAGAGCCAGATCGCCACCTGGTCACTGCCCGCCACTGGCTTGCCGGACTCCCACCTTTAGCCACATGAGGCTGATCTGAAAACCTCTTACAATGATAGAGTCAACTGATATACGTGGGTCTGTTTCAAATAATAACATGTGTCTAGTTGGGTATACAAAGGCGTGTTCCCCAAACAACCCCACCAGCTTACATGCATCACCAACCACGACAGGCGAGCCAGTACCCTGGACCAGCGATTCTCAGCCGGTGTGCCAAAGAAATTTTTAAAGCTCACGCTACCTACTAGTCAGGGGTACTGGCCTCTTTTCCCTTAGACTGTCCACTAAAAAATGACAACAGCCAACACAACCGGATGATACAGCCATCTGGTACAGTGTGAGTGAATCAAAATTACAGCTGGCTTTGTCAGATCAGCAAAGCATACGTCTTTTGGTGTAGTTTGTGGGCGCCATGAGCTGAAAAAGATTGACAACCACTGCCCTAGATGGCCAGTCGCACGCAGGAGCGGACCAGCCTTCCGTGTAACAGGCCCGCTGGGACTCACGGCAGTTCCTCTCGTCGCTCAGGTCTCCGCAGTCGTTGTCAAAGTCACACCGCCAGACGCTGCTGATGCAGTTCCCGTTGCTGCAGCGATGCTGGCTGCGGAGACAGGCGCCCTCTGTGGGCGGAGGGTGGGAGAAACAAAGCCAGGGTTACTCTCACTCAGGGACCAGCCCTTCGCTGCCCTTCTCTGAGGAATCAGCTGACCCCTGGTGCTCAGCCAATGAGGAGCCGGAGGAGGGACTCACATCCTCCAGATAAACAGCCTGTGACCACTGCTCCTGAGCCTGTCCCCACTCCTGCTCTTGCAAGAACGTATTAAAGGTCTCGTTTCCGCCACACTTCTGTCAGGTATTCAGACAGGTAAGTGTTTCTCACAACATTAAACCAAAAGCACAAGCTCTTATCTATAATAATAAAAGCATAATATGCTAATTAGACTGGTCAGTAAACGACCTTCCAGAAGTCCTCCGGATGACTTTCCGGACGAAGCTGGGGCTGAGAGGGCTGACGCAAGCTGCTGCGGCTGCGAGGGCCGAGCCGCTTGCACAATCTTGTGCATCAGGCCTCTGGTTTCTAAGTCACAGCTCAGGGCTGTCCTGAATGAGGACAAATCCCACGGTGGACCCTGAGCCAGGTGCCTCTAGGCCCTAAGGGTGCTGTTTCCACCGGGAGCATTTCAATGACTCAAAGACAGCAGGGAACAGAGGACAGGGAACAAGGGGAGGAAGGGACGGGGCGGGGAGGGGGGGGGCGCGGTTGGGGGGGAAGGAAGAGGGAGGGATGGGGGAGGAAAGGGATGGGGGAGAGGAAGGGGAATAGGGAGGAAGGGGATGGAGTGGGAGGGGGAGAGGAAGCGAAGGAGCGCACCTTCTTTCACGCAGGAGTTGTTCTTCAGCTGATAGCCCCCTGGGCACTCGCACCGCAGGTCCCCGGCCTGGAGCTCAGTGGCCTGGAGCTCTGAGGCCTGGAGCTCAGCAGCCAGCACTCCCTCTGGGCACCTGCAGGTCCTGCTGCCATTGGCCCGGGGCAGGCACAGCAGGCTGCAGGGCCGGGGCACACAGGCGTTGCTCCCTGGAAAAGGCACAGAGTCAGGGATGCAGGGTCACACCTCAGGCCAGGCAGCCAGCAGCTCCTCGACCAGACGCCACAGTGTGGGGCTGAGAGGCCAGGCCAGAGCTGGGCCCTCCGGGGAGGGAGGACCCCTCTGCACAGAGCCCTCAGGGAAGCCCTGCCCACAGGCAGCCTCGTAGATAGATCAGAGAGGGACTCAGAATGGGATGCCGAGGGCCACCCACGGGGACCAGGAAGCTCAGCGGGGAGAACAGTTCTTCGGGCTGCGTCAGGGGAGGTGCAGGGCAAGCCCCACCTGTGGAGGCTAGAGCCGCAGAGACAAACTCAGGGATGCAGAGGGGGAGTCTGGGCTGGACAGCACCAGGGACCTGGAAGGGGGGAGGAGAGAGGCAGGAGAGAAGGAGGGGAGAGCAAGGGGAGGCGGGGAGGGGAGAAGCAGAAGGGGGGGTGGGGGAAGAGGTAGGGCACGGGAAGGAGGAGGGAGGAGGAAAGAGGCAGGTGAGGGGCAGGGGGAGGGGAGAGGCAGGGGGGAGAAAGAGGAGGCAGGATGGGGGGGGGGTAGGAGCAGGGAGGAGGAGGGGGAGGAGCCTGTCACAGGCCTCAGTGGGCTCTGCCTGCCACACCACCAACCCACACACAGACCAGTTCCTGTGTGTCCATCCCCGTTCCCACACTTCCCTCTGCGTGGCTCTCTGAGGGGGGCAGGGCCCCGCACCCTCCCTGGGCAGCTGGTGAACAGGATGTAGCTCTTTCCGGAGGGCGCAAGAGGCATGAGCCCTGCGGTAGCGATGGGCACGCCATAAGCACGCAGCGCTGACGTGAGGCTGCTCCCCTCTCTGTGGGGCTGCTCCCCTCTCTGTGGGGCTGTGGGGCTGCTCCCCCTCTCTGTGGGGCTGTGGGGCTATGAGGCTGCTCCCCTCTCTGTGAGGCTGCTCTCCCTCTCTGTGGGGCTCTGGGGTTGCTCCCCTCTCTGTGGGCTGCTCCCCTCTCTGTGGGGCTGTGAGGCTGCTCCCCTCTCTGTGGGGCTGCTCTCCCTCTCTGTGGGGCTGTGGGGCTGCTCCCCTCTCTGTGGGGCTGCTCCCCTTTCTGTGGGGCTGTGGGGCTGCGGGGCTGCTCCCCTCTCTGTGGGGCTGTGGGGCTGCTCCCCTCTCTGTGGGGCTGTGGGGCTGCTCCCCTCTCTGTGGGGCTGCTCTCCCTCTCTGTGGGGCTGCGGGGCTGCTCCCCTCTCTGTGGGGCTGTGGGGCTGCTCCCCTCTCTGTGGGGCTGTGAGGCTGCTCCCCTCTCTGTGGGGCTGCTCCCCTCTCTGTGGGGCTGTGGGGCTGCTCCCCTCTCTGTGGGGCTGTGGGGCTGCGGGGCTGCTCCCCTCTCTGTGGGGCTGCTCCCCTCTCTGTGGGGCTGCGGGGCTGCTCCCCTCTCTGTGGGGCTGCTCCCCTCTCTGTGGGGCTGCGGGGCTGCTCCCCTCTCTGTGGGGCTGCTCCCCTCTCTGTGGGGCTGCGGGGCTGCTCCCCTCTCTGTGGGGCTGCTCCCCTCTCTGTGGGGCTGCGGGGCTGCTCCCCTCTCTGTGGGGCTGCTCCCCTCTCTGTGGGGCTGCTCCCCTCTCTGCGGGGCTGCTCCCCTCTCTGCGGGGCTGCTCCCCTCTCTGCGGGGCTGCTCCCCTCTCTGTGGGGCTGCTCCCCTCTCTGCGGGGCTGCTCCCCTCTCTGTGGGGCTGCTCCCCTCTCTGTGGGGCTGCTCCCCTCTCTGTGGGGCTGCTCTCCCTCTCTGTGGGGCTGCGGGGCTGCTCCCCTCTCTGTGGGGCTGTGGGGCTGCTCCCCTCTCTGTGGGGCTGTGGGGCTGCTCCCCTCTCTGTGGGGCTGCTCCCCTCTCTGTGGGGCTGCTCCCCTCTCTGTGGGGCTGTGGGGCTGCGGGGCTGCTCCCCTCTCTGTGGGGCTGCTCCCCTCTCTGTGGGGCTGCGGGGCTGCTCCCCTCTCTGCGGGGCTGCTCCCCTCTCTGCGGGGCTGCTCCCCTCTCTGTGGGGCTGCTCCCCTCTCTGTGGGGCTGTGAGGCTGATGGAACACATGAGCCTGAGTTGGATCAAGCTCGGCGGTGTGGAGCCCGCTTCCCCGCTGGACCAGGCGGACTCGTGCCCTTCCGCCACGACGTGCTCTGGGCCTGCGGCCGGCGCGGGGGTTCACCCTGGCCCTCGGTGCCAACGCGGGCGATGGGCCACTGGCTGCCTGTGGACACGTGGGCACCTTAGCAGTGTTAACGGCAGGACACACAAAAGCAAACATCGCCATCGCCCCAGAGCTCAGGCCCCGGATTACAAGACGCTGCTAAAGAGAGAAAACACCCCCCTCGGAGGGAAGGCCATAGGATGAGCATTCCAAAGGGCCCCCCAATAACCTCACACCCTAACAGCCAAGGCACCAGGCAGAGCAGCCGGCACGGCCGCCATGCAGACCCCAGCCGGGCTGCTGGGTCCACAGGAGCCGCTCGGTCCTCAGGGGCACGCCACGCTGCGGCGGGATGCCGCTGGGGCAGCACTCCACCAGGACGGCCGGCCTGGTGTTCAAGGTGCCGCCGCTAGCCGCTCCTGGCCGGAAAGGAGCCGGAGAGCCAGCTCCTCACCGGGTCCCTGGGCAGCTCGGCCAGTTGCAGCTCCGCACTCCCGGGCCACCCGCCTGTGCCAGGGAAGCTGCGTGTCCATCGCTCTGGGGATGGACGTGGCAGGCCGGAGAGCATTCGGAGAGAACCCGTCACCCTAACCAAAGACTTCTCTCAGGCTCGGAGCTCTCGCCAGTGTGGCTTCTGGCTCCTGGGCCCCCTGGTTTGGCTCCTGCCTGTGTTGCCTCCACAGCCATGTGGCCATGCGACCCCACACACGATGGACAGTGGCCTGCAGGCACACAAGCTGAGCCAGCTGGTGCTGGGCTGGACCGGCTCCTACAGCGCAAGGACCCCCTGGACAGGGGCTCTGCTCCTCGCTCTGCTACGCCCAGCTGCACGTCTGTGCCGGATGAGGGGAGGTGGGGCTTTAGAAACCCAGGGCATCCCATGGAAATACAGCTTTCCACCCTGCTCACCCCCCGGGGGCTCTGCAATACTTGTTCCAGAGGGACCCCGAGAACCCCACTTCCACCAGCAACGGGGGAGACGAGCCCCTCTCCTATCCTGCAACAAGAAGAGGACGCCTCGCTCAATGTGCCAAGAAACTGAACAATCGAATGTCTGGAGAACAGTCAGTCACAGGGTATTTTCACAGGGTTGTGTCTATAAAATACTAACGTTTCACACACAGCAAACGCCCCTATGCAAAGAGGCAATAGCCAAAGGCACAGAACCCGGCACGGGACACAGCGTTCAGGAGCCCGGCTGGGCAGAGATGCATGAAACCAGCCTTAGGGTCAACCCCCAAACCATGCTGACCAGGTCACTGACCCCAAGAGGCAGGCAGGGCAGGAGTGCGGGGCTGGGGGAGAGCCACATTCAGAGAACAGGGTCACGTGTCAGGAGGAGCCTGGAGGGCAGGGTGCAGTTCAACACAGCACTAGCCTGGCCCTCCCACAGGGCCAGTCTGTGTGGGAGAATGGGGAACAGGAAGGCATCACCCCTTCGAAGACCAAACACAGCCCTGTGATGTCTGTCAGAGTCAGAACATTCTCTGACATCCTCTTTGGAAAATTCTTCCAGAATGTTCTGGACTGCAATGCTCCCTCCCTCAGATGGCTGCAGGTTGCTCCTGCTCCGACAGGCTAAAGAACCAAAGGAAATGTGCTGGGCTCGCATCCCTCAGCACAGCCGCGAGGCAAGAGCAAAAAATGATGCCTGTTTTCAGGCTCACAGATGTCCCTGCAATGGCCTAGGACCAGCAGGAACAAAGGGCCTGGGAAGCCCACATTTTCCCTCAACCCCTGGATCTGGCCGCCCTGGCCAGCAAGCACCCCTAGCCTTGCCCCTCCTCCTTCCCCTTAACAACAAAAGATGAGAGTCCAGTCTTTCTTAAGATGGACTGAGAACTAGTTCTCCCACCCTCTCTAGCAAGGCCTTCTCAATCAATACACCTTTGCTTGCTCCAAACACTGACTTACTCAACATTGGCTTTTTTTTTTTTGAAGCGTCAGGTACACGAACCTTGGGCCAGTAATAGAACCAGTTAGGAGCCAGAAATACTATCTTATTTAGTTATCTATTGAACTCACACCCACTCCATCATACATACCTGCCCTCATTATGAACAGTTAAAAGCATACGCTTCCTGCAGCCTCTGAGGAAGGATTCCAAGGGCTCCAACAGACTCTAGCTCATTGCAGCATCAACTAAACATATAAACAGCCTCGCAAATTAGCTGTTTAAGGAAAAAGGACTGTGAAGAATGAATTCCAGTAATACTACGCACCAATCAGCCAAGTGTAAAGATGAAAAATGCATCTGTCGAAGCAAATAGCTCAAACTGACAAAAGTTCCAAATCATCAAAGTTCTATCACAGACAAGAACCAATGGAGCTTCGCAGTCAGCCATGTACCAGGGCCTGGGCCTTTGGGAGCGATAGCGGCACCCGAGCAAAGTCAGCGCAGCCACGGTTCAGATTCTTACCACTTACTCAGCACGCAATGCAGTTACTCAGCCCGACTTTCATGTCCTCGTCCACACCATGGAGATGAGGATAGGACACGCGGATTTGGGGAAGACGAACTGAGAGGTCACACAGCCCATCAAGCACGTTAATGGGTGCTTATCGTGGGAAGTGGGCCCCTGTGGTCCACCTCCAGCAGGGCCAGCTTTGGATGGGGCAGTCACTGTGTCCCCAGGGCAAACAGAATGTGGGGAGGGGGGAGGGTGTGAGAACCAACAACTGTGGGCGTGGCCAGCATCATGGAGGAAACTCCCACTCCGAGGGGCCCCCTCAAGGAGACAGGGGGAGGGGAGGCAAGTGGAAAAGGCCTCAGCCCTTCTTTTAAATGGCCAATGGGAGAGGGTGGACCTGGGCGACCAATGAGAGAACAGGTGACCCTGGTGCTCAGCCAATGAGGAGCCGGAGGAGGGACTGAGTAAATGGACTGTGCATGCTGCCCCAGGTGTGGCTGTACAACCAGATGGACGCCTGCTCTGGAGAGAGCATTAAAGTCTCATTTCGCCATACTTCTGTCTTTGAGTGTTATTTGAATTCAGACAGGTGAGCGTTTCTCACATTATGACATTACAGTTCCTTAACAGATGTAGTTATTACCACCATCTTTATCTCATACTTACAGGAAGTCCTCCATGTGTCAGAGCAGACAACAAAACAACAGACTGCCTGGCACCAAGGACTGGCACCCAGAACAGGAATCCGCAACACTCAGCGTCCAAAGGGGCAGGCAGGCTCGAGCAGGCAAGCTCAAAACCAGGCGACACCCCACTGCACACAAGCTGTGCGGGCAGCCAGATGCCCTGGATAAAGCCTCGATGTAACACACACTGCCCCTCGGAGATCAGAGCCTGCCTCTCCCGCCCAGGACTGCGGCAGGACGTCCCGGGAGGCAGCCGGCGGCCACCATTTCCCCTTCACGTCCAACAGCCCTTCCCTGGAAGTGGCCGCAGGTCAGCAGGGAGGAAGCGACCTGCCCACACGGGCATGAGGCCAGGCTGCGGTTCCGCTGACCACGTGTTTAAGGAGCGGCCTGTGCTCACAGGGACGTGCAGGCTCACGGGGACTCGTCCAGATGCAGGCCGGCCTCCTGGGCCAGGCGGGGACTGAGAGATGGTGGTCAGGGCTGGTGTCCTCGCCAAGGCCCCACGGGCCCAGTCACGAGCTGGGAGCTGATCCCTTCATTGCCCCAGTTCAGGCCGGGCACCTCCCGAAGAACAAACGTGGCAGAACGGGATGTTTGGGAAAATCAATTCCTCTAAGATGTCACTCCCGAATCTCCACCCCCAGATCCTGTTCCAGCCCCACACGGCGCAGGTCGGCCGTGCGGACAAACAGCATTGACTTACGAGCCCCCTGGGCCCCAGGAGGGTCACGGTATCTCTGACCGGATCACTTCCCTTTGTCCATTTTCTCGGAGCGGCCTGCCAAGCCTGCAGGACAATGCCGCATTCTAATTCAAACGGGAGCCCGCCAGGGCGTCCGGCTTCCAGACGGGCTGTCCTTGGAGAGCCTCTCTCCTTAGTGCCCTTCGTGCGCAGAGGAGGTCAGCAGAGGGAAGGCCATCTGGACGGGCAGCTTTCCACAGAGCAGCCTCGTCGCCAGGACGAGAGCCAGAGCCTCCAAGCAGCTAAGCCACAGCCAGCAATCTTTAAGAAAGCTACTGACTGCACCTCCTTCTCATCCCTTCTTCCAACGAACATGAAGTGGGCACTCAGTGCCAGGCACGGGTAAAACTACTGAGCAAAAAGAAGAGAGAATGTTCATCCTGGGGCTTGGCGTTCACGGTGGGCACAGAGTGAGTCATCAGAGCAGCACCCGTGCCACGGCAGACGCGTGCACATCTGAGCCAGAGACCCAGATGGGATCCTGCCAGGAAGCAGCACAGCCTGCAGTCCAGCGCAGCCCCACCCCGGGGAACAGCACAGCCCCACTGGGTGTGCGGGCGGTGTGGCCCCTGGGTCAAGTGTGTGGCAGAAAAGAAAGACCTGCAGGGCCCCTCCGGCTGGAATGGAGGTCACATCCCCACTCAGTGAGGGGACTAAAGCAGGGGAGGCTATAATTACTGACCAATTACCAGCACCCCGGGCAGGCAACACATGCCTCTTCCAGCTGCTTGTGTCTCATTAGGATAGGAATCACGATGCCGTTGGGAAGAAGTGAACAATGTGCCTGCCACTGAGACTGGCTGTGGCTGGATGACACTGGCTGTGGCTGGCTGACAGTGGCTGTGGCTAGGTAACACTGGCTGAGCCTGGCTGAGGCCACGGAGCTGCTAGGGTAGAGGCTGCAGCACCCAGCCCTTTTCTGGGACCCACCAACAAGAGGAGGGAGGAGAGGCCCTTACCAGCAGTCTTCCCCTTGTAGAAAACCTTCATGTCCATCAGCCCCGGGAGCTGGCTGGCCAGCAGCGCCACCTGTGACCCACCCTGCTTGGAAGCTCGGAAGATGCTGAGCTGTGACCAGTCGTCCCAGTAGAGATCATTCTGAAAAGAAAAACGTCGGCTCTTTAGTGTGGCTCTGGGCTTCCCTCTGGGCCTCGGCGAGGAGCTGCTGGGAGGGCCACCGCGGGCACTGGCCGCCGCCGGCTCCTCTGGACCCCACGCAATGCGAGTCAGGAGTTCACCCGAACCTCAGCCAACACCCGCACCGAGGCACTGCCCCAACGAAACTCCTCGGTCAACATCACGTTTGCCCACATCCCAACTCTTCCGTTTGAAATCTTCTTCTCAATGTTGGGAGAAACTTTGTTCTACAGAGTCCAGGCGGGCGGCCGGCCCCACAGGTACAGGCTCCTTGAGGGCCACAGAGAGGTGGGGGCAAAGCTCCCCAGAGACACGGCCAGAGCTGAAACCAGGGATGGGCGCCTGTCCGCATCCCTCTGCCTGGGCTGAAAGGAACAGCCCCCGCCTGGAAAGTGAGCTCTCTCCCAGCCGAGACTAGCCGCTCTGCAAACACCCAGCCCGTTCTCACAGCAGTGTGCTGGCCACCCTGGGCAGGGCGGCCGCAAGGCAGCCGCACCTTGAAGACCGCGATGGCATAGGGGTGCGGGAGGCCGCTCAGGAGGACCGAGCGCTGCTGGCCGTGGAGGGAGACCCGCTCGATGCAGTCCAGGTAGGCGTCCGTCCAGTAGACCCACTGCTCGTCCACGGAGATGCCATTGGGCCACTTCACATCCTCCGACACCAGGGAGCGCACAGCAGAGCCGTCCATGTTGCTCCGGTAAATGCCTGGCCTCAGGTCTCCCCAGTCGGTCCAGAGCATCACCCTGTCCAACCAGAGAGCATTGTCACCAGCTCCGGGGACAGGAGCCAGGCCCTGCTCCTTGGGGGGAGGCCCTCTCTCTAGCACAGGGGCTGAGACAGGGGCTCAACCTTGCTCCCGGGGGGAGACACTCCCACTAGTGGGTATTTCAGCCTTATTATCACAATATGTAATCACAATACCAAAACCATTTCATTCCTTGACCCAAAAGTTCCTGTATGGGGCGTTTTCTATGTATATAATCAAGTAATGCAGAGATAACATAAAAAAGATGGTCATCATAGCAAAGACTGTTCATACTAGCAAAAATAATCTATACTAATAAGAGAAATATGGTAATTGACCATCACTCAGCAATGCTCACAATCAGCAGAGAATATGCAAATTAGTGGGACCAAGATGGTGGCGACAACGGAGCCAGTTATTGTAGGCAGGAGGCTTGTGTTGCCCCCAGCAATGGAGGAAGCCAATCTTCCTACCTACCTGGGCTGGCTGCCGAAGGAGGGGCCTGAAAATGGCCCTCAGTCCCTCACTCAGGCTGGCCAGGCACCCCAGCAGGGACCTCTACCCTGAAGGGGGTGTGGCTAGCCTGAAAAGGACCCTTAGCCTCTCACCCAGGCTGGCCACGCCCCCCAGTGGGGACCCTCACCCCATGAAGGCATGGCTGGCCTGCAAACCACCACAGGCCCCTCACCTAGGCTGTCCAGTCCCCCAAGGGAACTCCCACTCTGATCCGGGCTACTCTTCAGGGCAAACCAGCCGACCCCCATTTGTGTACCAGGTCTATATCTGTACTAATAGGAAGGTAATATGCTAATGAGACTGGGAGACTCTCCCATGCAAACTGGGAGACCTTCTGGATATTCTTCTGGACAAAGCCATGGTGGTGTGGTCAAGGTAGAGGTGGTTAGAGGCCAAGAGGGGAGGGCAGTTGTAAGTAATCAGGCCGGTGGGGGGAGGGGAGAGTTGGGAGTGAGCAGGCTGGCAAGGGGGGGAGTTGGAGATGAGTAGGCCAGCAGGGGGGGAGTTGGGGGCGAGCAGGCCAGCAGACAGAGTGGTTAGGGGCAATCAGGCAGACAGGCAGGTGAATAGTTAGGAGCCAGGAGTTCCGGATTGTGAGAGAGATGTCAGACTGCCTGTGGGATTAGGCCTAAATCAGCAGTCAGACATCCCCTGATGAGTCCCAGATTGGAGAGGGTGCAGGCCAGGTTGAGGGACACCCCTTCCCCCAACCCCATGCATGGATTTCAGGTACCAGGCCACTAGTTTTTTAAATAAAACATATATGTATTTTTGTATGTGTATACTATATGTATTTTAATCTGTAGAAAAAGTAATAATTATGATACATACAAAAAAATTATGCAGCCTAAAGTCCAGAGGTGCTCATATGAAACCACCTTCAAAACATATTTAACTTTTAATATATGGCTTGGCTGGAACAGCTCAGTGGTTGAGCATCGACCTATGAATCAGAAGGTCATGGTTAGATTCCCAGTCAGGGCATATGCCTGGGATGTGGGCTCAATCCCCAGTGTGGGACATGCAGGAGGCAGCCAAGCAATGATTCTCTCATCACTGACTTTTCTATTTCTCTATCCCTTTCCCCTCCTCTCTATAATTAATAAAAATAAAAAAAATTTTTAACATATGCAGAATAGTACAACACATATCTTAGTACTTTATTTGGCAAATATGTGTATGTGTCTCAGAGTTTTAAAGATATGTGCTTGTACATGGGTTAAAAAATTCTGAATAAGACACAAATAACTATTAACCCCTAGAAATGTGAGGTGAAGCATTAATAGTGAGAAAGGAGAAATAAGAATTGTTCACTTCATAAACTTCTGTTCTCTTTTATTAATGTTTTAAATCAAGTGCATAACTTCCAAATGTCTGTTGTTGTTCATTCTCATCCGAGGATATTCTTTAAATGTTTGCACCATTCAAGAAAGCATTGCCCACGGACACAGACAATAGTGTGGTGAAGGCGGGATGGGGCAGGAGCTTGTGGAGGGGACAATGAGGGTAAAAATGGGGGACATCTGTAATACTCTCAACAATAAAGATAAATTTAAAAAATTTAAAAATGCTACAAAAAATGCTACAATAAAAAGAAAACGAATCCTCACACTATCCAATCAGACTTGACTATGTCTACAGAAAAGCTTTAATATTATCTTTTCTTAATAGGTTTTTATTGACTTCAGAGAGGGAGAGAGAGAAACATCAATGATAAGAGAGAATCAATCAGCTGCCTCCTACACACCCCACACTGGGGATCAAGCCTGCAACCTGGGCATGTGTCCTGACAGGGAATCCAACTGTGACCTCCTGGCTCATAGGTCGATGCTCAACCACTGAGTCATGATGGCTGGGCCTTAATATTACCTTTTGTTGGAGAAACTTCCCACAGATGTGAGACATCTGGATGTCTAAGAAATTCGGATGCTTGCTGGTGAAAAGTTACCTGACAAAGACTATGGTTTCAAAACTCGGTTAACAGCTTACTGCAACCACAGTCCTGAGAAGCAGCTTTTGTCCAGCAATTTGCATTCCCGTGAGTCTGTCTGCTGCAGCCTGGGACTCACCCCGCCTTCCACAGAGCCACACTTACCCCTCCTGGGGCACGAGGGCCAGAGCGCGGGGCCGATCGAGCACAGAGGAATTGACGATCGTGAGTCGGAAGTCACCATCCGGATGAGCTACCTGACAGCGAGGGAAGAGAAAAGGGCCAAGATGGTCAGAGCCCCTGCAGCCTCCCTCCAGCTGCTGCCTGCAGACAGGCCCCTCGCTCCACTGCGGGCTGACCTGGGACATCTGCCCCCTTTCTAGTCTGAACGGCCTTTCCTCTGGCTCCTACATGCACACTTTGGCAGAGGCCCCTACGATGTGCATAGCACTCACATGTTTACTTATTTACCTGCCGGCTACCCAGGCCCTGGCCCGGTGCCACCCTGTCCGCAGAGGGAAGTCGCCATGCCACCGCCTGGCAGTGACATCTCCACAGGCTTCTCCTTCAGTTCCCGCTGTCAGCAGACCTGGCTCCTGCTCCGAGCCGGCCTACGCCATCGCCTGCCCGTCCTCCGCTCTAATCAAAGCCCGTCTCTCCTTCAGGCTCACTTCAGGCCCCTCCTCTCCAGCTTCTGAATGCCCTGCTCACGGGCTCTGCTTTGACACCAGTTTACACAAGCAGGGCCTGAGCGAGTGTGAGCAAGGCTCTGCCTGCTCCTGCTGGCCCGAGAGCATGGGCCACACACCGCAAAGGAGAGAGAGACACTAATACCATCAGCGCAGCCTGGCCGGCTGGGCTCCCTGGATAGAGTGTTGGCCTGTGGACCGAAGGTTTGCGGGTTCAAATTGGTCAAGGGCACCTACTTGGTTGCAGACTCCTCCCTGGCCTGGGCCCTGGTCAGGGCTCATGCAGGAGGCAATCAATTGATGTGTTTCTCTCCCACTGTCTCTGAAAATCAATGGGAAAATATCCTCAAGTGAGGATTAACAACAACAAAAAACAACAGCAGAGCTCCCTGCCACAGGCCCTGTGCCCTTCCTTTCTCCTCTCACTGCCCTGAGGTAAGCTCTCCAGCGACCTCCTCAGTCAGGGCTCAGCTCAGAGGCCATGCCCCAAGGTGCCCCTGCCCCCGGCTGTGCATCCCCAAGGCCCCTCTGCCCCCGGCTGTGCGTCCCCGAGGCCCCTCTGCCCCCGGCTGTGCGTCCCCAAGGATATTTAAAAAATAAAAATAAGCAACAACAAAAATAAACTCTATCCCTCACCTAGCCGACATGCTTGCCTCCGCTGTGCCATCCCAAGGCTAAGGGGCACTGGCAGGCGACAAGGTACTCAAAAAGCACTGCATTTGCCAATGGCGATGGACGATGGACCTGAAGCCAAAGTCCCTCGGCCACTGGAATGCAGGGGGCCCAGGCCGACCCTCACCTGTGGCTCATGTCTTGCAGCCTCCCTGGGCTCTGTGTCTATCTGCTTCCCCTGGCCCCATGCCCACCCTCCACAGGGAGTGAGAGCAGAGGCAGGGTCCGGGCCAGCAGCACTGCAGGAGCTGAGTGCAGCTGCATCCGGAGGCTGATGGGCACTCAGTGGCCACTATGGAGCTTCATGTGCCCGGGCAGCTGAGCGCAAGAGGTCAGGATAACAAGGAGAGCCATCTGCCGGGTTGTTAAGTCCTGCCACATGGCTCCCGCAGGGGCGGGCACAGTGAGCCTCATTGCCCTGGTGACGATGATGGTGATAATGACGATGCTACTGTCATTATTCCTCTAAACGACCACCATGCTGTCCAAGTGCTGATGTAGAGCATATAATAATGCTATGGCCCTAACCAATTTGGCTTGTGGGCTGAGGGGTCTCAGGTTCAATTCCGGTGCACATGCCCAGGTTACAGGCTTGATCCCCAGTAGGGGGCATGCAGAAGGCAGCCAATCAGTGTTTCTCTCATTAATGTTTCTCTCCCTCTTCCTTTCTCTCTGAAATCAATAAAAATGTTAAAAGTAGTCGTGGTAATGCTACGATACTATTGTTGTTGTTACTACTCTGTTTCCTCTCCCGAATACAAGTTCTCGGCACCTCAGGAGGTATGTGCGGCAGGTGCCCGTGCTGTGTGCGGGACCTTCACAGCAGAGAGCAGCGGCTCCGGACCGGCCCTCGCCTTCCTCTCGAGGCCCAGGGCCCATCCTCGGAGGTCTGAGAACTCCAGAGCAAACATGACCACTGGCCCCATCTGTGTCCCATCTGGCTGGAGTCCTCCTCATTGGTTCAGGGGAGCACACCTACCTCAATCTTCTTAAAGCCAGCGTCCACCCAGTAAAGCAGCTGGCTGAGGGGGTCAAAGGCCAGGGCTTCCACGGTCTCCAAGCCGGAGCTGATGATCACCTCCTGCCCGGTGCTCCCGTTCAGACAGAGGCGCTGGCGAGGGGAGCAGCAGCAATTCTGTGAATGCTCAGAGACCTCCTGCCCGCTGCCGGGACCCGGGGTGTGCGGCGCCCGCTGTGCAGACCAGCCACCCGGGCCGGCAGTTTCTTTACGCCCCTGTCTGCTTCTCAGCTTCTCTCCCTGGAGAGGCTCGGGCCACCAGGTGCTACTGTTGGGAGACTCAGCACCCACCCCTCACATGCCCGAGCCCCATGAAATCTCTGTGGGATAGAGTCAGCATTGTTGAACATGCTTTTCTAAAAGGACTGAAGACCAAACAGCTCTGCTTTGAAATGCAGGCTTCGGGCCGTGGCTCCTGGGGTCTGCGGGGCCGGCCCGGCCTGTTCCCTGTCCTCGCTGCAGAACGCCACCAAGGCGAGAACAGAACCACCACGTGGCCTGGGGAGAAGGGCTGCGGGCACAGGGGTAACAGGAAGTGACCCCGCAGTCTGCACCGCGTCCTCCAGTCTCCCCAGCAGGAAGACGAGGCCTCGTTGGGGCTCTGGGTGGGCAGCCTGAGCCCCGTGACACCCCTCCTGCGGCCACTGGGAAAGAAGTGTGTATCGGGGCGCAAGCACGGCCCCCCGCCGGGCACTCACCTGGATGAGGTCCAAGGCCAGGTCAGACCAGTACAGGCAGTTGCGCGCGTAGTCGAAGTCCAGGGCGACGGCGGCCCGCAGGCCAGCGAGCGGCAGCTGCTCGGTGGCGCCGGAGGCCAGGTCGTAGCGGTGGATGGACTTGCGCGTGGCAAACAGGATGAACTCGTTCTCCTCTGCACAGACCAGACAATGAGCGGTTTCCGCCTTGGGCCTGGGTCCCACACCTCAGAGCCACTGGCACTCGGGGCCCTGGGTCCCACACCTCAGAGCCACTGGCACTCGGGGCCCTGGGTCCCACACCTCAGAGCCACTGGCACTCGGGGCCCTGGGTCCCACACCTCAGAGCCACTCGAATTCTGTAATTCCTGGATCTAAGATACTTTTTCTACACGAACAACTCAGTTGGAGAAGTGTTTTATACATGTCCTGGGTCCCACACCTCAAAGCCACTAGCACTCGGGGTCCTGGGTCCCACACCTCAGAGCCACTAGCACTAGGGGTCCTGGGTCCCACATCTCAAAGCCACTAGCACTCGGGGTCCTGGGTCCCACACCTCAGAGCCACTAGCACTAGGGGTCCTGGGTCCCACATCTCAAAGCCACTGGCACTTGGGGTCCTGGGTCCCACACCTCAGAGCCACTGGCACTTGGGGTCCTGGGTCCCACACCTCAGAGCCACTGGCACTCGGGGTCCTGGGTCCCACACCTCAAAGCCACTGGCACTCAGGGTGGGTCCCACACCTCAGAGCCACTGGCACTCGGGGTCCTGGGTCCCACACCTCAGAGCCACTGGCACTCGGGGTCCTGGGTCCCACACCTCAGAGCCACTGGCACTCGGGGTCCTGGGTCCCACACCTCAGAGCCACTGGCACGCGGGGCCCTGGGTCCCACACCTCAGAGCCATGGGCATGCAGGGCCTGGGAGAGCACGGCGTTGGCAGGCGTGGCCTGGAGCACACCTCCCACTTGGGTGGTGACTTAAAACTCCCATGATCTTCCAGCAATTCCTCCTCCGCCAAGTCATCACCTGCTCCTTCTGTTTTTATTAGACCCCCAGTAGGCAGGCTCCAACATCCGCAATGCTGAGCGCAGCTCATCAGTCACACTGGACGAGGACTGGCACCGGTCAGCACGCGGCCCCGCCATCAGGGGCCATGGCCACTACAGACGTGCAGCCAGGCTCGCTGACCATTTGCTCACCTGTGACACATTGCTCACCATGGCATGAGGCAACCTCACCGCCCAACTCTTGTTTCTAAGATAACAACACATTTGTTCTTCACTACTGACCATGTTTTACGACGCAATTATCATAAACTCCACTTCTTTAACAAGCACTTATCCACAACCCACAGACTATGTATCAGGCATCGTTTAACCCACATAAGTGTCTAATGAGAGGCCTACTATTACACGATTTTACAAACCAGAAAACGGAGAGCAGCGAGGCCAAGTGATTCACCGTGGCCGTTACCGTAAGCTCCGATCCGAGCCCGAGTGGCGGTGCTGCTCCCAGCTTCCCCCTGCTGCTGCCTCTGCAGTGAGCACTCAGCGGGCCATCTTCATACAGAGAGGCCCGGAATTACCAGGTTTGCTTCACGTCCCAGCAGTAACTAAAGAGCTCGTGCCTCTGCCCTGGTTGGTGTGGCTCAGTGGCTAGAGAGCCTGCCTGCAGACTGAGGTCCTGGGTTCAGGCACATCCCCTGTGGGTGTGCAGGAGACAGCCAGGCAATGAGTCTCTTTCATCACTGATGTTTCTACTCTCTCTCCCTCTCTCTAAAATCAATAAAAATATATTTAAAAAAAAAAAAAAAAAAAGGCTAGCCTCCCTCTCCCAAGCGGGAACAGCCTGGCACACACCGGGTTCCTCCCCTGGAAGTGGGTGAGCACATGCTCAAGGCCCCGCCCACGCCCATCTGGACAAGGTGCTGCAGACGGACCCCGTGCAAACCCAAGCTCTCTGCTGCATGTCTGCACAGTACCTGTTGGCCTCCCATCCCCTCTCCCTCCCTTCCCCCCATCCCGACCCCTTCTCCCGACTCCCTCCCCCACCATTTCATTCCCTCCTCCCCACTCCATTCCCTCAATGAGCAACACGTAGTAGCCTCACAAAGGCTTCAACACAGATAACGCACCAAAAATGAATCTGCCTGCAACTCTAATAAAGGTACGTTTGCCTCTGTTCCTCAGGTCTCACTTCACTTCTCAAGTATCTAAGCTGCCACTATATGATAACCAATTTCTCCTTCCGGTTTTCAAGAAAACATTCCCAGGGAAGGGCAGTCAGGATGGAGACAGCTGAGCCCCTAAATGTCACCAGAGCCAGGGACTCCCTGAAGCTGCACAGGGAAGAACAGAGCCACTGCAGCCAGTCTCGAACCCACGCCTCCCTCAAACACCCACAAGCCTGACTCCGCTGCGCTGGCTCTCTTGCTCACTAGCCTCGGTGGAGCCAAGCCCAGGGAAGCTATGGGCGCATGCAGCCTCTCCACGGACACTTCCCTTAGGAAAGACAGGAAGGATGCGGCCAATCCCAGCACGGCACAGGGCGGCAGCCTGCTCTCTTATAGCACTCGGTCATCATAAGGGAAAACGGACTTCGTTTTTCAAGTCCTTCCAGAAGCCCAGATGACTCACCTTTGCAGAGATGTGGGGTCCCATCAGTCCCACACCCTCTTCCTCTCTCGGCACAAACCTGCCTTCAGCCCCAGACTTATCAAAACAGAAACAGCTATGAGGGGCAGGGGAGCTACAGGAGGCGGGCAATGGGTAGAAAGCCATACTGGAGGGCAACAGCGAGCTACTAGTGCATGGATTCGTGTGCAAGGTTACTAGTGTTACTTATAGTAAGTGACACAAAAATAAGATAGACCACTGGCTCCTTCCCCAAAAGCCTCTTTTCCACCAGCTCTGACAAGCAGATCAAGGAACAAGAGACCAGCCCCGCTCGCCGGCCCCGCCTGGACCACCACACGTGCTGAGTGAGCATTTTTCTAAGAACAGAGGGGGTTCCTTCCCAAGTACTGTCCACTCCTGTGAAGTCACATGGTTACATAAGTGAGTCTGGATCCGGGTGCAGGGAGCTCTGAGAAAGCCACTCTTTCTCGATGGCCCAGGACGGGCTGCGGGATCGCCACCACGGCCCAACGGTGGCTCAAGAGGCCAAGGGAAGCGCCGCCTCTCACCTGCCACGGGGCACGGGACCAGCTCCCCCTCCAGTCGCGCTTCGACATCCCCTCCGCTGCACGTGTCCCCGGAAATCTTCCGATAGCTGTCACCCCAACCCAGAGCAAGAGGAGACATGTCAGAGAACAGCCATGCAGGCTCTGTAGCCCTGGTCAGGTGCTCTGTGGATGGAGCATCGGCCTGCTGACTGAAGGGTCTGGGGAATGATTCCGGTCAGGGCGCATGCCTGGGTTGTGGGCTCGATCCTCAGGAGAGGGTGTGCAAGAGGCAGCCAATCAATGATTCTCTCTTCCCCTCTGAAATCAATACTTTTTTTTTAAAAGGCTCTGTGACTGGAACGCATTCCCAGCATGCACAGCAGGGTTCACCTGCTCTTTTCCCCATGGATCCCTCAGGCCCAGCTCTGCCGGAATCAGGTAGCAGCTCAGACCATCTGGGTGCTATCCTGCACGGCTTTTACACCGATGTCCCCACAAACTCCTCTGACGATGTGTGTGCTAAATGTATGACTTCAGATACAAGTAAAATCACAGAGGAACGTAGAGACTTGCCTTTCTCTCTCACTGCGGATGGAAGAGTTTGCAAATATCCTAACGTTAAATATTGCCCGAGCTACTTGAATCCTGCTTGCCCAGCCCTAGCTGGCTCAGTGGATAGAGCAAAGGGTCCTGCAAACCGAAGAGTCCCGGGTCCGATTCTGGTCCCGGGCACATACCTCCCCAGCCTGGTCCCTGGTCAGGCAAGTACAGGAGGCAACCAATTGATGTTTCTCTCACATGGATGTTTCTCTCTCTTTCCTGCTCTCTCACACACTCTCTAAAAATGAATGGGAAAATATCTTCAGATGAGGATTAAAAAAAAAAAGACACCTGCTCGCTAGAAGCCTGGCATTTCCAGTCGAAAGGCACCCGGGCTCCCAGACCCAGCGTAGACCCCAAGTCCCTGCCCGGCAGCCGCCGTGAGACGTACCCTCTCGTCCTCCGGTAGGTGGAGCCCGCAGGGCAGGGCACAGGAGGGGACTCGGACTGCTCAGAGAACTCGAGATCGGGCACGCAAACCTCCAGCAGCAGGTCTTCACTCATCTTGAAACCGAAGTCACTGAAAGGCAACGAGGGCTCGTCACGGCCGCGGTCTGCACTCAGGGCCGACGCTGCGACTCCCTCACGCTGCCTGCACCTGTACCACTGGCTCCTCCCGCGCCCCTCACAGACTGCACTCCGCTCTGCACCGGCACCATTCCAGAAGGCCTTTACATCAGAACCATCATCGTAAGCCACTACCACGTGCCGTAAGTAGATAAAACCAACACAAATCAATATGCTCAAGACAAAACAGTGAAATGTTAGCTCGACCCCGCATCTACCCAAAGACTGGGCCTGTCCTCTCGCTGTGGGAAGGAGAACGGATGTTCACAGACCACTAGCACCTAGTGCGGCCTTCTGGGCACAACTGGGAGACTTCAAAGAGAAATTAGGACCTGGTCAGTGTGACTCAGGGGGTAGAGCGTGGACCTGTGGACCAAAGGTAACCAGATACAATTCCGGTCGAGGGCCTGCACCTCAGTTGCAGGCTCCTTCCTGGCCAGGGCCTTGGTCAAGGCTCATGCAGGAGGCAACCCATCGATGCGTTTCTCTCACATGGATGTTTCTCTTTCCTTCTCTTCTCTCTAAATATCAATGGAAAATATCCTTGGGTAAGGATTAAAAAAGAGAGAGGATTTAATAAATGTCCTTTTAAAAACCAATGTTACTTAAGGTCATGTCCCCATGCTATCAGCATCACCACTGTCCCTCCTGCCCGCCAGGGCCCAGCAGCGCCTAGGTCTTGGAGACCTTGTGCGCCGTGAAGCCAGTCTCCTCACCGCCACTCCGGAGCACAGTGGGCAGCGGGTCTCGCTCTGCCGAGGCTCTGCCTGAGTGCGGCTTCCCCGGCTGCACTGCACACTCCCAGGTGAGGCAGTGTTGCCACACTCGGGTCCAGGCCCCGCCCAAACTGACTGCTAACTCAGCAGCACTGCCAGCTGCTCGCTCTCCCAAAAGGCTTCATTTGCTCTGTTCGGTCCAACAAATAAACAGCTACTGTGTGAGAAATAGTGACCAGGTGCAGGCAAAGCGGCTTGAGTATATCCTGTCACAATTCACACTTAGCCCTTTCTACAGAACCGCTCAGAAAACATGTATTACTGAGCCAGGCAGGTCTCACTCATTGGAGCAGACCCTCTGTTGGGGGCTGGCTGGAGCATTAGCTAATTGCTGTTTTGTCTCCAAAGGCCCAGCACCCTTGCCAGGCCGGTTTCTCCACCCTCCCGCCAGCAGGCAGTGCATGTGCAGGAGGGTTAAGACCAGTTCCCCCACTCCCTTAAGACACAGAAGACTGCAAAATGCAGCCCACCCACCAGGAGCTGGCACCTCACAAAGCTTTTTTCCGTCACGTGTGTGCATGCATCTACATGTACAGAAATGTGTGGGCACTGCGTCAGGCTAGAAATGCACGTGTGCTCAGGAGCTGCAGTTAGGATTCGAAAGCCACACTTCTTGACAATGTGGGGAAGCGCAAAGATGCACAAGAGTCTATTATACTTGGATAAAAATCTTTTTGCATTTAAAAAAGACATAAAAAAGTAATACCCTGAGCCAGGGCACTGTGGGCAGTGGTGGGGCCTCCGGGGGGTGGGGGTGGGGGAAGGTACAGGGGCAGCTGAAGGGCTCAGAAGCAACCTCTCTCTCCAATGCGGGTGCCACTCGGGAGCTGAACTAACGGCAGATTCCACCAGTCACTTGCTCTCACTTCCTCTCCTGCGGTCCATCTCAGGCCATCGCACTGACCACTGCCAAGTCCAGGGCCACACAACTGCAAGTCCGCACAGCGGGTGCAGGCGCCTTTCCTGCAGCTGCAGCAAGCGGACAGAGGGATGCACAGCAGTGGGATGGCCTGAGACCCGCACTCCCTTTATCACAGTCGCGGGCCATCACCTTCACGCTCACAATCTCACTTGGCCCGAAGCCCTACTCCATGGGCGCAGGGACGGTGGCTTTCCTGGTCTGTAATAAAGACTCAGCCCCCAGGTTTCCAGCCAGTGGGGTGGGCGTATGAACCAGGAGAGCCAGGCCAGGGCTCAGGACAGCGCCCCAATCCCTGGGACCTGGTTTCTGGTGTTGCTGCCCGGTGGCAGATCTTAGCGAAAAGGCTAACAGTGACCATCAGATGAAAAAATAATAGTGAAAAGCCAAAGATTTGTTAGATTGCCTGACATGTTTTTGTTTGGTTTGGTTTTTGTTTTAAGTTCTTCGTGGGGATAAAAGAGGAGAGAGGGCCCTTTCCCTGACTGGGCCTCTACAGTCAGGGGACCACTCCCTCAGGCCAGCAAGGCTCTCGGATTAGCTACAGGTTAATCAGAAGCCAGTGGGCACTGCCCTGACAGCACGGGGGCATCACCCAGCTTGGGGTGCTATGGAGCATCCATGCTACTACTAGGACCACCCACTGTCAAAGGGAATGTGCGTCTGAATTGCCCAAAGCCCCTGCTCTCAGAGCAGGTGCGGGAGAGGCAGTGTCGGAATCGCCCATGGCTGCATGCAGGTGCCGAGTCGGGAGTCAGACCTCACATTAGCGTGACCCTGGCGACCCATGTGCACAGTCTGTCTCAGAAGCCTGGCCCGCAGAGGTGTGCCCAGGGCAGCAGCTGTTTCAGTGAAGAGAACTTACTGGGTCCATCCACGCCTACCCACCCGGGGCCCGTTCCTGCTGCCAGGCCCAGGCGAGCAGCTGCAGAGACCACAGGCCTGCAAGGCCCAAAACATCCCCTGGAGGCCCGACCCAGCCTTGGACCAGAGGCCCCTCGGGTGACCGGCTGCAGGATGTGCACTTCCCGAAGCAAACCTGAGCTTCCTGGGGCCTGAGCAGCTGCTGGAAATGAGCCAGCTGTTTGAGTTCAGTGTCCGAGCTCTGCGGACAGGCCTGCTGAATCCGTGAGCATCTGGTGCAGATTACAGACCCGAGCACCTGCCTCAGGGCTCCGACCTCAGCTCTCTGCGGAGCCTTCAGACACCTCCTGCTCTTGGCTCACCTCCATGCACAGACACCGCCTCCCCCCAGCGACCGCCCTGCCTCCACACTGCCGTTCCCTCCTCTCAGAACGCTCCTGCCCACACATCTGGGCCTTCCTGAAGGCCATCACCCGGATGCTTTCTCCAGAAATTCTGTTCCCAGCAGCCACCCCGTCTCCTCCTCCCCAGCTGTAGTCACCATGAAGTGTCCCCCAAGGCTGGCAGCTCCATCTGTTAGGTACCTGTGTGCACATCACTGCTCCGCTTCTGCATTAACAGTCCTCATATGCTCAGCTCAAGGACTAGTGTGGGTGTGCGCATGAGTGTGTACACTAATATTCCCACGTTTCAAATAACTCCCTCTAGAGCAGGGCTCCTAGGAACAAGGAGTTGCCCCCGTCACCCCCAGAATGTGCCATTGGGGTGCCCACATAGAAACACCGAGTGCCTGCTGCGGACTGATGGCTGCGATTGCCCAGGTGGAAGCTTCGCCCACCTCACACGTCCCTGCAGCTAACGGACGCGCTCTGTGAGTGGTGACCATCTGCTTCCTGTGACTCCTTCCTTTCCTCAGGGCGAGGGGCCACAGCTCCCGCACCCACAATGAGAAGACAGCAACCAGTCCGTCCCTGGCAGCAGGCACTCACCATTCGTAGTCGGCGCGGGTGCAGGAGCAGTTGGCCACCACCACGGGCCGGTCGAAGTCTTCGCCGTTGAAGCACGTGGCGTGAGGCGTCCGGCGCTTGAAGACTGTCTTGTGACCCAGCAGGCACTGGCTGCCCCTCTCGTCGGACGGGGACCACAGCTTGTAGTCATTCTCTGTGCAGGGGACCCCTACAGGGGAGACACAGCATGAGCCGCTGCCCTGGAGGTGCCTGCCCAGCCGCCTGTCAGCCCCGCTGCTCAGGCCCCCGCCCGGGGCTGTCTCAAGCCCCTGACTGGCCTGCTGTCAGGCAGGTGGCCCCACACAAATGAAAGCGGCCCTGGAACACGGATGTTCACCAGAGGAGCGGGGAGCAGCAGCCCCACTGGCCCTGTGCGTGACAGCGCTTTCCCAGGGTTTCCCTGCGGCTCCAGTCTGCCAAGGCTCCCTATCTGAGGCTACCCGTCTGCCAAGGCCTTGAGTTCCATGAGCATCCTCAGAGCCAGTGTTCTGCACATGCCTCCATGTGACCTAATTCTCCCACCCCTGCCCCGGGGGTTCCTGCTGCCCCTTCAGTGGGGCCTGCTTCCTGGTGCCTGGCTGCCCTGGATGTGTTTCTGAGGCTGGTGGCATGCGGTGACCATGTGGGGAGGGCGCTGCAGCGGGCGTCCTTGGGCTCAGGGCGCAGCCTGCCTGGTCCCGGCTGGGGGCTCAGGAATGCTCCCCCTGTGGCTGAGTGGGCCGCCTGGGAGGGCCGAGTTCTCACTGCTGTTGACCTGACTGCGGAGGGGACCTGCTCCCATGTGGTCTCAACCCGGCACTACGTTGGTTCTGGGGCCTCTTGGAGGGACTTCAGGCAGCTCAAGGTCAGATGCTGTGTGACCAGCCGTGGGCTGCCGGGGAAGAGCCACAAATTGTTCCAGTTGGTGGCTGCCTCTGCTGGGCCGGGAGGGCCGAGTAAGGTAGACTTCCCCCAGCACCGAGCCTGGGCCGGACAGCCAAAGACTCAGGGTGCCCCAAGACCCGCCTCCCTGTAACCTCCCTCCTGCGGCAGCTGGTCAGGCTCTGCCACAGAAATGGCTCTGACGACACCCAAGTTGTGTGAGACAGGCTCCCATGAGTCTCCAGGAGGCGAGTGGTGCTCTCCAGGTTAACACGAGTTCAAACTCAGCTCTGGGTCTCTCCAAGGTCAGCACCACGCCCTGGGATCCGAGGACTGTGGTGGGTGGGATCTCAGGTTATGACAGGAAGGTGTGGCGCGTCGAGGAAGGCGGGTCATGGCGTGAAGAGAAGACTGCCCTCATCTGAAAGCCACGTCCCTCGTGCGGCTCGGGTCCTGCTGGGCTGCGGTCTCGCTGGAGCCCAGGTGCGAGTCCTACTCTCTAGGCGAGTGCGGGTGCTTCCAGAAGACACCCCCCCCTCACAGGCAGCGCAGCACAGCCCGTTATCTGGGTCCTCCTCCCGGCTCCAGGGCTCCAGCAGGGAGCCCAGCACGGGGGTGAGCGCCCCCTGCACGGGACCTCGTCACTGAGATGGCCTCCGTGTTCTCAGCTGCGGGGCGTTCCCAGCCTCCAAGCAGCTTCTTCTGTTACCCTTGGCCCCGGCACTCTGCCCGGCGGGTCTCCAGCTGGCATTCAGGTGGACCGTTCTGTGTCACTTTGGTCCTGGGAGGAGGTGTGAGGTTTCCGCCTGCCATCTTAGATCTCTGAGCACCGTGGACACTCCTCCAGTTCCAGTTCCCTTCAGAACAGGTACCCAGAGAGGTCTCCTTTCCTCCTTATTGTTGGAAGTATTACATATGTCCCCTTCCCTCCCCATTGGCCCTTCTGGTCCTACCCTCCAATCCTGGCATTCCCCACACTATTGTCTGTGTCCATGGGTTGTGCATATATGCATACATGTTCTTGGGTTGATCTCTTCCCACCCCCAGACCCGCCCAGACCCAGCCTTCCTTCTGAGGATCACTAGTGTGCTCCATGCTTCTCTGTCTCTGGATCTATTAGGTCTAGAAATAATTAATGTCGTTTTCTAATACTTTTTAAAATCAAATTTATTTAAACAATACAACAAAATTTAATCAACAATATAGTTGCCGTTGTTTTCTACTACTTGTGCCCAACACTCAGGAAGCATTTTAATCCCTCTGTTGTAAAATTCTTGTGATTTTGATGCAAAAAGTTCGGTCAATGCATTTTTGAGGCATTCTTCATTATTAAATTTTTTTCCAAGAAGAAAGTTTTGCAAAGAACGAAACAAATGGTAATCGGAAGGGGCAATATCAGGAGAATATGCAGGTTGAGGGAGAACTTCCCATTCCAACTGGCGCAGTTTTTCAGCAGTGATTCTTGCAGTATGCGGTCGTGCGTTATCGTGGTGAAGAATTACGCCCTTCCGATTAATCAGCGCGGGTTCTTTTTCTCTTGAAGCTTGGGCTAACCTTTCCAATTGGGCACTATACACTGCACTTGTAATGGTTTGGTTAGATGATAAAAGTTCATAATGAAGAATTCCTTTAAAATTCCACCAAACACACAACATCACTTTTTTCGCATGCAAGTCAGGTTTTGGCGTGGGCTGCGGAGCCTCATTTTTGTCCAACCATTGAGGCCGCCTTTTCAAATTAACATACAGCACCCATTTTTCATCTCCGGTAACAATTTGCTCTAAAAACGGCAAACGGTTTTGACGAGAGAGGAGCGAACTGCAAATTGTGACTCTTTGATTACGGTTGTTGTCGGTCAACTCATGAGGAACCCATTTTCCAAACTTTTGGACTTTGCCAAGTGCACGCAATTGATTGGAAATTGTTTTTTGTGAACAATTTAAAATTGTCGCAAGCTCTTGTTGGGTAATTTGAGGATTTTGCACCAAAAGAGCTTGAAGAGCTTCTTGATCAAAATTGGACACACAGCCTCGACCACTCTTGTCATCTAACGAAAAATTTCCCTCACGAAATTTCTCAGACCAATGCTGGCATTTTCTGGCGCTAACTGCATCTTGACCAAGAGCACTACAGATGTTTTTTGCAGCCTCACTTGCTTTTCTTCCTAATTGGAACTCGTAAAGCATGCAGTGCCGAATATGCTCTTCATCCGCCATCTTCTTAGCCCTAGTTTTGCAACAAAAACCAAACCAAACACAAACTTTTTCAAGCAAAACTTGTTAATTGCACTTCACACGTTCTGTAGATACCACGTGTTTGAAGGTTATGTCAATACAAGTCAACGCCAAGCAAGATTTTAAACGAATGTTTAAAACGACATTAATTATTACTAGACGCGATATTTTTGTTCATCAATTTATTTGGTTCATTAGATTTCACATATGAGCGAGATCATGTGATACTTTGTCTGATTGGCTTATTTTGCTTAGCATAATACCCTCCAGGTCCATCCATGCTGCTGCAAATGGTAAAAGTTCCTTTTTTATTATTGCATAGTATTCCATTGTGTAGACGTATCAGTTTTTTACCCACTCAGCTGCTGATGGGCACTCGGCTGTTTCCAGATCTCAACTATAGTGAATTGTGCTGCTATGAATATAAGGGTGCATATGTCCTTTCTGATTTCTTAGGATATTATCCTAGAAGTAGGATCACTGGGAAGTTCCATTTTTAATTCTGGAGGAAACTCCATACTGTTTTCCACAATGGCGGCACCAGTCTGCATTCCCACCAGCAGTGTATAAAGGGTTCCTTTTTCTCCGCACCTCGCCAGCATTTGTCATTGGTTGATTTGTTGATGGTAGCCATTCTGTCAGGTATGAGATGATACCTCATTGTCGTTTTGATTTGAATCTCTCTGATCATCAGTGACTTTGAGCATTTTTTCATGTCTCTGGGCCATCTGAGAATAGGTGTTACTTCTTCTGGAATGTTCAGTAAAACTCCCTGTGAAGCCATCCAGAGCAGGGCTTTTGTTTGCTGGGAGTTCTGTGATTATGGCTTCAATTTCATTAGTAGTTATCAGCCTATTCAGGTTGTCAGATTCTTCCTGATTGAGTTTTGAAAGGTTGAATTTTTCTAGGAATATGTCCATTTTGTCCAGGTTGTTCCATTTATTGGAATAAAGCCGTTCATAATATTTTTACTCCCCTCCGTATTTCTTGGGGTCAGCTGTCACTTCACCTCTTTCGTTTCTAACTTTGGTCCTGTCTCTCTGGGTTCTGGTGAGTCAGCTACCGGAGGGTCTATCTCCTAAGGAGCTGGGAAAAGGCTGAGTCCATGCAGATGGATCTTCAGAAGCACAGACCCTGCCTGCATCCGGGCTGGTGTGGGCACATGAGGCAGCATGGCTGGAGAGCAATGCAGATCATTCTCTCACTGCTTGGCAGGTACAGGGTCTCCGGGGAGGAGGCTGAGAAAGATAAGCCAACCTGGACGATCACTTACTCTGCCTGCATTCACTCAAAATGTAGGCAAAGTGGGTTCCACAGGAATTCCAGAGCCAATCTATGTCAATATTGGTACTTCATGTCGTTCTTATTTATATATGTGTGACCTCAGATTTGATGCTGCCTGAAAACGGACTGTCCACTCAATTCCATTTAAACCAGCAAGTACGTGTTAAGCTCTTCCTGCCTGGAGGCGGTCAAACTGTGCAGCTCATGAAGACTAAAGATGCAGAGGACAGGCCCTTATTCTAAGGACCTTATGATGTAGCTGATGGGAAATGACAGACACGGAGGGGAGACACAGATTTATAACTCAAGGCAAATTGCACGCAATGCTCCGACACAAACGGGGGCGGAGAGGAGGGGGAGGAGAGAATGCTTCCAGTTATTGGCAGCCAAGCCCATTGGATCCTGAAACATGGAAGGCTTTCACCTGGTGGAGGCTGAATGGGAGGCCTGGGGGCATTCCCCGCAGCTGAGACCACATCAACCAAGCAGAGGAGGAGATGGAAGGAACAAGTCACTTCTCCCTGCCTAGACTAGCAGATCGATGAGGCCTACCACCGTGGGCACTCCTTTCGCACAGCAGTTATATGTAAATTTGTCAAACTGCTCATTGTTTTCCATTCATTAATTCATTCATTAAATCATTCATTCATTCATATTTAGTCCAGGTATACCTGAAGCCACTATGTGCTAATGACCATAACAAAATGAGGAATCGAAGAATAGCACATGGTCCCACATAAAGAACTGCCCGAGCCTTAGTGGGTTTGGCTCAGTGGATAGTGTCAGCCTGAGGATCAAAGGGTCCTGGGTTTCCTTCTGGTCAAGGGCAAGTACCTCAGTTGTAGGCTCATCCCCGGCCCAGGCCTGGTCAAGGCACGTGCAAGAGGCAACCAACTGATGTGTTTCTCTCACCTCGATGTTTCCCTCTTTTTTTCCCTCTTTCTTCCACTCTCCCTAAGAATCAATGGAAAAATATCGAGTGAGGATTCAAATAATAACTGCCCAAGAAAACAGCTGTATATTTCTCACTCACACATTGTGTACGTGCCCATCTCACTCAAATGGCCACACGTCCTCCAGAGGAGCGCGCAGCGGGCGCTGTGGTCAGTAAACACGCCCACAGCGGGCACAGAGGCTCACCCAGGGCGTCAGTGGCGTTGACCTGCAGGATCAGCCAGCTGTGCGCCTTCTCTGTGTCGGAACCAAAGATGGTGAAGACGGTGCTCTTCTCGCCGGGTTCCGTGAGGAGCCCGTACACGAACACGGGCTTCCTGGAGAAGATGAACGTCTGCCAGGTCTCCCCCTCGTTGGTGCTGTATCTGCTCAAAGGCAATGAGAGGAGCCTTGCAGTTAGTGTCTCAGGGGAGGGGCCTGGCTCTCAGGTAATACTCACCAGTGCCAGGAGCCAGCCCTCCTGGAGAAGCAGCGGGTCCCAGGCTGTGCCAGAGAGCAAGGACACACTCAGCAACAATGCATTCAGCACAGAGGGCACAGGAGCCCGCTCAAAGGGGCCCCATTGGCTGAATTTAGGAAAATCTATATATAAAAGGCTGAACGACCAGCTGACCAGCTGACCTGCTGGTTGGTATGATGCGCACTGACCACCAGGGGGCAGATGCTCAATGCAGGAGCTGCTGAGCTGCAGTGACTTGGCAGCAGCGGCTCTCAGGTGAACGCCCGGAACAGAGAGGAGGGAGCCCTATTCCTCGAGGGGCCGCGATTCCATCCTCAGCCCTGGGTTATGTGGTTGCATCCTGACCTCGAATCTGGTGTACTGCACTCGTGAGCTTTCCGCACCCTGTATGACAGCAACTTTGCAGGGTGCCCTCTAGCACTCCAGGACCCTTCAGCGAGGTCAGAGAACCGGTTTTGGCTCGATCCCCGAAGGCCAGGCTGAGGGACCCTACCTGCCAAAGGGACCCTGCTCACGCCACAGACGCCCTTCGAGCTATAGCGCCACCCTTGGTGCGGCCGGAGAGGGACCACAGGAGGTTACTCCAGGATGTGTGTGGCCTGTCTAACCCAGTCCCGCCTCACCGGCCACCTTCTAATTAATTTCCTTTCAATATGCACAAATCCATGCAGCGGGGCACTAGTGTGAACATAAAGAAGAAAAATGGTGATGACAGAAAATGTACTGACTGAAGACAGAGCCCAGGAACCTAAATGGCACAAGCACTGAGAGAGAAGAGAGGAGGAAATTCGTTTCTTATATTCAATTCCACCGAATAGCGTTGAAAATTGAAAACAATGACAGAATGAGAAACTGGCCATTCTGAAACTCAAAGTGTAATCACTGCTTCAGACAAGATCATCATTAGATGCTCAAATGACTGGGTGAAATGAGCTGGGGACTGAATGTTGACATGGTGTAAAGATGTTAACTCACGGATGAATCGTTCATTACAAATGGGAATATAATTCTGAAACCATTGTAATGGGCAGAGTATTAACAGCAGGAAAGAAGGGAAGGCCAGAACCTATAGGCACATCATTTGGGCAGCTTCACCAGGAAGCTGCTAGTTCACACTCCCCAGGAAACTACTGTCCACTTCCTGCAGGCCACTGGGGGAAGGGGCTCCACAAAGTGAAGTTGGAGTGATGTAGGGAAGGTGCCAATCAGTTAAACCTAGGAGCAGAAATCACTGGCTTCATAAGGCAAAGCCAAGGCAAGCCTGTGGACATTTTGGAACACACAGAGTCCCCTAGAAAAAGGTGCTTGCTCTCTTGGCCCATCTGATCCAGCAGACCACACGTACAACGGACAGGTGGACTGCAGTGGGGAACACAAGATGCTGTCTTTTCCCTCTTCTGTGTAGACTTGGAATGTTCCGGAACCTCTGGTCAACAACTTTACTCCTGGCTCTGCTGAAGCCACAGCTACACTTCCTCTATGGCAGGAAAAAGGGAAATGGAATGTTGGAAATCCAGGGATTTAACTCCATGCAAATAAGCACCACTCATTCTCCCATCAAGTCTCAGAAACTTTTTTCTCAGGGCATCCCAAGAAGCCCACTTACCAGCAACCAGTGAGGACAAGGAGAGCTCCCCACGAATAAAAACTTCACAGTGGATCTTGTAAGATTCACAACCTTCAACAAACCTGGCATCACTAATAGCAGGACAACCTGACACCGTGTGTTGCTAGGACTAAGGACAACCTCAACTATGTGCTATTCTATGCAATAAACCCAGAACTTGGGACACTCGCATGACAACTGGTCTGGAGTCTTAAAAAAAAAAAAAAAAAATCAAGGTCATGAAAAACAGGAAAGGAAGAAGGTTAAGAGGCTAAAAGCCAAATGCAAGGAGTAACTCCTGACTGAGTCCTGGCCTGGAAAAAGAAAGTAGCTATAATGTGGAACCATGGTCTACAAATAATACCAAGGTCATGTGAACTTCCTCATATGTGATAATGGCATGCTGACTATATGGAAAAATACCTTTATGTATTGGAGAAGTACGGTTGGATGGACAGACAGACAGCTAGATAAATAGATGGGTGATAAGTGCAAGTTAAGAAAATTTGCAATTGGTGATCCTAGGTGAAGTTACGTGATGATCTTTATGGAATTCTGTCACCTTTTCCTGAGGTCCTGAAGACTGAAAGTTGGAGGGAAAGTATATGTGGAGGAAAGTCTCCAAGGCAGGCTACATTAGGATGAAAAAGTGAGAGCCCCTGAGAAACTGAGCAGCATCCAAGTAATTATAATCATTTTACTTATTTTTACTTTTTAAAATATATTTTTACTGATTTCAGAGAGGAAGGGAGAGGGAGCAAGAGAAACACCAATGAAGAGAGAATCACTGATTGACTGCCTCCTGCACACCCCACAATGGGGATCTAGCCTACAACCTGGGCATGTGCCCTTGGTTGGAATCGAACCATGATCTCCTGCTTCACAGGTCAATGCTCAACTACTGAGCCCGCTGGCCAGGCTGTAATAGTTTTAAATTATCACTTATACGAGAGGTCTGGTGCACGGAATGCGTGCATGGGTGCAGTCCCTAGGCCTGGCCAGCAATTTTAGTGCAAGCGTCTGGGGTGGAAGGGCAGGTGCCAGTTGACTTCTGGGCCCTGGACAGCACCTGGGCCTCCAGAATCCTGCATGTCCCCCTCCATCTGAGTCATCGGGCCCCATCTGTGGGGTAACCGGGCTTCCGCCTGACTGCCTCAGGGCCTGGGATCTGGGCAGTGGCCCTACCCCCACTGCCTCTGCTGGTCACCATCTGCAGGGTGATTGGGCCCCTCTTGTATCCACCTTGGCCTGGTGCTGCCCACTCACCTGCTTCACCACCCCGCCACAGTCCCACTCTCACTGGGGCACCTCCACAGTCACCCGCTGGTAGCGCAGCATTGCAGATACCTGCCATGTTCCATGCCACCCCCTGGTGGTCAGTGTATGTCACAGCGAGCAGTCAAGGGAACAATTTGCATATGAGACTTTTGTTACATAGGAGGACTGAAAGGGAGGAGAAAATGTGCTTATTTGCTTCATCACCCAGGAAGCTGGTGAGATGTTCAATGTGAGAAACGACTCGATTAGATCTTTCATTAGAATCACAAAGATACTGCAGTTCCTCTTAGGTCCCAATTATATACAAAACTTTTCCTTTTACTTTTCACCTGTTTAAGATTGCAGAATTACTCACTCAGGATTTTTTCTTTTTTTTTTTTTAACATATATATATATATATATATATATATATATATATATATATGTTAAAAAAAAGAATATATATATATTAAATATATTTTACTGATTTTTTACAGAGAGGAAGAGAGAGGGATAGAGAATTAGAAACGTCGATGAGAGAGAGTCATCGATCAGCTGCCTCTTGCACACCCCCTACTGGGGATGTGGCCGCAACCAAGGTACATGCCCTTGGCCAGAATCGAACCTGGGACCCTTCAGTCCAGACTGACACTCTACCGCTGAGTCAAACAGGTTTTGGCTCACTCAGGATCTTAATCCTTGACATAAATCTCTTCATGGCATCATCCCTTCCCCTCATACTGAGATTTCCAGAACTGGTACTTCTGCAAGGCTACGCCTAAAGCACTCAGCAGTTTGCAGGGCAACACGAGAATGACCTCCTCTTTGCAGATAGTCTAAAGAGGAGAACTCCTCGTCTGGCGTATATGCTTTTGGTTTGAGGTAACTCTGAAGCGGACGTGGGAGTAAGTCCACTCCTCAGACTCCTGCACCATGTGAGTGCTCAGGCATCACATCTAAGAAAACTCACACCACTCGGTGTTACTTAGGGACTATCATTTTTCCTTGGTTCCAGATTATTGTAGCTACTTCCTTTTTCCGGTTCAGGATTCAGTCAAGGATTACTCAGTGCACTGGGCTGTTACACCTCTTCAGCCTCTTAACCTAGAGCAAGCCTGAGTACTCTTTTAGCACATCCATCGATTTTAGAGACAAGAAAGGAAGGGCGAGGAAGAGAGGTCGCTTCCAAACATTGGTGTGAGAGAGAAATATCCATCAGCTGCCTCCCATCAGCTGCTTCCTGTACACACCCTGACCAGAGACCAAACCCACAATTTGGGTATGTGCCCTCACCAGGAATCGAACCCGTCGCCACTACTGAAGCAGGGTAATAACCGGCAACATTAGTTTTTAGGAGAATCTTTGTGAACCACACAGTTAAATGCATTCACGGCCAGGGAAACAAACAAATCCCTTGTGCTGATAAATGGTCTGATCTTAACCCAAAATAAGACATCTAGTTCCCACAAGCTGGGCCTATTTGTCAGAGCTGAGTAAAAACAAGAAGGAAGCAGAGCTATCAGATCTGCAAAGAGAACTGGCTAGTTACACAGATAATACAAGGAATGCCAACCGCAGTGCAAAGGGTGAGAACACTGCTCCTTTCTGGCTCAGCGGGAGAACCCACATGAGGGTGAGGAGGAGGGGTGCAGCGCCTCCCTGCAGCTCTCCCAGGAAGCGTAACCATGTCAACCATTAACCTCTGCCTGCTGCACCCGGAAGCTGCAGAGCTGCCTCTGGAACTCAGGTCCACACTGTGTTCCTGGCGGCCTCCCCAGTGCCCTCGCTGGGCTGCCCGAGGGAACCTTTCCAAACAGAAGCCACCTGGAGGAGCCTGGCATTTGTGCGAGTACAAAGGGTTCTCAGTGGCAACCAACAGCGCATCCCCCTGCCAGACGCCTGGCAGAGCACGGACACCCATGCCGTCCTTCACGACCAAGTGAGCACCTGCCTGGGTCCTTGGGGTCAGTGTGAGACAGTCCTCTTGGGCAGGAAGCCTGCCCCGAGCAGGTCCTGGCAGCGTGCTGCGGGGGGAGGAGCGAATCCCCCAGTGGGCTCTGATTTACCATTTCAGACATGTCCACACAGCAAAACCAAGTGCCCGCTTTTTGTCTCAATCTCAGTTCACACTGACAAAGGTCACAGCCTCAGGGAGAACCGGGGCAGAAGCTGAAACAAGTAAGAGTCACTCTTAGTTATCTGTGTTCACCAGGAAGAGATGGTTTAAAAGAACGACGCAACAATCACTTTGGGAGGTGTCCTCACTAGACCTCAGTAGAGTTTCTGATGTTCCTCTGCTTCCTCCCTAAGGTCAGAAAGCTTCCTTTCAAAACAGGGCCTTTCTGCCCGGCTGGCATGGCTCAGTGGGTGAGCATCGACCTATGAACCAGGTCATGGATGATTCCCAGTCAGGGCACATCCACAGGTTGTGGGTTCAATCCCCAGTAGGGGGCATACAGGAGGCAGCCAATCAATCATTTTCTCTCATCTTTGATGTTTTTATCTCTCCCTCCCTTTCTGAAATCAATAAAAACATACTAGAGCTGAAACTGGTTTGGCTCGGTGGTAGGGCGTCGGTCTATGGACTGAAAGGTCCCAGGTTCGATTCCAGTCAGGGGCATGTACGTCGGTTGTGGGCACATCCCAGGTAGGGGGTGTGCAAGAGGCAGCTGGTCGATGTTTCTCTCTCATCGACGTTTCTAGCTATCTCTCTCCCTTCCTCTCTGAAAAAAAATCAATAAAAAAAAAACATTACAAACAAAACAAAACAAAACCTTAAAAAAAAAAAAACAAAACCACTCACTAGAGGCCCGGGGCATGAAATTTGTGAAGGGGGGTAGGGGGAGGTTTGTCCCTCAGCCCAGCCTGCACCCTCTCCAATCTAGGATCCCTCTCACAATCCAGGACTGCTGGCTCCCAACTGCTTGCCTGCCTGCCTTCCTGATTGCTCTAACCACTTCTGCCTGCCAGCCTGATCACCCCCTAACCACTCCCTGCCAGCCTGATTTATGTCTAATTGCTCCCCTGCCATCCCTTTTGCCCCCAACTACCCTCCTCTGCTGGCCTGGTCACCCCTAACTGTCCTCCCCTACAGGATTGATTGCCTTCAACTGCCCTCCCTTGCAAGCCTAGTCCCTCTCAACTGCTCTCCCTTGCAGGCCTGGTGCCTCCCAACTGCTCTCCCCTATTTGCCTGATCACCCACAACTGCCCTCCCTTGCAGGCCTGGTCTCTCCAACCTGTGGTGGCCATTTTGTGTCCACATAGGGGCAGGATCTTTGACCACATGGGCGCAGCCATCTTGTGTGTTGGAATGATGGCCAATCTGCATATTACTCTTTTATTAGATAGAAAGAGGCCTGGTGCACGGGTGGGGGCCAGCTGGTTTGCCCTGAAGGGCGTCCCGGATCAGGGTGGGGGTTCCCTTGGGGCATGGGATGGCCTGAACGAAGGGCCTGTGGTGGTTTGCAGGCCGGCCACACCCCTAAAACCCAAGCAGAGGCCCAGGTATCTGGGATATGTTTACTTTCTACAACTGAAACTTTGTAGCCTGGAGAGGAGCCAAGCCTCCTGCTTGGCTTGATCGGTGGCCACAGCCGTTTCTATTTGGACTTGTTTACCTTCTATAATTGAAATTTTGTAGTCTGGAGTGGAGGCTTAGGTCTGCTAGGGCAGACTGAAAGCTTGGCTTCTTCCGTTTGCAGAGAAACCCAAACTTCTGTGGCCGCCGCCATCTTGGTTGGGGTTAATTTGCATAGTCTCTCTGAGTGGCTGGTGGACGTGGCTTGTGGAGCAGAGTGATGGTTAATTTGCATATTACTCTTTTATTAGGTAGTATTTTGAAAAACAAAAACACATTCCCTTCATCTAGCCTCTTTCTCCATCCAGCTGGCTCAAAACACAAGTGTCACAATGGACACAGGAAGTTCCCAAATGATGCCTCCCTCACCTTTCTATCCTTGGCACCTAGAACACCTGGCTCATTACAGATGTTCAACAAACGCTGGTAACTGTCCTGAGATTCTGCCTCACAGAATAAGCCCCTGTTCCAGCTTGGGTCCTGACCACTGACCGTCACAGTCATGGTATTCTTTGTGTGAATGAATAAGAAATTGAGCATGTAATTAAAAGGCATTGATAAAAGGAGTCAGTTGGTGGTCAGCGGCAAATTAATGAGACAACCGATAAATGCTGAGAAACTCAGGAGTGAGCACGGTTGTGGAGGAGGCCCAGCTCAAGAGTCCTGGAGCCTCAGTCGCCCTGGCATGCAGGGGCCAGCATCCTTCACGCATGCCTGGGATGGCGACATGGTGTGAGGATGTGAACTGACCGCAGTGTTACTTCCTGCCTCTCAGCTGAGGAAGCTGCCAGCACACAGCACCAGGGCAAAAGCAGAGCCGTGGGAAAAGCCAAAGAACTGTGAGCAACAGAACAAGTCAGTGCAGGTGGCCACACAGTCAGGCCAAGCTCAGACTGATATTTGGGACCCGTGCACCTGTCCATAGAGGCATCATATTTGCAAACACCTAAATCATACACAAGGATATATCCCATGGCTACCGTGTCCGTGATCCCCACAGTCCACAGTGAGCCACTTCTAAGTGTCCGGGAGGCAGTGGCGCCTGCACAGGTTTTCCTGGTCACATCTAGGCAACTGGTGCTGCCAGAACCCTGCTCCCCGGCAGGTTGGGACAGGAGTCTCACGACAACTTGGGGAAGCCAGCTTGGAGTGCAAACAGAACCTGTGGAAGCTACACTCAGAACACCTGGCACTGACCAGTCTGCCAGCCACGGGAAGGATAAATGTGTTCCTAGGAAGCCAGACTATACTCCTACTCTTGTTTCTCTCATTCGTTGCCCAACACCACACACAGTAGGAGCTCCTTCAGACACAGGAAACAGCCTACTCATCATTGGACACACTGCCTCCCAGGATCCGTGCTTGCTGAGTGGGTGGGAGGGAAGGTAACGGTAGACACACGGCAGCTACATGTGGGGATAAGTGTGCTTTGTGGCTGCCTCATCTGAGTAAGTGCCATCTGAATGCAGATACCAAGTGCCTCTCTGTGGGCAGTGCCCACAGCCCAGGACCGTATGGGCCATGCCCGGAACTGGGACCCGGCTTCCCTCTGCCCCAAGGCTGGGCTGCTCAGCCTACACCAAATTCACCGCAGGGGAACCATCTGCTAAGATCCCTCTTGCAAGCCATCTGCCATCTCAGTGCCGGCCCTGCTTCTAGCAGGCTCTCCTGCCTTCACTGAGCATGACGGGACCCACGCCCCTCCCCCTCTTGCAGGACTCCAGCAGGGGTGCTCCACAGAGCAGGGCAGTGAGAGCCAGTTCCCCCAACCTAACGCAGACAGAATGTACTTCCGTCCCGAGGACAACAGCAATCAAAGGGCTGGTCTTGATAAAATCAGACTTCAGGGGACAGAAGTTTCAAACTCCCAACATTTTTGCTTTTAGGAACAACACATTGAAGAGTGTAGAACGTAATTTAAAGACCCGAGTGCCAGTCTCTCTGTCGCTAATGAACAAGAGACGCTGGGCAAGTCATTTTATGTTGCTGAGCCTCGTTTCCTGTGTGTAAAATAACCCCAACTGTCCCCTCTAAAACCAAATGTATGACTTCGAAAGTTAACTGTCCATCAATGTGCATGAACCCTAAATCACTGCTCATGGATTGTGATTACTTATTGTAGTACTGTAGGAGTAACTGTCTATCTGTGTGTCCACATGGGGCAACAGAAAGCAGTGTGAAGAGGCGGCAGTTCACTGAAATCCTGAGTGACTGACACGTAAATGGAGCTGCACCTTTTCAAATCACTATTACTCCTCATGGGGCCCGGAGCTGGGACAGGCAGGTCATTACTCCCATTGTGTGAAAGCACAGCTCAGTGGTTTCTTCACATCACAGCTGTGCTGTCACACCCAGTGCGGCCAAGAGGCCAGTTACCACCAGACTCAGATGCTCTGGGAGAACAGTGCGGGGTTAAGAGAAGCTTCCTCATCACTTACTTCAGCTCGTTGGTTTCCATGCCCTGGGCGATGGCCACGATGATGCCGCCGTGGTCGCCCCAAGTGTAGTAGTGAGGGCCGGGCAGCGCCTGGGAGGAGGACAGCACTGACATCACTGTGGGGAATGACAAGCAGAATGCACACAGCGTGTGCGCGCGCACATACACACACACACACACGCCACATGCACACATGTACACAGCACACATGCACACAAATGCGTGCATGTGTGCACACAGAGGCAAACGAGCACACACACGGAGGCTCACAAGTGCACATGCATGTGAGCACACGTGCATGTGCGCGCACACGCGCACACACACACAGGCAATGTCCGGGTCTCCAACCTATCAGCTAGAGGTAAGGTGTGTGGCTGTTCTCTGTACTGTGAAAAGCCAAGCAATGGGGGGCTGTATGACAATCTATATACTAGAGGCCCAGTGCAAAAAATTCATACACAGAGGTGGGGGTCCCTCAGCCCTGCTTGCACCCTCTCGCAGTCCAGGACCCCTTGCACCAGGACCCCTTGCACCTGCTCGGTGCTCCTTAGCGCTGTCGTGGATACAGGAGAGGCTCCCACCACTGCCACTGTGCTCACCAGCCGTGAGTCCGGCTTCTGACTAAGCAGTGCTCCCCTTGTGGGAGCGCAGTGAGCACTAGGAGGCAGTTCCTGTGTTGAGCAGTACTCATCACAGAAACCAACTGCTTCGCCATTTAGCTGATTTGCGTGTTGGGCTGTTATTACATAGGATTGCATGTGTAAGCATGAATGTGCACACGGCATTCCCAATAAGCAGTGCCATGAGCATGGGACCCATGTGTGAGCTCTTCTGAGAGCTCCACATCCCTCCGGACAGCACGCTCAGCCTGCAGGCGGCGCTCTGACCGAGGCTTTGACTGCGTTCTGGGGGCTCCCCTCCCTCCCTGTCCCATGTGCAGCAGGGCGCCTTGGAAAGCAACCCCACGGAGTGAGAGCAGCGGCACTCCCCTGCCCCGGGAGTCAGGCAGCTGGGGAAGAACTTGTTTTTTACAAGTCTGGGAAGTCCCTGATGCCCAAGGACTGGAGAACTAGCTGTACCTCAGAAGTGGAATAACCGGCACCTAAGGGCACAGATTATTGGCACAGCCTAAGGCAGAGCCGGCTTCTTCACAGAATGCGGAGCAAGCACCTGCAGGGCAGCTCAGGGACGAGGCTTGATTTCAACGCCAATGATACACCAAAGCAGTAAATCAGGAGGCGTGGGCCTGACACCACTACGACTGTATGATCGTTTCCTAACTGAACACCCACACCCTGCCAGACACTGCGAGGCTCCGGACAAAACACTGAGCCGCCCTGGCTGGTGTTGCTTAGTGGACAGAGCGTCAACCTGTTGACTGAAGAGTGCCGGGTTCAATTCCGATCAAGGGCACATGCCTTGGGTGCGGGCTCAGTCCCCCTTGTGGGGGCATGCAGGAGGCAGCCAATCATTGATTCTCTCCATCACTGATGTTTCTATCTCTCTCTCCCCCTCTCCCTTCTTCTCTGAAATCAATAAAAATATATTTTTTTAAAGCGAGCAAAACGGACATTGCCTTGTGCTCAGGAAACTTATAACCTTAGAACATTTGTTTAAGTCTATTTTGTTTTGTTGTTTAATATAGTTTTATTGACCTCAGAGAGGGAGAGACAGAGAAACATCAATGATGAGAATCATTGATTGGCTGGCTCTTGCACACCCCCTAACGGGGATCGAGCCCGCAATTCGGGCATGTGACCTTGACTGGAATTGAACCTGGGACTCTTCAGTCCGCAGGCTGACGCTCTGCCCACTGAGCAACACCAGCTAGGCCTGTCTGTTGTGTTTCAAAGTAGCATTTTTGCAGAATCACAAGCACTCTACAAGGGGTGGTACAGATCAGGCAGCTGCCTCTCGTAACGGTGCCCAGTGTTTCTGTTTGTCATCACAGGTGGGATGGGTGCCTGCAACCATAAGCATCGCCTCCCTGACATGCTGCTCAGTGCACATGCTCACACAAGACCCGAGGTGGCCTGACCTCGCGCCACCGAGCGCCCGCGCTGCTGGAGATGTACACGCTCATCTTGCTGGCCAGGTTCTTTCCCACTGAACCTAAAACACAGGAGGAACATGACGTGTTATTTTAGGATATATCGGTAATCAGCACCTTGTCCAGCTAGAAGCTCTGAGAGATCCAGCAGCTAAGAATGTCTTAAACCCACAGAACAGCAGTTACTGCAGCAGATGTCGGCCACCAGGCAGGGGGCTGCACGTGAGAAACAGCTTACCTGGTAAGAACAGGCAGAGCACACTTACCAGTGGCAATAATGAGACCGGGAGCCGACTCCTTGGACAAGATGGGCATCCTCCGCAGCTGGAGGCTGAGCAGCTGGCTGAGCCGCTGGGCCAGGTGCAGGGAGCAGCCCTGAGACAGCTACAAACACAAGTTCCAGGCTGTCAGCAAGGGGTGCGAAGCCTACGTCCCCCGAGACCCCGGAGCCTGGGAATGGGCACTGCAGCCCGAGGAAGAGGAAGGGGCCTGGCCCAAGGACGCCAGTCCAGCCGCTGCCCACACTGCACCAACGGCAGGACCTGCTGAGCCAACAGGTGCCTCTCAGCGGAGAAAAGTGCTAAAAAGTTCGCTGGGACTCAGCAAAACAGCAACCAGAAATCAGCATCAACTCAAGGAGATGGAGAGCCACCAATCTCTCCACGCCCCGGGGATTTCCCCGAGTCCCAGGTACACGGCATGAGAAGTGGCACCAAAGTAGCCACAATAGATGTTTCAAGCAGGAGTGCCACATCTGTACAAAGCACAACGCCTACATCTCACCGGAGTCTTCGAGTTCTTCAGACTGACAGGCAGCGCTTGGGCTGCAGGCTGAAGCTCTGCAGACAAGGCCCTCGCCACAGGGCATGCCTGAGGCTCTCGGCCAGAACAGTTATCAGGTGTGTTCCGGACAGGATCACTCTGAGGGTGCTTACAGATGGTCAGCAGTGTGACCTGGTTTGTGGGATATACCAATGTTTTATAATAACAGGGTCACTAATAAATACCCATCTGGCTAGCATCACAGGCAAGTGAAAACTATAGCAAATAGAGTTGGGTCCCAAAGAAATATCTGCCCACTTACACCTTCCTCCTTTTCTTTCACCATCTAAAATCAGGAGGGAAACTAAAGCTGAGTAAGTCATACAGCTCATCCGTAAAGTGACCAGTCCCTGTCACAGGAAGCTGGCTCTTCACAATGCCACTGATGCTCTACCACCAGGCTTAGGCCGCCACATGCTGAGACACCCTGCCCCGTTCACGTCTGACTCATGCCCAGCTCAGAGGTCTTGAAGAAATTGCTGAGAAAATGAGGTCTGCATGTGCTGTTATCCTGACCTCATTTTTAACTGCAAAGTTAGATGTGATGTGTTCAGTCAAGAGTTGGTGCACATCAGAAAGTAAATCAGGAAGTACATTTTTGAGCAAAATGTCCCAAGAAGTTTTCCCCAGGACCACAGATACAGTATATATTTAACCACAAACAAAATTCAGCAATCCAAAAGACCAAGTAACAGTCTCACTAAAATGTTATTTCTCAAAAAATCAGTGCTACTTGTTTTTATCTGAGGCGCTGTCACCCTGGGTCCCGCATGTGAGATGAACAGAGATGCGGTGATTGGACATAGCCAGGGGCCATACCTGTTCCTTTGCGGGGGGGGGGGGGGGGGGGGGGGGGGGCAGTTGTTGGGATACGGGACTATTTAATGGGACCAAATAATGCATTTCAGTACCCTTAACTTTTCTGATGAAGCCACAGACAGATAAAATCATACAATCCTAAATTATATGCAGAGAGGGGTTTTAAAAGAAATTCTATAGAAATAACTTCCGCTGGGCGAGGTTGACAGATGTTCCTGCTGCAAAGCACCATGGTCACGTCTGACAGCACGTGTCAGCCAGAAGAAACACCATAGCACACGCCCTAAGGGCTCAGAGCAGATCGAGGAGCAGCGCTCCATAAAACAGTAAAAGCAAACATGAGACTTTCACTCCTTCCTAAAGGCTACAGGCACGTCAGAGTGGGATGTGTGAGCCTACTGGCTCTCACACTCTGGAGTCACAGGCCCTCCACTCATCTCCTCGCCTCCCTTCCATCACCTCCACTGCTGAGAACTCAGTTTCAGAGCTATGACGTCATCCGAAGAAATGCAGTGTGAGCGAATGCTGAGACGGCAGCTCACGGGGCCAGCAGCTCGCTGTCCAGGACCAGAGCCTCCTCAAGCTCACCTGTCCGTGGTGCCCTGTGTCCGTGATGGCACCTCAGTGAGCCTCGTACTTTAGGACTTTGGGAACTGTATGCGTAGAACGACAGATAACGCTTCAGAGTGAAAAGCCAACTAAGATGAAGGCATCATACCTCACAGTCGATCTTTTCTCCATATCCCGTGACAGCGGGAGGCTGGAGAAACTCCCAGGTGCCCCCTTTGTCAAAGGTGATGACTGATCTCATGTTCTCCTCCTTCATGGAACCGCTCACCAGGGTGGCGATGTAGACGCCCTGCAGCCCTTCCACGCGGTGGAAGTCAGCAAACGGCTCACTCGCAAAATACCTGCAGAGAATACCAAAAGCAGCAGCGTGACATGCTGCTCCTCAGGATGCTTCTGCTTAAATAACATGAGTTTAACCATCCAATCTGTCAGCAAACCTATTAGCAAATGGTCAGAATGTGACCAACCGTTCCTATTATAAGCACTGCCCTGGCATGGACCACCCATAGCAGCCTCCCCGGCCTCCTCCACTGGCCTGGCCCACCCACAGCTGACTCCCTGGCCTGGTCCCCACCCCCCCCACCCCCCAGCCTCCTCCACTGGCCTGGCCCACCCCCCAGCGGCCTCCCTGGCCTGGCCCGTCTCCCCCACCCACCAGCCGCCTCCCTGGCCTGGCCCGCCCACAGCCGCCTTCCTGGCCTAGTTTTCTGCGACATTTCTACAATGCTTCGCTGGCTTGCACTCTTACCACCTCCGGTGGTCTGGTTCCAGACAGCAGTGAGTCTGGTTTTAAAAGGTAAGTCACATTAGCAGCACACACACTAAAACTGGAAGTACTGAGATTAGCACGGCCCCACAAAAGGATGACATGCAAACTCATGAGGGGTTCCATTACTGTCCATTTTTGTTGAATGCACTTTTCTTTATAAAATGCAATTCATAATTTCTAAATGGTAAACAAAATAATGTCCACCTTCTGCTCAAAACCCTGCATTCTACTAAGGAAAAAATCAAATGTCTTCCATCCCCTTTAAGGCCCTACACAACCTGTGCCCTGCTGCCTCTGACCCTCGTGGATTCCCTCTCCCTCCTTCAGTGTGCGCCTCCCCGGCCTCCTCCCCAGCCCTAAAGTAAACCAACAGAGCCCCAGGGAGTCACGGTTCCTGCTATTCATTCCCTGTGGCCGCAGCTCAGTCCGGTGTCTGCCTGGCTCCCTCCTCCTGTACCTCAGGCCCCTGCTAACCGTGACCTCCTGGGACAGACTTCCAGGACCTGCTGATCTAAAATGATGCTCACGTCCACCTCTCCTGTTGGTCAGCACTCACAGGGCGGGCACGGGACACATCTGTTTCTATTCCGACTTCTCCTGAGGAGGACAGGAGCTCCCTGCACAGGGGCCTCGCTGCTTACCTAAACCCGGTCTGCTCTGGGCAGCAGCGCCCTTGCCTTGAATGAACTGCTGACTAAATAGGCTTCCGGCCTGGAGGGACAGTGGAAGTGGACAGTGGACGTGCCCTCTGACCTGGGGCCACAGCTCTAGAGCCAGACCTCCCCGCAGACTGGGAGTTTCACCCGAGGACACTTTCCAAGAGCAGAGGGGACCCGAAGCAGTCGGGGATCTCCCCGAAGTCTGGCTGTCACGAGAGAGAGCAAGTGACCCGGCAGCACTCAGATCGGTGTGCCCACACACCACAGCCCTGACCCCAGCCCCAGGGCCTTCCGAAGCCCAGAGAGCCCATCACTGCAGAGCAATCAACTCACCGGGTGACTTACTGGTAAAGCACCAATGACGTCAGTGTCCTTCCACAGACAGAACAATACCTCACACAAAACCAGACACCTCAGCGAGGGCGGAGGGAGGGACAGGGTCTCAGATACTGAATGGCGCCTACAGCAGCAGTGCTCAGCCTGGCATCAGCTAACATCACCTGGGACCACACCCCAAACCAGTCACACCATCACCTCTGGGACCCTGAGCCACGAGTGCGGTGGGGAGCGGGGGCTGAAACACCCCCAACTGAGTGCAAATGTGCAGATATTGTTGAAAACCAACGAGAGACCAGTCCTGTGGCTCTCAGAAGGGGGTCCTGTGGCTCTCAGAAGGGCCTGTGGCTCTCAGAAGGGGGTCCTGTGGCTCTCAGAAGGGGGTCCTGTGGCTCTCAGAAGGGGGTCCTGTGGCTCTCAGAAGGGCCTGTGGCTCTCAGAAGGGCCTCCTGTGGCTCTCAGAAGGGGGTCCTGTGGCTCTCAGAAGGGGGGCCTGTGGCTCTCAGAAGGTCCTGTGGCTCTCAGAAGGGCCTCCTGTGGCTCTCAGAAGGGGGTCCTGTGGCTCTCAGAAGGGGGTCCTGTGGCTCTCAGAAGGGCCCGTGGCTCTCAGAAGGGGGTCCTGTGGCTCTCAGAAGGGGGTTCTGTGGCTCTCAGAAGGGGGGCCTGTGGCTCTCAGAAGGGGGGCCTGTGGCTCTCAGAAGGGGGTCCTGTGGCTCTCAGAGGGTCCTGTGGCTCTCAGAAGGGGGTCCTGTGGCTCTCAGAAGGGGGTCCTGTGGCTCTCAGAGGGTCCTGTGGCTCTCAGAAGGGGGTCCTGTGGCTCTCAGAAGGGGGTCCTGTGGCTCTCAGAAGGGGGTTCTGTGGCTCTCAGAAGGGCCTGTGGCTCTCAGAAGGGGGGCCTGTGGCTCTCAGAAGGGCCTCCTGTGGCTCTCAGAAGGGCCTTCTGTGGCTCTCAGAAGGGGGGCCTGTGGCTCTCAGAAGGGGGGCCTGTGGCTCTCAGAAGGGGGGCCTGTGGCTCTCAGAAGGGGGTCCTGTGGCTCTCAGAAGGGGGTCCTGTGGCTCTCAGAGAGTCCTGTGGCTCTCAGAAGGGGGTTCTGTGGCTCTCAGAAGGGGGGCCTGTGGCTCTCAGAAGGGGGTCCTGTGGCTCTCAGAAGGGGGTTCTGTGGCTCTCAGAAGGGCCTGTGGCTCTCAGAAGGGGGTTCTGTGGCTCTCAGAAGGGGGTTCTGTGGCTCTCAGAAGGGGGTCCTGTGGCTCTCAGAAGGGGTTCCTGTGGCTCTCAGAAGGGGGTCCTGTGGCTCTCAGAAGGGGGTTCTGTGGCTCTCAGAAGGGCCTCCTGTGGCTCTCAGAAGGGCCTTCTGTGGCTCTCAGAAGGGCCTCCTGTGGCTTTCAGAAGGGGGGCCTGTGGCTCTCAGAAGGGGGTCCTGTGGCTCTCAGAAGGGGGTCCTGTGGCTCTCAGAAGGGCCTGTGGCTCTCAGAAGGGGGTCCTGTGGCTCTCAGAAGGGGGTCCTGTGGCTCTCAGAAGGGGGTCCTGTGGCTCTCAGAAGGGCCTGTGGCTCTCAGAAGGGCCTCCTGTGGCTCTCAGAAGGGGGTCCTGTGGCTCTCAGAAGGGGGGCCTGTGGCTCTCAGAAGGTCCTGTGGCTCTCAGAAGGGCCTCCTGTGGCTCTCAGAAGGGGGTCCTGTGGCTCTCAGAAGGGGGTCCTGTGGCTCTCAGAAGGGCCCGTGGCTCTCAGAAGGGGGTCCTGTGGCTCTCAGAAGGGGGTTCTGTGGCTCTCAGAAGGGGGGCCTGTGGCTCTCAGAAGGGGGGCCTGTGGCTCTCAGAAGGGGGTCCTGTGGCTCTCAGAGGGTCCTGTGGCTCTCAGAAGGGGGTCCTGTGGCTCTCAGAAGGGGGTCCTGTGGCTCTCAGAGGGTCCTGTGGCTCTCAGAAGGGGGTCCTGTGGCTCTCAGAAGGGGGTCCTGTGGCTCTCAGAAGGGGGTTCTGTGGCTCTCAGAAGGGCCTGTGGCTCTCAGAAGGGGGGCCTGTGGCTCTCAGAAGGGCCTCCTGTGGCTCTCAGAAGGGCCTTCTGTGGCTCTCAGAAGGGGGGCCTGTGGCTCTCAGAAGGGGGGCCTGTGGCTCTCAGAAGGGGGGCCTGTGGCTCTCAGAAGGGGGTCCTGTGGCTCTCAGAAGGGGGTCCTGTGGCTCTCAGAGAGTCCTGTGGCTCTCAGAAGGGGGTTCTGTGGCTCTCAGAAGGGGGGCCTGTGGCTCTCAGAAGGGGGTCCTGTGGCTCTCAGAAGGGGGTTCTGTGGCTCTCAGAAGGGCCTGTGGCTCTCAGAAGGGGGTTCTGTGGCTCTCAGAAGGGGGTTCTGTGGCTCTCAGAAGGGGGTCCTGTGGCTCTCAGAAGGGGTTCCTGTGGCTCTCAGAAGGGGGTCCTGTGGCTCTCAGAAGGGGGTTCTGTGGCTCTCAGAAGGGCCTCCTGTGGCTCTCAGAAGGGCCTTCTGTGGCTCTCAGAAGGGCCTCCTGTGGCTTTCAGAAGGGGGGCCTGTGGCTCTCAGAAGGGGGTCCTGTGGCTCTCAGAAGGGGGTCCTGTGGCTCTCAGAGAGTCCTGTGGCTCTCAGAAGGGGGTTCTGTGGCTCTCAGAAGGGGGGCCTGTGGCTCTCAGAAGGGGGGCCTGTGGCTCTCAGAAGGGGGTCCTGTGGCTCTCAGAAGGGGGTCCTGTGGCTCTCAGAGAGTCCTGTGGCTCTCAGAAGGGGGTTCTGTGGCTCTCAGAAGGGGGGCCTGTGGCTCTCAGAAGGGGGTCCTGTGGCTCTCAGAAGGGGGTTCTGTGGCTCTCAGAAGGGGATTCTGTGGCTCTCAGAAGGGCCTTCTGTGGCTCTCAGAAGGGGGTCCTGTGGCTCTCAGAAGGAGGGCCTGTGGCTCTCAGAAGGGGGTCCTGTGGTTCTCAGAAGGGGGTCCTGTGGCTCTCAGAAGGGGGTTCTGTGGCTCTCAGAAGGGGATTCTGTGGCTCTCAGAAGGGCCTTCTGTGGCTCTCAGAAGGGGGTCCTGTGGCTCTCAGAAGGAGGGCCTGTGGCTCTCAGAAGGGGGTCCTGTGGTTCTCAGAAGGGCCTGTGGCTCTCAGAAGCGGCAGGATCGGGCCTCACCTGACCAGGGTGTCCCGGCCGGCGCCCGCCGGGCTGTAGTAGAGCACGTTCCCCAGGGACAGGGAGAAGCGCAGCCCCTCGGCCTCGGAGATGTACAAGTCCGTGCGGTTGTCACTGTGGCTGACACACACGAACACCTGGTCCTCGGAGGCGTCCGCCACGTAATACTCCTGGGGCGGAAGGAAGAACGTGTCAGCCATGCACGCAGCCCGGCGCTCCTCACGGGGAGCAGGCTGGGGCTTCTCCCCCCGAACCGGACAGCTGTGCCTGTGCAGCAGGCACCTAAGTTAGCGCCCCGCCCTCCTTCCTTTGCATTTGAATATAGAGCATCATTCTAGGGCCACACAAACTTATCACCTTAAAAGCTGGTCGCTGCACGCGGCCAAAAGTTTAATCAGCTCACGGGTGCCCTGGAGGGCCAGACCCAATGGCCTCGCAGCCTAAGCGGCCGGGGCGACGTTCCCCAAGGCCGGCAGAGGCCGCTTCTCCCTTCGGAGCCCGGAGGCTGCTCTGCCCTGGAAGGGGTCCGCCTGGAAAATGGGTCACGGACGCCACGCGTGACCTAAAAACCTCTTTTAGTTAACGAGGTCGCCCCTTTTCCCCTAAGACCTGCCATCAGGGCAAAACGCAACCTAGATGACCGTGAACGACCTCCCCTTTCTCTCCACGGGGGCTGCCGGGGGCCGAGTCTGTAGGAAGCGACGAGCAGCAGCATTCCCACCAGACACCCGGAGCCCAGCCGGCCAGCCCACGGCCACCGTCAGGGGCCTGCTCCCCGGCGGCCGCGTCTCTGACTCAGCCCCCACGCACACGGTCCCCGGGGGCTCCTCACTCCGCACCTGAGCAGCAGGGCCTGGATTTGCACGTTCTGAAGGCACAGTGTGTGACTCAGCAGGTGCTAAGTGAGTGCGGCTGTCTGTGAGCACCTCATGGGCCCGACCTCCACCTCTCCCCCGCTGCCCTGCTCAGCTGCGCTTCCCACACCGGAGAGGACCACCCCCTGCCCAGGGCACAATGGCTCTTGAGACCTTTCTGGAAAGTGACTCAGGGAGCCTGGTCAGATGTCCACCTGACAGGACACGCCACAGCACCCTGTCCTGGCCCTGCAGGGAGCAGCAACCCTTCTTCGCAGCCCTCAAGAACCCACTTACATTGATGGGATGTCTTGTGACAAACTGGGCTGCTTGCATGGGCTTCCGGCCGAAGGAGACCCAGAGCTGCACGGACGGCAGCTGCGGGCTGCCGGGGAGGTGCTGCCGAGGAAGAGGAGGACAGTCACTGAGCGGCATCGGCCTCGCAAAGCACGTCAAAGGGGGCCAGAGGCATCGGACCTCGATTCCCCATGAAGCAGAGCGCGGCTGCAGACATGCTTCCGCAGCGTCGGCTCCGCTCCCTCTGAGACGGATCGGCAGCGGTGCCTGACCCTCCCGCTGCCAGCGGACGCCGCTGTGAGGGGAGCGCGGGGGCTCCGGGAGGGAGGCAGCCACCACCGCTGGCAGAGAGGAGAGGAGAGGCCGTGGGATGAGGCTGAAGACGGGGCAGAGCTTCCAGCCCAAACCACCACCGGCTGAGCTTCGCACGCACCAGGCACACACCATATTCCCTCCTCCGCCCGTCCTTCTTTCAGATTATGAGGATACAGGACTTACAGGCTTTAACTGGTACCAAGAATGGAGGGACTTTTCATCGATTCAATTTTTCTGTCTTTTAATACTTCTAAAATATGGTGTTTATGGGTTTTTTGGTAGACAGTATTCCCCGTGACACTGACATGTCCCGTCGTGCTTTGCAGACATTAAACCACGCCTGGAACTTGGAAATGCGTGTGAAACACCAGTGAAGAGGAAAGCACCGCATCTCCCTCGGCCCCTTATTTAACTACAAAGCCAGCAGCTGAACGGACGGGGCTTCTCCCGGGGCGGCTGTAAATGGCCCCGGAAGCACGGGCACAGCGTCTTGTGCAGATGCACCATTCGTTCCGGGGAGGGGCTGCCCCTGTGCAGCTTCTCCATGAGTGAAGAGCGCGAGCAGCACACGAAGGCTTTCTGAGGGGGGCACTTCTGTGCGGAGACGCCTCCTCCTGCATCACCCTCACATGCGTGGCCAGCAGACTCCCTGGCGGGCGGGCGGGCTGCCTCCTCCTCCGCTGCTCACCGCTGTTCATTATAGACCCCTCCCCCCGCGGAACCGGAGCACACACGTCTCCTCACGGGGCGCTGTGCTCACTGCTGCCTGTGAGCACCACGTGGAGAGCACGCACACAGACACCTGTCACCTCTGACTCTTCTGAGCAATGCACACACGTATGCAAACCACCACTGAGCAAGTGTGAAAAGTCCTTTGTTGTAAAAAAGCCAGGGGAGAAATAGAAAAAAATGTTTTTTTAAAACGGCACCCTAAAACCATGTTAATAGTTTGTACTCGGTGTGGGACCAGTAAGGAAATGATGGACCTATTAAAAATGTAGCGTATTACCTGAATAAGAAAATAGTTCCCAGAGAAATATGTATAAATTTCAAAGTTCTACCAGCACGGCTCAGTGGTTGAGCATCAACCTATGAACCAGGAGACAGGTTCAATTCCTGGTCAGGGGACATGCCCAGGTTGCCAGATCAATCCCCAGTGTGGGACGTGCAGGAGGCAGCTGATCAATGATTCTGTCTCATCACTGATGTTTCTCTCTCCCTTCCTCTCTGAAATCAATAAAAACATATTAAAGAAAACATTTCCCAAGGTATGCAGTGGGGAACCCCTCCTGCATCTAGCCACCCACATCTTCTCTCCTCATTCCAACCTTACTCCCTCTTTCCCTGTTGGGGAGGCCTCTCTCCACCCAGAATCCCAAGGGCTTTGACCTGCTTCTGCCTGGCCAGCTGCCAATCACAGAAATGAGGACCTAGAGGGAAACATCACACATCACTTGCCCCCGAGGGTAACAGCGACAGGAAGCAGAGCAACCTCCCAGTTACCAGAGGCCTAGAGCCCAGGCCCCGCCACTGGCTGCCATCAGGAAAGCGGCTGACACCCCGGACGCAGGCCCTCACGCTCAGCTGGCCTGTCCTCCCGGACACAGGGCAATCTAGTGGCGACTTGCCGCTTGACGCAGTAGCAAGGCAAGTCCTAGTGAACAATTAAATTCTGTTAGATGAGCTAACACTCCATCTCAGCATCTGGCTCCAACCCATCAAATCAAGGGGAAGTTTTCCCAAAGTCGGGGAGGTAAGCTATTACTAACAGCCGAAAGCTTACTTACTGCTCTGCTTAGAGCATTAACCCTCACCGGCCACTGACTCACATTCTCAGCCACGTAACAACGTGGGTCCAAAACTCACAGAGGAATCGGCCTAACGGAAAGGAAACCAGAGTGGAATTAAAGAAACACGCCACTGAGCACACCCTCCCCTATGAGTTCTTCTCGTTGGGATTTCAAAGAAACGTGTTTGCCGAGGAGGCATGGAAAATCACTAAATCTGGAGCTTCTCTGCTGCTCAAGCCCCAGGACCTGCCACGCCCCCCGGGAGTGTCCGCCTCTGCCAGCACGGCCCGTCCACACCCCGCCTCGACCCAGCCTCCCCACAGAACGCCGTTCCTCGGCACCTACAACTCACCACCACCTTGGTGGCAAACATGTACTTGTCCCGAAGCTGGAAGTCTCTCACTGCCTCCAGCACCACCTCCTGGCTCTCCCGGGACTGGAAGAAGTCGGTGCTGCGGAGAACTGTGGAGTAGCCGGAGGGCTCCTGCCGCTCCACGTACAGGGTGTTGGGCTCGTCGTAGGGATCAACCCCCCTGGAAGAAAACAGTGTCGTCGTCACTAGGGCCCCGGGGACCAGGGAGTGCTGCCCACACTTCCCTCAGCTGCTCTGGGCGCCCCGCAGCGTGGGGAGAGGACAGAACGATGGATGCTGGAATCAAGAAGGCCGGCTCGAGGCTGCCAGCACGTTTCTGGCCTCAAGTGACAAACCTCGGAGGAATGGAGGAGTTTGCAGGGCGCTGCGCTCTCGGAAGGATAACTCAGGAGGAGCCACACGAGGACCTGGTGAGGCACTTCCTTCCAACCCCCTACCAGCCCCCAGCTCAGGCCACCGCTGCTGGCACCGGTGAGATGCGCTCCTGTCCTGCGAGGCTCCCTCACACCTCTGCGCACCTAACCTCCAGAAACGGGGTGCACCCCCCCTCACTCCCGAACTTCTGTCAGCTCTGCACCCCTGCAGGGAGGCTTTCCCACACCCTGATCTGCACCTCTAAGTCTCCCTCATCTTCCGGGGGCCAAGTTCAAGCCTCCCTTGCAGGAAGCCCCCCGTCTCGCCAGCACACACCGTGTCTCCCGGCGCTGGATTTCGAGCGGTTTAATTCATTTTATATGCGTTCAAACCAACGTAGGAACTGCTTTGGTCCCCGTACCTCACACGGTCCTGCTTCTTATGTTATTCGACCCTGAATAGACTGTGTTACAATGTATGGCGGTCCCCACACTGCGTCTCTCTGAGCTTCCTGGAGAGCACAAACGCCTTTCAGCCATGTCTTCTGTTTCTTTTCACCCCGCGGGGCTCCTCCCTGCACTGATCCTCACTGCACTGCGTCTACAGGCCACAGTTCCAGGGGCTGCTCCAACGGGGAGCATGCAGGGATGAGATCACATTACCTTGGAGAAGAACCTCGCACTGCTGTTCCCCAAATTCAGTCCCAACAGCAGCCGAGGGGACCCCCCTGCCCGGCTCCTCACCACCAAGGCAGGCAGACCTGCACCAAGCAGGAGCGAGAACTGGGAGACCCCACAGAGGTGAGGAAGGCAGAGCTCACACACAGGTGCCTGGAGCTCCTCCATGCGCACGGAGCTCGGATAATGGTTAGGACACCAAACTCGAAGTTTCAAGATACACTGCCAAGAGCATATTCTAAGGAAAAAGAATGGCCCTGGCCTTTTGGCTCAGTGGATAGAGCATCAGCCTGCGAACCAAAGGGTCCCTGGTTCGATTCCAGTCAAGGGCACGTACTTCAGCTGCAGGCTCCTCCTTGTCCTGGTCTGGGTTCGTGCAGGAGGCAACCCAAAGATGTGTTTCTCTCACATTGATATTCTTGGCTTTCTCTTCTACTTTCCCTAAAAATCAATGGAAAAATATCCTCAGGCAAGGATTAACAGAAGAAAGAAAGAGAGAGAGAGAGAGAGGGGGGGGGGGGGGGGGAGGGAGGGAGGGAGGGAGGGAGAAAGAGAAAGAAAGAAAGAAAAGAAAATGAAAGGAAAGAATAAGGAAAGAGGGAGGGAAGGAAGAAGAAAGGGATGGGAGAGAAAGGAAGAAGGAAAGGGAAGGAAAGAGGAGGGGAGGGGAAGGGAGGGCAGGGAAAGTTGGGCAGAAGGAGAGGAAGGAGCTAAGAATAGGAGAATGGAAGAGCCTCTTTGCACTGGGAAGACGCCTTTGGCCCTGTAACCGGAAAGGAAGGGTCCCTGGAGAGGCCAGGGTTTGGTCCTAACTAGGAGGCTCTGTGCAGTGAGGGGTAGCCTGCTCTCTTCTTTTCCATGATTGGAAGCACTGATTCAAGTACCTCCTCTGCTCTAGATGATATGCAAATGAGCATGAGGCTGTGGGATATTTTTAAAAGGCAGAGAGGAAGGGACCTTGACTCAGATAGTCTGCGAACGGCTCATCTCTGCTGTTCAGTCCTGGCCATAGCAGCCCCGAGATGGAGAAACAAAGCTGCGGCTTCAGTTCTGCAAGGCAGACAGGGGCCTCCCATTCCTGAGAGCCGCTCCCCCTACCAGTTAAGTGCTCTGCAGCCCTAGCTCCCCCACCCCGGCCTTTACATTTACTCACACCTGCTTCCGCTTCTGGAAAGCCCACGCCTTGCTCTACCTCCTCCTCACAGCCCTTGCCTGGCCTCTCCTGCCCCCTGGGCCCCACTTACAGGCCTTCCCTGCTGCTCCCTGGGGACCCGGCCCCACCCACAGCTCCTCCCGGCTAGTCTACAGCCTCCAGCTCTGGGAGCACCAGGCAGGTTTCCAGTTCTCCTGCTGTCCCAAGCCTGCCACTGCTCTCTGAGGGGTTGGAGCGCACTGGCGCTTCCTGTGGAGAATGGGGGATCCCTCCCATGGCCTGAAATGCCCTGACACCAGCCATCATCTTTCTGAGACGGTCTAAGGCCGTCCTTTTCCCTAAACTATCTGCATGTCTGCAAGCAGGCAGACTCCACACACTAATTCCCAAGCACAAAGCACCTTTGTTTCGGAATCCAGCTGGTGTTCCCTCTGACCACATGGCTCCTCGAACAAGTGAAAGAGCTGCTTGTCCCTTTAAGATCCAGTCAAGTACCAGAGAGCTGAGGGTACTCCTTGATGGAGATGCACTCATATGAGGCTGGGGTTCTACTTTCACTGAGACTCCACAACCTCTGCCCCAGGAGAACAACAAATGGGCCGAATAGCCGCCCCCCGCCAAGCAGCTCGAGGCTTCCGGGTCCCCGCTGCACTGGCCACAGGCACCAGGGAAGCATGCAGAGACGCCCCCCTCACACGGGCCTGGTGGAAGCCGCACAGGTGTATCTCCCCTCCTGCTGGGCCGCTGCGTCTATTGAAGATAAAACTAAAAGTAAGAAGACAGTCCTAGCCAGTCTGGCTCTGGAGAGAGTGATGACCTGCGGACTGAAGGGTCCCAGATTCGATTTTGGTCAAGGGCACATGCCCAAGCTGCAGGCTCAACCCCTAGCATGGGAAGTGCAGGAGGCAGCCAATCAATGATTCTCTCTCATCAGTGATATTTCTTCTCTTCCTCTCTGAAATATATATATGTGTGTGTGTGTGTGTGTGTGTGTGTGTGTGTGTATACATGTGTATATATATTATCCAACAAACCTGTAACAGAAAAAGGTCAAAAGCAACTATGACTAGAAACAACTGTACTTTAAAAAACCTGTTGATTTCACCTTCCTTCTCGGCTCCCATCGCGTTCAGAATCAGTCCAAATTCCTCTCCCAACTTTACCTAGCACACAGCCCCCAAATAAAACTCAGCGTTTTGCACCCAGCACCGCATCAGCTCGTCTCCGCTGTGGCCATTCTGTTCCTGCACCCCCACAGCACCTCCGACCCGCTGCATGCGACCGGTTCTGTCCATGAGCGCCCGTCCGAAAAGAACAGACCTCCCTCCCCCACGATCTCTGAGCTTCACAATGTGTGTTAGGTGCCAAAATGGTCTCTCCACCCTGGCCAGGCGCTCAGTGGTTACAGCGTCTTCCCTATCCGCCACAGAGGCAGGTTCGATCCAGGCCAGAGCACATACAAGAATCAACCAATCGAGGCGTACAAAAGTGGAACAAATCGATGTTTCTGTCTAAAATCAATCGATATATTTTTTAAGATTTAAAAAAAATCTTTCCTTACCTCCTAAACTGCAATCGTCCTTAACAAGTTTATCCATAAAGTAGTCAACTTCACACATCCTAAAGCATATTCAGCATGTTTTACCCTCAGCGGACATTCAGACACCTGCTATTAATGAACAAATGAATCGATCTTATATGGAGAAACTCCCCACTTCGGATGCGATGCTCTAAAAATGAGCGTCTTCAGAAACCTTCCCTCCGCAGAGCGCGAAGATCCCACGTCCCCTGGGACTGAGGGCGCAGGTGCCCGAAGCCTCGAGAGCCTCCACTCCTGGCCCCCCGCCGGCCACAGGCTCCACGCTGCAGGGGAGGGAGGAGTGCCCGCAGGAGCTGCCCTGGAGAGGAGAGGATGGCGATCACACCGCTTAGCTGGCAGGACTCACCAGGAGAAGGACTTCACATGCTCCTGAACCAGGATCCAGGTCTGGCCAAAATCGTCCGACTTCCACAGCTGCAAGACCAAGGGGACAAGAGGCTGTGAGGCACGAAGCAGCGTGACCGGAACGGCTCTGCCAAACCCACCGAAGCCCCCGGAGAGGCTGGCTGCTGTGGGGACCGCACAGGCCCCACGGCCCGTGCATCACTCCGGGCAGCCTGACGGGGCCGCCGCACCTCTGTTTCCTCCATCGTTACCAAGGTCTCCACAGACACCGGAAGGAAAGGACTGGGACCTGCCTTCCCTTTGTGATGACCAGAAGCTCTACTTCCTCAAGACCCCCAGATAACGGTAAAAACAAGAGGAGTATGCTTGGCGCTTCTCACCTGGGAAAGTCCTTAAAACTATACAACGAGCTCCAGCAGGTGTGGCTCGGAGGATAGAGCATCAGCCTGCGGACCAAGGGGTGCACGGTTTGATGCCGGTCAAGGGCATGTACCTCAGTTGCAGGATACTCTCCGGCCCAGGCCCTGGTCAGGGCACGTGCAGGAGGCAGCCAATCGATGTGTTTCTCCCACATGGATGTTCCTCTCTGTCTTTGCCTCTCTCTTCCCCTCTCTTTAAAAATCAATGGAAAAACATCCTCAGGTGGGGATTGAAATACAGTAATTAATCAATTAAAAAAAACAAAAACAAAACTGTACAAGGGCCACAGCAGTGAAGGCGATGGAAAGGATGCTGGTCAAGTGCAGGATCAAAAAGGACAGAGCACCGCTGAACACATGGGAGGGTGGCTCTGAGCCAGTAGCCTGCCGAAGCCCCACTTCCCAGGCACACGGGCGGGCTCCTCTGGCCTGACAGCCCGTGGTGAGGAGCAGACTAGACTGCGGAGAGCAACACTCTGTCCCCTGGTGATTGGCCCTGACCACACCGAGGCCACCCTACGCACGCACAGGTCAACCGACCAAGTTTTGGCTAAACAACCTGCGAAGAAAAGGGTCTGTTCCAAGCTTGTTCTGAGCCACGTCTTTCAAAATGTATCCGAGACCCAATCCTCCGGGATCGGCAGGGCTCACAGGTCACGCAAACCATGCGTCTCAGCTCGGCCACTTTCAACCTTGAAATGTAAGAGCTGCTCCGCTCTCGTTCCCCATCGCTCACCCTCCTCCAACCGGATTACAGAGGAGAGCGCCACACTTATGCTATGTGCAGAGGCACACGCACACCAGAGTAGAGCAGGAACGTCTGCGGTAGATCCAGGTACATGGCAGGCAGCGGCTGTGTGTAAGGCAGAGGGGGGAAGGCACACGGAGACGCGGCAGGCGGGCCAGCAGGGCTGACGCCAGGATCCCCTGCTCTGAGGCTGACAGGCTCCAGCCCGAGAGGGCGTCGCACTAAGGAACTGGGCCTGCCTGGCGGCACCAAGTATGCCCTGCTCAGGCGCGTCCCTGCCAGGAGAGCACCACAGCTAGAGGCCAAGCTTGAGGGCGAAGGAGGGAAGGGCCAAGGAAAGTCACTCAAAGGGTATGCAGTCCACAGGCCGGGCAGAAGGGGACCTGGCAGAGCCCCGTCCCCCCGCCCCTCCAGTTCCGAAAACCCTCTTACCTGCTTGTTGGGGTGAGACCTGTCGAAGCCCAGGAGGAGGTCGGAGGCCTTGCTGTGCAGGAGGAGATCGGCTGCCCGGAACGGGATGGAAAAGCCTTGAATGGTGTGGCAAAAGTCGAACGTGATCCAGAGGTACTGGGCGTAGGCGTCTGCGAAGATGTACTGCAGGGGAAGGAGCAGCTGGAGCGGGCCTGGGGGAGCCGTCCTACACCCTCCTGCAGTGAGCGCCGGGCACCCGGGCCGACCCCCGGCGCAGAGCCTAGGTCTGCTGGGCTCACCCCTCCCGCTGTCTCCTCTCACGCTCTCCCGCACTGAGGGAGGCAGGTGCACACCCAGTATGGCTCAGCAAAGGCACCGGTGCGGGCTGGGTGGGCCGGCGAGCCAGACAGAGCTTGCATTTAACCAGAGAATGACCCTCTGGGGGAAGTGGGCCTCTGGAGTCTACCTCCAGCAGGGCCAGCTTTGGATGGGGCAGTCACTGTGTCCCCAGGACAAACAGAATGTGGGGAGGGGGGAGGGTGTGAGAACCAACAACTGTGGGCGTGGCCAGCATCATGGAGGAAACTCCCACTCCGAGGTGCCCCCTCAAGGAGACAGGGGGAGGGGAGGCAAGTGGAAAAGGCCTCAGCCCTTCTTTTAAATGGCCAATGGGAGAGGGCGGACCTGGGCGACCAATGAGAGAACAGGTGACCCTGGTGCTCAGCCAATGAGGAGCCGGAGGAGGGACTCACATCCTCCAGATAAACAGCCTGTGACCACTGCTCCTGAGCCTGTCCCACTCCTGCTCTTGCAAGAACGTATTAAAGGTCTCATTTCCGCCACACTTCTGTCTCCAAGTGCGTTATTTGAACTCGGACAGATGAGCATTTCTCTCATAGTCAAGCCTAGTTTTTGTGAGCCACTGGGCCACAATCGAAAGTTGGCTATGGAGAGCCAAGACAGGAAGTCCTGCCTCTGACGGGCTGCACACAGCTGGGACTTGTCTCTGGCATGCCTTCCAGGGAAGCCTCGTCCACTGGGAAACCAGCTCACCCTCTGCCCACTGTGCCAGGCGAGGGAGCGCTAACACCTGCGGGCACGGTGCACAGGCCTGGGAGACACGCAGAAAGGAGCTCCATGGAGCCAGGCCTCCCTCCGGCTCCGCACAGCCCAGTGACACTGAGCGAGGGAATGACTGCAGCCTACGCAGCTTCGAGGGGAAAGAATGAGGCAACTGTTTGGCAAACGTACACCTGGATATTCACCAGGGACCAGACACGGGGTGCCACAGTGAAAGCGCAGGGCCCTTCCCCGGGGGTGGCCCAGGATCTATTTGGGGTGGGGGTGGGGGACAGGGGACACGGCATGCCCACACTGACTCTAAGTCAGGGGAAGTGAGACTGAATGAGGAGCGTGGTGCATCGTAGGAGAGCGGAGATTATAGATGGTCACGGTCTGCAAGATCAGAGATGACTCCGGGTAAGAGTTGGGCCTTGAAGGGCAGGCAAGGCTTTCAGAGAGAACATTCCAAGTCCCAGGCACAGAGGAGAGGAGAAAAATATAGCGTGGATTTGACAGCAGTTCGTGAGAGCCTGGACTAACGGTTAGAAAATAAAAAATACGGCTGCATACGCTCCACTGTGTAGATGGACCACAGATTTTACCCACACGTCTGCTGAGGGGAACCTGTGCTGTTTCCAATTCTTAGCTATGGTGAATTGTGCTGCTATGAACACAGAGTGCACATATCCTTTCTGACTGACGTTTCTGGTTTTTTGGGATATGTTCCTCGAAGTGGGATTGCAGGATCAAATGGGAGTTCCATTTTTAGTTTTTTGAGGAAATGCCAGTGACATATGTAACACTTTCAACACTAAAGAATCCTATCCAATAAAGAGGGAATATGCTCATTGCCCATCACACCCGCACAAAGATGGTGGCACGCACAGCCACAAGATGGCAGCACCCAGTCCTCTCAGCCCCCAGCCACCCGGGGCCAGCCTGAGGATCAGGCAAGCCTCAGATGGCAGCTGCCCAGCCACCCAGTGCTGCCCGAGGCTCAGGTAACCAGGGCCAGCTAAGGCTTGTGTTGCCGGCAGTGGCAGCAGCAGAGGTATGAGGGGGCATCACCTTCCCCTGATTGCCAGGTCACCTCCCGCCCCTGAGGGCTCCCGGACTGTGAGAGGGGGCAGGCTGGGCTGAGGGGCCCCCCTCCAGTGCACTGGGCCTCCAGCTTAAGATAAAAAAAAAAAATAAAAAAAATAAAAAAAAAAGTAAAAAGGCTGAAAACTCACACGGCAGCAGGCGGGACCCTCAGGAGCTGGACAGCAGCCCTGCTCCCAGGAGCACAAGGGGCTCCATGGACACTGTGAACCCCAAACTAGAGCAGGGGAACCAGTCACTGAAGCCCCAGAAACCAAAACCCCACGGAGTCAGTGCTAACACGTTCCATACATGCTTCCAGCTAGTGCAGAGCCCTGGCTCACAGTCCTCTCAGCACCACCCCGTGCCTCCTCCCCAGGCTGCTCTCGCCCCATGCCACTCCCATTCCTTCTCGCTCCTGGCCCTGTGCACCCTCTCCCCACGCTGGCCTGTCCCCCCGCCGCCCCTCCTCCCCACGCTGCCCGCATTCATTCCTGCTCCCATCACTGTGCACCCTCTCCCCACGCTGGCCTAGCTGCTGGCTTGCAGGAAGGTGTTCTTCATGGCCCTCCCTGTGCCGCCTCCAGCATCTGATGTAAACTCAGCCCCTGCAGAAGCCAGGGAAGCTCACGCTAAAGGCCGGCAAAGCTCTGAAAGGAAACACTGCGCTGAGCACACTCAGGGCCAGAACCACAAGGGACCCTGTGAGCACGGTCACCCAGTTCTGCCGAAAAGCGCTCTTAGGAACGACGACGCCCAGCCCCCGCTCCGGAACCACCCTGAAGCCTGGGGAGGAGTAGAGTTTACAAAGGAGCCTCTCCCCCGGCTTCCTGCGGTGTACTGCTATAGAGTGGGCGAACGAGTACCCATCACAGCTCACAGATGACGTGGGCACGAGCCTCTGCTCTGCCAGGCCTGCGCTGGGCTCAAGTGCCTCGCTTATCGGAGCACCGAGCACTCCAGCGACTTGGTCTCCAGCGGCGATTCTGTCGCCTCTGTGTAACGAGGTCACTGAAGTCACCCCCAAGGGCACCCAGGAGTGAGCACCTTCACCTCCATGCCCGGCTGGTTCAAAGCACCTCTCTGAACAGTCCATCAACCTCCCCTTTGCTTTCATCCGAAGGGCAGCCCCTCCCGAACGCGACGCAGAGTCTCACCTCGGATCACTGGACTCAGGTCCGTGCCTCCTCATCACCCCCTCCTTTTTCTGGAAACGTGCCTTACCTCACCTCCCATCACCAGCCCTCACCACCTCTGACCTCAGCTCACTTTGCTGCTGTTCTATCCTGGTCCACGCTGCTCCTCCCTCACACAACCCCCTCCCCCCCCCCCCGCCCTTACCCCTCCCCCGGCCCACAGCTTGGTAATCCTCCTCACAGCTTCACCAACCGCCTCCTAAGCAGCCTACCTGCCTTCCCGATACCCCGCCGCCCAGACTTCTCACCGAGCCCAGCGCCGAACCTCTCTCTCTCAGCACGTCCCCTCTGCGGGCCACGGGGTTTCACTGTGACAACGGGATTCTGACACCATCCCCAAAGCCCAATTCTTGCTCCCCGTGTCCTGGGTTCTAGTCGCACCACACCTTCTCCCAGCGCAGCTCACAACCAGAGCGGGGGTGGACGCCTCTGCCTGCTTTAGCCCGTGCTCCCACGGGCAACGACCCTGCCGTCTGCCTTTAACACAGCGGTCACACCGCGTCTGTCCCTGCTCCCACTGCGGCCCATGGCCCACCCCTGCTGGAGGCAGCATGGGGCCAGCACGGGCCTTCGTCTTGGGCCTCCTGAGACCAGGGACGAGCAGCACTGAGGGGATGTTCGGACTGAGGACCAGCACTCTGTGCCACATTCCCATGCATGTCGACCCCTCCATCTTCCCCTCCAGCCTCCTGCAGGCTTCCGGGCCCATCTTCCCTGAGAACCTCTTCCCAGTGATGCCCTCCTCAGAGACTCCCCCGCTCCCACAGTCACTTTCCTTTTGTAAAACAGTGGTTATTGATTTCAGAGAGAAACATCAAGGATGAGAGAAACATCAATGATGAGACAGATGACTGACTAGCTGCCTCCTACATGCCCACTACTGGGGATTGAGCCCGCAATCTGGGCATGTGCCCTTGGCTGGAATAGAATCCGGGACCCTTCAGTCTATAGGAGGATGCTCTAGCCACTGAGCAACACCAGCTAGGGTTTCCTACAGTCTTCAAGGCAAAAAGCAAGCCCTCCATCTCAAGACAGGAGCCTTGGGTACCATCCCCAGGTACCTCACTGCACTCCTCCACTCCAGCAATACCCCCTGCGGCTGCAGGCCACGCTGCACTCCGGAGTCTGCTCTCGCCTCTCCTCCCCCAGGCTCCCACAGCTGCTCCTGCCATTGGAGCCGGCCTGCAGCTTCCATTCTAACCTAAGTGCCGGCTCTCAGTGTCCACCCCTGCTCCACCCACAGGGCCCACACGTGTCAGCACTGATTCTTCCTGGCCCGCAGCCACCAGCTGGCCTGACCATGAGGCACTCTCTGCAGGGTGTGTATAGACCCGGCCTGACTGTGCTCTGAGGCCAGGAACCTGCAGGAACCAGGGCTGCACCTGGCAATGCGGACAGAGGAAGAGGAAGTGGGACTGTAGGAAACTCAAAATAGACTCCACACCCACCTGCCCATAGCTCACCTGCCACACAGCCACGCCCTCACCGCACAGCCATACCCACCTGCCACATAGCCACACCCACACAGCCACGCCCCCACCACACAGCCACACCCACCTTCCACATAGCCACACCCACACAGCCACGCCCTCACCATACAGCCACACCCACCTGCCACACAGCCATTCCTCACAGCACAGCCACGCCCTCACCACACAGCCACGCCCTCACCACACAGCCAGGTCCTCATGTCCACGTGGCCTGTCAGCTGATAGAGCTGGCCCCAAACCAGGACCTGCTTTCCACTCCAGGCACACCTTTCACCCCTCTCCTCCGCCCTTTGTGACACTGACTGTGCAGAGCAGGTGCTGGCACTCTGTGACAGCCCTCCTGATCGGCCACAGGTGCGCTGTGGACAGCATGCGCCAGGCTTCTGGGATGTGTCTTGGAGCAAACTGCCTTCCAAGACAGACACAGAAGCAAAAGCAACAAAACTAATCCCCAAAGGAGACTGGTCCTTTCCTTGCTGAGAAGTCCAGGGCGGGCACAAGCCAGAAACTGGAAGCCAGAAAGAGCTGCAACCTGCCCAGCCCAGGCCCTGTCACTCGTTCTCCAAGAAGGCGGCCCCTTCTCACTCCCAGCAGCTCCCAGCCCCACCAGCTCTGCCTGAGGAATCTGCTCCGCAGCCCTGCACCCAGCACCACGCCCCGCACCCACTGCTGCACACCCGCACCCAGCACCACGCCCCACACCCACTGCTGCACACCCCGCACCCAACACCACGCCCCACACCCAGCACCACGCCCCACACCCACTGCTGCACACACCGCACCCAGCACCACGCCCCGCACCCAGCACCACGCCCCGCACCCACTGCCGCACAGCCCATACCCACTGCTGCACACCCAGCACCACACCCCGCACCCAGCACCACGCCCCGCACCCAGCACCACGCCCCGCACCCATTGCTGCAAGCCCCGCACCCAACACCACGCCCTGTACCCAGCACCGCGCCCTGCACCCAGCAGGCCCTGCACCCACTGCCACACACCCCGCACCCAGCACCACGCCCCGCACCCACTGCCGCACACCCCGCACCCAGCACCACGCCCCGCACCCACTGCCGCACACCCCACACCCAGCACCACATCCCACACTCAGCACCACACCCCACACCCACTGCCGCACGCCCTGCACCCACTGCCACACACCCCGCACCCAGCACCACACCCGCACCCACTGCCGCACACCCTGCACCCACTGCCGCACGCCCCGCACCCAGCACCATGCACCGCACCCAGCATTACCCCCCACACTCAGCACCACACCCCACACCCACTGCCGCACGCCCTGCACCCACTGCCGCACGTCCTGCACCCACTGCCGCACACCCCGGACCCATTGCTGCACACCCCGCACCCAGCACCACGCCCCATACCCAGCACCACGCCCTGCACTCACTGCCATGCCCCGCACCCAGCGTTATACGCATGCTGCTCCCTCTCCCCCGCACCACCTCATACCCTGCACCTCCATGCCCAGCGTGGTGCCCTGACCAGACCTCTCCCTGCACTGAACCTCACAGACCCTGACATCCTCCTCCCTGACTCTGCCCCGACCTGCAGCTCAGCAGCCGCTCACCACAGCCCTCGCCAAAAAGGGTGGTGAGCCCTGTGGCGGGAAGTGAGAAGGGGCAGGTAAGTTGAAAGGAGGGCTCTAGAGTGCAGTGCGATGGTGTCAAGGCCACAGCATAAGCCAGTGTTAGCTCTGGGACGTGAAAACTGCAGCAGCAGGTAAACAGGACACACTGCGTCGTCCAAGTGTCATTCGATTCTTGGGAGGCGGGGCACACAGATCGGTCTCCGAGACGGACACTGGACAGCTGCACCCTGGGCAGCTCCACCTCACAAGAGGTGCTGGGAGTCCCGGGTCACCTGCCTGGCAGTGTCCTTCACCTGCAGGAAGGTAGGGGGAGGGGTGTCTGTCACCTGCAGGAAGGTAAGGGGGAGGGGTGTCTGTCACCTGCAGGAAGGTAAGGGGGAGAGGTGTCAGTCACCTGCAGGTAGGTAAGGGGGAGGGGTGTCTGTCACCTGCAGGAAGGTAAGGGGGAGGGGTGTCAGTCACCTGCAGGTAGGTAAGTGGGAGGGGTGTCTGTCACCTGCAGGAAGGTAAGGGGGAGGGGTGTCCTGTCACCTGCAGGAAGGTAGGGGGAGGGGTGTCCTGTCACCTGCAGGAAGGTAAGGTGGAGGGGTGTCTGTCACCTGCAGGAAGGTAAGGGGGAGGGGTGTCCTGTCACCTGCAGGAAGGTAAGGGGGAGGGGTGTCTGTCACCTGCAGGAAGGTAAGGGGGAGGGGTGTCAGTCACCTGCAGGTAGGTAAGGGGGAGGGGTGTCTGTCACCTGCAGGTAGGTAAGGGGGGAGGGGTGTCTGTCACCTGCAGGAAGGTAAGGGGGAGGGGTGTCAGTCACCTGCAGGAAGGTAAGGGGGAGGGGTGTCCTGTCACCTGCAGGAAGGTAAGGGGGAGGGGTGTCAGTCACCTGTAGGTAGGTAAGGGGGAGGGGTGTCTGTCACCTGCAGGTAGGTAAGGGGGGAGGGGTGTCAGTCACCTGCAGGTAGGTAAGGGGGAGGGGTGTCTGTCACCTGCAGGTAGGTAAGGGGGAGGGGTGCCTGTCACCTGCAGATAGGTGAGAAGTTAGGCAAGAAGCGAGTTGGCCACTCCACTCTGAGATTAAGCAGGGCTGAGCTTTAACCAGTGGGGGGCGTGCAGGAGGCAGCCAATCAATGAATCTCTCTCATCATTGATGTTTCTCTCTCTCTCCTCTCTCTTCTTCTCTGAAATCAATACAAATATATTTTTAAAAATTGCTTTCGTACCTCACTTCCCTGCATCTGTGCGTGTTCCTCCCAAACCTGCTGGCCTCTTCCCCAGACCTCTCCACGTCCATCAGCAAAGGGTTAATGCACACCCGCAGGGCGGCCTCTGGGACCAGCGCCCACATCAGGCAGGTCTGACTGGTCAGTGCCAACCCAGTGGCTGAATACTTTCAATCCCACCTCTGCCCACAGACACAGGCATGGGGACCCCTAGGCATCTCCCTCCCTGGCCCCCTTCTGGGCGGGAAGAGGAGCAGGTGCCCTTCCCTCAGCATCCTGAGAGCAGCCATGAGCGTGGGATCAGCACAGTGGGGACGAAGCAGCAAACACAACTCCTAGTGGAGCCAGAGCTCCCCGAGGCAGGAAGGCGGGGGGGGGGGGGGGACACACACACTCCTGCATGGTCCTCTCCCCTCCTCCTGCCTCCCTTGAGGTCAGGGCAGCCTCCGCCAAGTCACAGTGTGGTGGGGGGCGGGGTCTTCTGCAGAAACAAGCAGCAGACCAGCCAATTGGGCAGACAGACAGAAGACACAGCACCATCTACTGCCTTGGCGACCTCTGCACCGGACAGGTTGAAGAGAGGAGGATACACACACACACACACACACACACACACACGCACACGTACACGCACACGCACACGCGCTGGTGATGCCAGAAAGAGCGGGCAGCACAGTCTAGATGAGACTGCAAGAGAAGGTCTGGGGACTGGTAACCCTTTTGCCACCTAGGAGCCACCAGTCATCAGCAGGCCGGTTTCCGGTGCCGTCACCAGCCACTGCAGGCCTGGACCCTGCCCGGCCGGCACCTGGCTGGTTTGGTATGTTGGTGCCACCTGAGCACTGGACTTTGTCAAACTCCCAGGGAAACCGAATAACCGTCACCGGCCACCAGTCAGGCTGCAAAGACGACAAAGGGCCCCTGCCCAGCTCTGCGTGCAGCCCTCGCCCCAGGTACAGCCCATGACTCCAGCCGCAGCGCCCTCACCCTCCTGTTGTCCGCGGGGCTGTGGTAGAACTGGGCAATCACCGCCTTGCTGCTGTTTCCTGCCCCGAAGTTCAGCTTCTCGGAGATTTTCTGGAACGATTTCCCATAGTCGTAGGACACGTACACCTGGCCAGGGAAGCGGGAGGGGAAAGAGCTGGTGAGAACATGGCGGGAAGAGCCGTCCCTTTCGGTCCTGTGCAGCTCCTGGCTGCTCTGCCCGTGGTGCCCGGTGTGACAAGAGGACCCACAGAGGAGGAGCGGGTGCCTGTCTGCCCCTGGCCGGGGGGGCGGAGAGCCTGGGGAGACAGCCCCTGGAGAGGAAGCCAGGAGAGTGGGAACAGTGTAACCCGCTCCGCAGGCTGAGCTCCTGTTTGACAAACTGCATCGAGGCAGAAAGCGGTGGTCTGTGGGGAGGGACTGAGAAAGTGTCTGCCATCTGTGGAAATGTCCCCAAAAGGTCACCTAAAGCCTCCTCCCTCCGCTGGGCAGTCTGTTCCCACAACGTTCCAGAAGACAGAAAAGTCCTCGTGGTCTCCACAGAGGCGCCCAGCGAGATGGAAATGCCGGTGCTGGGAGGTCAAGCCTGCATGGTGAGCCCCGGGAGCAGAGCCATGTCCTGCGCTCGGGGGAGACATCTATGGCAGAGACTATGCTGACCCCCATGGGCCAGAGGGCATGGGCACGCTGTGACTGGGCTTCACATCCGTTGCATCTTAAACAGGCTAAAGCGATGGCTCGCCTGCTGCAGCCACCACACCAAGTGGCTGTCAGGTCCAGGCATTCAAAAAGACAAAGGGGCCCCTGCTCCGACCCCCCACAGACACACCTGTGCATTGGTCCCTCCCTGCCCGCAGGTTCCCCATTCCACTGGGAAACAGCTCCTGGGGCTCCTCTAGGCACCCCTCCCCCACCCCCAGAGCACATCCAACTCAGAGTGGACACATGAGGGACCTCACAGGACCAAGTCAGACTCAGGCATGGTGACTGTGTGGTCAGGCTAACGTGACATGCTGGCTAGTCCCCAGGAGGTGTCCTCCGGCCAGAGCACCTGTCCCCCATATGGCCCCCCATGCCAACGCCGCCCTGACCCGCAGCGGCTGCTCCTCCCCCCACGATAGGGAGTCTGGAGCAGAGGCCACAGCTGGGAGGCCCAGGGCCAGCTGCCCTCATGCGTGTTGCTTGGCTTATAGGTTGTATGAAGGACTACACATCAGGTGCCAACGATAAGAATCAGCAGTATTCACATAAAAATCCAGCTTCTCTCGAAACTTCAGAAGATCTGGCAAACGGGGCCCTGCTCCTGCTTCCCGCCAGCATCCAAAGCGCGTCACGGCCTGGAAAGTCTTTCCGCTCCAGCTCGCAAATCCTTCCACGCCCCAGCATCCCGGACACCGAGGCCAAGTGCAGTCACACGTTCAGACTGGGTTACAGGGCGTTTCCCAAACCTGCACCTCCACTGAGAGGGACAAATGGCACACTGCCCCAGAGGACGTGACTTCAAGAAAGATGGAGGAGACCAAGGTTCTTGGTAGAGGTACAGGATGACGTCAGCTTGGAGACAGTGTGGCTCCTGCCCGTCCCCCGAGCGCCTCCCGCAGGACTGTGTGTATGTGGCGCTTGGTCTTGGGTCTTAACAGAGCCTACCTGCTAAGCACTGTGTAAGGCAACTGTGGGAATAAGAACATGAGCAAATCACCCTGGCCAGGTTCAATTCTGGTCAAGGGCATGTGTGTTGGTTGCAGGCTCAATCCTTCGAGTGTGGAAGACAACCAATCAATGTGTGTCTCACGTCGATGTTCTCTCTCTGGCTCTCCCTCTTCCTTCCACTCTCTCTAAAAATCAATGAGAAAACACCCTCACATGAGGATTAACAAAAGTAAAAATTTTTTAAAGTAAAAGTTTTAAAAAGAATCGGATTCAACAGTTCACCCAACTGTAAGGTGTTGGGAGAATGAGGACAGAAGGGCCGTGAGCTCTGCCCGGGCTGTGAGCAGACCTACACTCTGCCCGGAAGGCACTCCCGGCATCATGAACAGACACCACCAGACCGCACCCTGTCACCTCCCAAGAATAATCACACGTCACATGATCCGCTGGCAACTGACTGCGTGACCCTGTGGTCAACAAATAAGGAGTATTTATTATTTTCTGGATTCTCTTCTCTAGATATAACTCATGCCATCCATTCTCCAATGGCCCGCTGTTTTGTGGGATGAGAACCCTGGCAGGTCACAGAAGGGCGTGCTGGCGGCACAGAGGAAGAGGATGCCCGAGAAACGCCGAGACTCACGTGGCTGCTGCGGGGTCGGGCCACGGCCAGGCTGTCTCGGGCCAAGGCCACAATCACGTTGCTCCTCTCTCCGGCCCAGTGCACCACCATCTGGTTGTGGGAATCATTCAGACTCACCTAAGAGACAAAACCAACACAGCAATTAGGGCCATGACGCTCACGTCTCCTGTCACTCAGAAAGGACTACGACCCTTAAATCTGGAGCACCCGGCGGGGAGGGAGGCGGTGGCCTATTTATCCCCGCCACACACAGATCCCACCACACTCAACTTCCCCAGAGACTCTAGTCCTCTGCTCTCCGTAATATAACAGAACTGCAAAAGATCTCAGGATCTCATTGATTTGTGAAATCCATCTGGTCCCCCTCACCCTTACTCCACACATGGGACATGCGCTCCAAAACACCGGACCCTCTTTCCTGTCCAGAAAGAGCACAGGCCAGAAAGGTGCTTTCAAACCTTCATTTGAACGAGTGTTTCCTAGGCCCCCGGTGGCACGGCTCATCCTCAGCTCACAGTGAGGGCAAAAGAGAAAATGGTTAGTAACAGCAGTTTTATTCAGAGAGTTCTGAAGTGTCCCAAATAAAAAACTATTTTCCAGGACTCCAAAGAAATAGCCTTTGGATTTTTGCTAGCATTCGTTCCCATGCTCCCGAATTTTGTAAACCAGTAAAATGAAAGTAAATTAGAAAGGCCAACAGGAGGTTGATGATCACTCCTTTTATGAAAGACTAGAGGCCCAGTGCACAAAATGCGTGCATGGGGGGGTCCTCAGCCCAGCCTGCACCCTCTCCAAATGAGACCCCTCAAGGAATGTCCGACTGTCCGACTACCAGGATCGGGCCTAAACAGTCGGACATCCCTCAGGACTGCTGGCTCCCAACTGCTCGCCTGCCTGCCTTCCTGATTGCCCCTAACCGCTTCTGCCTGCCAGCCTGATCATTCCCTAATCACTCCCTTGCCAGCCTGATGCTTAACTGCTCCCCTGCCAGCCTGATTGCCCCCAACTGCCCTCCCTTGAAAGCTTGTTCCCTCCCAACTGCCCTCTCCTGCTGATCATCTAGTGCTGGCCATCTTGTGTCCACATGGGGGCAGGATCTTTGACCACATAAGGGCAGCCATCTTGTGTGTTGGAGTGATGGTCAATTTGCATATTATTCTTTTATAAGATAGGATAGAGGCCTGTTGCACAAGTGGGGGGCATGAAGGGTGTCCCGAATCAGGGTAGGGATTCCCTTGGAACATGGGGCAGCCTGGGTAAGGGGCCTGTGGTGGTTTTCAGGCTGGTCACACCCCCTGACGACCCAAGAGGAGGCCCTAGTATCTGAAATTTATTTATCTCCTATAATTGAAACTTTGTAGCCTTGAGCAGAGCCAAGCCTTCTGCTTGCTCTGTGGCTGTCACCATTTTTGTTGGGATTTATTTATCTCCTATAATTGAAATTTGTAGCCTTGAGTGGAGGCCTGGGCCAGCCAGAGGGTGCAGAAAGCGTGGCTTCCTCCATTGCTAGGGAAACCCAAGCCTCCTGCTAGCTCCGTGGCTGCAGCCATCTTGGTTGGGTTAATTTGCATACGCTCTCCTGACTGGTTGGTGGGTGTGGCTTGTGGGTGTAGCGGAGTGATTATTAATTTGCATGTTACTCTTTTATTAGATAGGATAAGATAAACAGCCACTGTGCCAGAGCATGACTCATCCGTCTGCTGTTTCCCTGCTTCCTGAAGGCAGAGCAGGCTGAGCAGGGTGGAACCCAGCTGCGGCAGTGGGTGTGAACCAGCAATGGGGTGTGAACTGGCAATGGGGTGTGAACCAGTAATGATGTAAACTGGCAGTTGGTGTGAACCTATCTGTTGGTGTGAACTGGCCGTAGGGTATGAACCTGGCAGTGGGTGTGAACCTGGCATTTGATTTGAAGTGGCAGTGGGGTGTGAACTGACAGTGGGTGTGAAGTTGGCAGTGGGTATGAACCTGGCAGTGGGTGTGATCTGGTAGTGGGTATGAAATGACAGTGACTGTGAACCTGCTGGTTGGTGTGAACTGGCAGTGGGGTGTGAACTGGCAGTGGTGTGAATGGCAGTGGGTGGGAAATTTGGTTGGGTTGTGAAGTAGCTGTGACCATTAAGTGTGAACCTGCACCTGCGACTGAGCTTCAGCCTTGGAACATGAGGAAAGGTGTCAGGGTCCCCGCCCCATTCAGTCCTGCTTTCCTCCTATCCCAAAACTGCTTTCAGGACCCTGGCATCCGGAAGGGCAGCACCGAGGTAGGGCCACATCCCTGAGGGGGGAGCCTCTGCTAATCAGTGCCCTCGCTCTTCAGGTCTCACAAGTGGGACACATGAGCTTCTGGGAGTCATCAGGTATGTTCCTAACCCGCCCCCAGCCATGCATGAGTCCTCTGTAATCACCATCACTCCTAAGCAAAGGACACTGTAACCCTGAAACCTGAGAAAACATACACTCCAGAATAAAGAACACTTCCTTTAGACAGGTTCTGCTTATGGAAAACTAATCTCATTACTGTTTTTGTTTTTTAAAATCTTTATTGTTGAAGGTATTGCATAGGTCCTCCCCATTAACCTCTTCCAGTTGCTCCTGTCTTCCCCCATCCCAGGCCCTCAACACCCCTTTGTCTGTGTCCATAGGTTACGCATATATGCATACAAGTTCATTGGTTGATCTCTTCCCATCCAGCCCCTCTACCTTCCCTCTGTCATTCAAGAGTCTGTTCATGCTTTTTTGACTCTGGGTCTTTTTATATACACTGAGTGGCGAGATTATTATGATCTCTAAACACATAATAATCTCGCCACTCAAATGTATATCATATATAAGAAAAGGCTAATATGAAAATTGTCCCCTTGACCAGGAATTCGACCACAGGCAGGCTGGCCAACTGCCCATGTCTCCTCCTCCTGGCCAGGCTGGTTGGACCCTCACCCATGCATGAGTTCATGCACTGGAATCAAACCCAGAACCTTTCAGCCGAAGGCCAAACCAGCTAGGGCCCAGGGTCTATTTTTCTTTTGAAGGATAATAATATGAATATTTAATGACAAATAAATAAATAACAATTAGTTAGACCTTTACCATATTCTTCCTACATAATGAACATTAAGATAGTATGTTTAAAAGATAGTTCAATTATTGGCTTTATAATATTTTGATATTTGAAGAAAAGAGGAACTTGGCCAACCAATTTTTTCATGTCACCACATGTATTTAACATTTCTTTCTTTTCCTCTAATACCTCTAATTTCCTGCCGAGTCATAATAAACTAAACTATATTAAGCAAAGAACACCTGATTTGGTTTCAATTTAAGAAGCAAAAATTCCCATTCCCTAAGTTGACTTTGGGTTATTTGAGTCTGCCTCATAGCCCCTCCCTTTGTGTGTCTTCTGTACAGAATCCAGATAACCCAGACACTGCCAACATCTTCATGGATATCTGTGACATAGCCCACAACCAGAAATGAGACTTGGAGAATTCTTTCTGATGGCATTCAAGTTAGCTGAAGCCTACTATGACCCTAAATGAGATGAATTTCCAAGCATCAGACCAAAGCAGAAAAAGGGACACCTAAAGAAACACGAGGAACATGACATAAAGGAAAAGAGGAGGAAGAAGAGGAGGAACAGGGTAAAGAGGGAAAGTCCAGGCATTCAGAGAGTGATGGGAGGGGAATCCAAGAGCCCAAGAGGAAGAGGGAAAAGGCCTGAGTCTAGCTCTGAAATAAAAAATAAAAAAGGTGACACACCTTCTTGCAGACAGAGAGACACATATGGGGGGAAATCACGACAAAAAGGGAAAAGAGAAAAGTAGGTCAAATTCTACTGAAGCATAAGGAAAAAGGCGACAGTCAAGTGTCAGCCCAATCAGGGGAAAGAGGCAAAGATGATGAAAACACAGGATCATGGTGTGCAAAACTGAATACAACAAGACACAGTGACTCATATGCACGTGAGTGATATGAAAAAAAAAAAATACAGGAAAAAGGACAATCAATTGGGGAAAAACAAACATACTGATAATTTAAGAGTTAAATTCAACAGAGGAAAGTTGAACAATAGAGATATCTACAGGTCAGAACAACAGAAAGTCACAAAAGAAGTAGGGCATTACACCTCTAATGATAAAAGAGCCAGAAACCTAGGGCACAGCACTAATCAGAACGGCGATAGCAAAGGACACTCAGAAGATTCAGAGACCCAATCAGGGTCTGCTTCAGGAAGGCACCCTGGGTCTGCCACGGCAGTCAGGAGCCAGCTCTGCACATTCTGGGTCCCATCGAGGACAGACAGCCCGCATGGGCCATCTGAGTCTATCCGTGGACTTCAGACTTAAGTGGAGATAGAAGACAGGGATCTATCTGGTCATGGGCGGATCAGACTGCTCTAGACAATCAGGTGCTCATCGGCAGAGACATCCTCTCAGGACAGTCCCACAGGCTGTCAGGATCGAGCTCAAGAGGAAGACAAGCATCCCGGCACGAGCAGTCACCTGACAGCCGACTCGGGTCCAGGAGCAGCGAGGCCAGGATAGCGGGCACTGAAGGTTCAGGCAGACAATCTGTCTCCCCCACACTGGGCCCTGACACAGAGCGGGGCCAGGCGCCGCAGGTCTTGGCTCTGTGCCTCCAAAGGCCTGGGTGATGGGCACTCTTGGCCGCCGCTCCGGACCTGGTGCTGTGGAGGGCGGGCCATAGCGGGACAAGGCCCAGTGCTCTCCCCTCTGCCCTGTGCCCCTCTGGGTCTATTTTTGATCATCGGTTTATTGGTTTCACTAGATTCCATGTGAGTGAGATCATGTGATATGCATAGTTCTGACTGGCCTATTTCATTCAGCATAGTACTCTCCAGGTCCCTCCTGCTGTTGGAAACGGTAAAAGTTCCAGTACTCCATTGTGTAGAAGGACCACGGTTTGTTAATCCACTCGTCTGCTGATGGGCTATTTCCAAGTCTTAGCTATGGCAAATTGTGCTGCTATGAACATAGGGGTGCATATGTCCTTTCTGATCGGTGTTTCTGATTGCTTGGGCTATATTCCTAGAAGTGGGATTACTGAGTCAACATTTTTAGTTTTTTGGGAAATGCCATACTGTTCTTCACAGTGGCTGCACC